ATCTTATAATATCAACAACATTGAAAAGATAGACAACTTTAGAAAGTTTCCTTTTAGTTTTCCTTTTAAAAACTTGAAGGGGAAAAAGCCGAAAGTGAAAATAGGCAGTGAAATGAACGCGCGACAGTGTCCGATCTCGAAAAACGATCAAGAAAGGCCAGGTTGAGGAAGAAGGCCGCAAGCAATTGATGCCCATTGTGGGATATTTCGGTCTCGTCTTTCCATCCCTTCCCCCCGTTTCTCTGTTCCAAATCAGCCCCCCTTCGAGCGGAGACTTCTCTTCATTTCAATTGTCTCTCTTTAGATCCTTCCCTTTTGCAAGAAGCTCCCCTATCCACCTCTCCTTTTTTTGGTAAGCAAGCAAGCCCTTGAACCATCCGGTCGCCGAATCTCGAAATGAGATGAACTCCAATAACAAAATGATCTCAAAAAAGAGGGCAATCAAGTTTTGTTTGACAGTGAAAAAATGAGTAAATTGTACAATGATCTGATGCTGATTAAGAGATTCAAAATAAATTAAAAAGGATTTTTAAAGAGAATAAGAATAAAATCACAATTAGAAAGCTAAGATGGTCAACTTTTGTGGGGCTTGGAAAACGGAAAAGAAGATAAAGGGTGTTCAAGAATTACGGGCACCTTTTCTCTAGTTCGTAGAGTTAACCATTCTCCATAAAACTTTTTTTTTCGTAGAATTTACTGCTTATTTACAACACTTTACTTCAATATTTAACTCAGAAACTCGAAAATAGCAATTCTATAGAACTTCAAATCTCTAAAGCTCGAAAGCCTCTGAGAGGCGGCTCCTTGTCAACATAAATTACCATTCAAAAAAGTAGCAAACAGCTTAGGTTTTCTAAATTTATAATTTAAGTATTTACAAGTGTTTTATCCATCATCGGGTCATTATTAAAGAATTCTTTAAGTTAAAAATTTGATCACAGCTTAGGTTTTCTAAATTTGGTCACAAGGAGCCGCGTCTCAGAGGCTCTCGAAATTTTGGAGATTTGAAGTTCTATAGAATTGCTATTTTTGAGTTTCTAAGTCAAATATTGAAGCAAAGTGTTGAAAATAAGCAGTAAATTCTATAAAAAAAAAGTTTTATGAAGAATGGTTAACTCTAGTCGGAGTTACGAACGAGAGAAAAAGTGCCCGTCATTCTTAAACAACCTGCAGACTCACTCCATAAGCTCTTCTAGAGAAGATTTGATTTTTTGATTTTCAAAAATGACTTAAAGCGTAACCAGGTGAAACTTTAATCAATGAATTGAACGTATAAACTTATTTTGATTGTAAATTCTCAATACAAAGCCCCCATTACTGTAAAATTTCTAATCCAGAACTCTAATCCAGAACTTTTTAACTGTAAGTTAACTTTCAAGTACAGTAAAAAGTAGAAAGGCGTTGAAGGGAGAATAAGGTGAGAATGAAGAGTATAAGAGTCGTGAGGAACAGAGAAAAGAGGTGATTTCATGGTGATGATGATCGGGGGCGAAACAGTGTCAATGACCGTTGCTGATGGGTGTTTTTGTCGATCTCCCGGATTCCCCGAACCACATTTGTTCGATGATAATTGCTCTTTAAAGCACACGTCCATGCTACCAATTCCCTTGTCTCCAAATTATAAATCCGTTATCCACATTCAGAGTTTAGTTTCTTCTCTACATTCTCTCGTTATCCAATAATCTCTTCATTACATTTTATTCTTTAAAAACGAAAATGAAAATTATAATAGTTGAAGAATTCTAATTGGGTTTCAGCTTTCTCTTTGTCAACTACCGTACTCAAAATATTTAGAGTCATTAATCGAGCATCTCCACGCGCTCCACCGAAAAGTTTTCGGTGGTCAAAAGGCGGCGTTGGGAGAATAAATTGTGGTTGCAGATGGATGTCACTGAATCCATATGCGAATTGAAATGAAAAGAAGGAGTAAGTAGCCAAGTGTTTTTCACTTGTGAGGAGCAGTTGTCGTTTGCCGACTTGTCTTCTTTTCTGTTTTTCCCATTTCGCCCCCACTTTCGGCCGCATATGGGACTCCCTTTCATCCCCCCTTTTCCCATTTATCATCGTTGACTTGCACATGAAACTTGTGAACGTCTCGTAAAAGTAAAAGTGGGTTAATGAATGCTTACAATTAAAAGTAAAACGTACAAACACTTCATCTTCAGCCGAATCGATAGAAAGACGAATATGCGATCAGGAAACGTGAACTCAGGAAACTCAAGTCGCAAACTTGTAATCTAATGTGATAAGTGAAATCAAGCTTGCCGTTCCGCCCAACTTATCAGCAAAGGGGACCGACCTGATCTCATTTCCTTCTTTTAGAGATCGAAGAAAAAAAGAAAACCACCGGCTAAACGGGGACCGTTCAGGCGTTCTCGCGATCGTGGCTAGCGCGGCCTCGTGCTCTCTCTCAAATCACAGAGATTTCAGGGTAAAATTGGCCAGAGAGAAAAAGTGAGCACCCGCAAAATATCTCTTACTGCTCACCCGTTCCCCCTCCGTCTATCTCATTCCATCCGTTCGTGCCGCTGACACTTTCACGAAAAAGATTGAGAAAAACTGTATAGAAAAAGCAGTGATACGAGGCGCGGGCCCTATCCACAGTCAAGGCTACGCGCTTGCCACACTTGAGAAAAACACAGAGGACATGAGCCGAGATTTTCGTCGACTCGACTCAATGATTTACAGCAACGCTCGATCTCCCAGAAATTAGTCGGGTTCAACGGATTTTAAGAGACTTTCATGTGAAGGAAGGGAACTTTTACTGACAATGAATATGATTGTTTTTTTTTGTTTACTGTAATGTTTAGCGTTATTTTATTCCCACCAAGATTTCCAATCAAACAAAAACCAGTATAATAAAAACTCAATTTTCAATTAAAATCATTTACAAACTCTAGAGATTCGTGTTAAAGATTTGAAAGTCAGAAATCAAAAGTCAGTTCAACGGTCAACATTAACCATTTTGCAGGACTTCTCTAGTCTTTAGCCAATTTTCACGGCTTTCTTGTCAACAACCATTCTTAAAGAGAGACTCCGAGTAAAGCATGGTTGAGTGGTGGTGTTGGAAAAGAAAAAAAGAAGTGAATGGGAGTGCTGAACGAGGGCAAGCCGGGCTCGTTGTTTGAAGCGGTTGCGCACTCTGTTGCCCAGGTCGACAAGTTGTATTTGCCGGAGGGATGAGCGAGACGGCGTGCGCCCCGTCGACCGGCCCGCTTAGTCCTCTTCTGCCTTTTTTTCCCCCATTCACTCTCTCCGCATGCGCCCTGAATCAGGCTCATTTATGTCTAGGCTTTCACTTTCCAATGCATGTAATCGATGAAAGTTTCTTTCTTGATTTTGCGCTCAGCTTTTAAGTCATTTTCGAGCTTAAAACACTTAATCTTTTCTTTTTACTAACTATTAGATTGACAAGAAAGTTTGTGGAAAAAGTTTGCACAGTGATTTCTCAAAAGCCAAACCATCAATTCTTTCCAGATTTTTTGACAAAAAAAATCAGAGTGGGTTTCTCTGTAAAAAAATTTTTAGCCAAAAATAGAGATTCAAAAAACAGATCCTAAAGCGTATTGCTCATTTCCAATCTAATATCATGCCTTCCTCTAACAATAAATAACACAATTCAGTCTAGCTTTACCTTATAAGGAATTGTTTTGCTCTTGCAAAAAGTGAGCTGAATTTAAGCTGGAAAATAATAATTTTTTTTTAAATCTCTAAAATCTTAAGGGAAAGCTGCACTCATTTTTTTTACGAGTAATTTCTTGGAGTCGACTTGTAAATAATAGAAGAAAATGTTCTTGAATTGGTGGATTCGTTTTTAAGAAATTCGAGTGAAACTTTTTCCGAGAACTTTCTTTCCAACCTAATAGATAGTGACAATCCAAATTTTCATTCTGGACAATTTTCAATAGTGTAATTTAGTTTATAGTCCTATACACTCGTTTATAGACTGGTTTTTGAAGAAATTGTCCAACCTCAAAATTGGTGGACAATACATTAACATCGGGAAAGCTTATGAGAAAAATGTTCTTGAATTGGTGGATTTCGTTTTTGAAGAAATTCGAGTGAAACTTTTTATGAGAACTTTCCAATCTAATATCATGCCTTTCCATTTCGAATCTAATATCATGCTTTCCTCTAACAATAAATAACACAATTCAGTCCAGTTCAACTTTCAGATGAAAAGAAAATGAAAATGAAAATGAAAAGTGATTGAAATCATGGCTGACAAGAATTATTTGCCAATAAAAGATGTTTGACTTTTATCCAAAAGAAACTTTATTTGAAACTTATTTTCTGTAAAAACTTTAGGCAGTCTTTTACAGGATAGCTATTCTCTAAATGATACGCGATCCGGATTCGGCTTTTATTTGCGAACACTCAAAGACTCATCGCCGCTTTCAATCGTCCATTTTTGTTCATGATTCGTAAATTGAAAGCGCTTGCTTATTTTTTTTTTGTTTTCTTTGTTTTCTTTCTTTAATCTTTATTCTCATTCTGTAATTCTGTAAAGGTTTCATTTTTTTACTCGTTCAATCAATGATCAACTGAACAAATACTCGATTTGAGAAGATTTTAGCTCAAAAATGAAAACAAGTGACTTGAAAAAGAAAAAGGCTGTTTCGGTAGCGAGAGTTCGAGTAAGTTTCGGGGGTGATCACTTCACCTGAAGGTCATCGCTCAGCTCACTTCCCTCAAACAAAGACATGCAAATTTCTCTACCTGTCACACTCAATCTTTACCTTTTCTCGTTTCTTTTCCTTCTTTTCGCAAGAAAAACGTATTTTTTTCTATTATTCCACCCACTTTTGTGGATTGTCAGAATTGAACAGAAAAGAATGGGTGAAATGCGACTGTGAGTAACCCGATGCCGAGCATTCATTCGTCTTTCTTTTCATACTCTTCCCCTATTACTCACTCTGTGATTCTCATCTTTTTATCAAATTTATCATTGCTTTCACTAATCAAAATTTTCAGGAAGAAAAGTTTTTCTGAATGCACGAATGAACATCGAAAAAGCAGGCAAGTGACTTAAAATTTTATTAGATTTCAAGAGCTTAACTCTTTCATGTAAACAATTTTTTTCATATAAAAAGTTCTTATAAAAATGGGGGGTGGGACAAATGCCACCTTTTTTTTGCGCACCTGGACATTTGCGCACCTTTTTTTTTGCTGGAAAAGGCCTTAGGAAAGGTCGTAGAGCTTCAAAAATGTTTTCATAGAAGGGAATCGTATGCGTAGATTCCGAATTTCGACAAATCAGACCTCGCTGACACGTCAAATTTGGGCTAAAAGGCAAAAGCTACGCAACTTAACGCTTTTCCGCAAAAAAGGTCGCATTTGTTCCACCCCCTAAAAATATTCTTATAAAATTTCCTTATAAAATGTTCTTATAAATATAAATAAATATAAGAATTTATAAGAAATAAAAATGATATTTTTCTTATAAGGTGTTTACCGTAACCCGCCAAGGGCTAGTTCGTGGTTAATCGTGTTTAAAAGGAGAAATTTTTGATAAAAATTTTCATTCTGGACAATTTTCAATAGCGCAATTCAGTTTATAGCCCTATACACTCGTTTATACACTGGTTTTTGAAGAAATTGTCCAACTTCAAAATTGGTGGACAATACATTAATATCGGGAAGGCTTATGAGAAAAATGTTCTTGAATTGGTGGATTCGTTTTTTAAGAAATTCGAGTGAAGCTTTTTATGAGAACTTTCTTTCCAACATAATATCATGTCTTCCTCTAACAATAAATAACATGATATTATGTTTATAACGAGCCAAACATAACGTTTTTTTGCACAAATTCACCATTTATTTTTTCTACTACGCTAATACACCAGGAATATCGTCATTTTCGTGGTTTTTATTAGTGCATGCTTGTAAGTATATTTTGAAATTATTCAAAGCTTAGAATTCAACAAAAACACTTTTTGAACGACTTTTTATGAAGATGTTGATTGATGCCTTAAAGCAATAAAACAGAATTCTAGCGTTTGATTGTTGTTAAACTTTTAATGAACATATGTTACAAAGGGATTATCATTGATCATCATTACCTTCAAACATGTGAAACCTGGTTATAGACTGGTTTTTGAAGAAATTATCCAACCTCAAAATTGGTGGACAATGCATTATATCGGGAAAGCTTATGAGAAAAATGTTCTTAAATTGGTGGATTCGTTTTTGAAGAAATTCCAGTGAAGCTTTTTATGAGAACTTTCTTTCCAACATAATATCATGTCTTCCTCTAACAATAAATAACATGATATTATGCTTTTAGCGAGTAAAAACTCGCAGAGTTTGGCGAGGAAACATAAGTAGCTCTTATAAAAATAGCCACAAAGTAACAATTAGAGAGGGTATCAGTTTCTGGAAAAGTTTTCTGTACTTGTTTCACTCTTTGCAAACAGTTCATTTTTTTTGCTCATCTTCAAGATTTGCTCTAAAGGATAAAGCGGCTAAACATTTATTTGAGTTTTTCGCACAAAAAAACGGTTTAGAATTTATGTGGATGAGATTCGTTTTCTCCGTCGATCTCTTGTTCCTCCTTTTTTCCCTTTTCGATCGACCGAACTCGTAAAGAGCATGAGACTGTTTCCCATCTCTTTTACCTTCTTTTCTGTATTCTTTTCCTTTCATTCACAACCCCCTTTTCTTCCAATTCGTCTTCTTTTCCTCTTCAATCCATACCTTGCACTCATACAAGTAAACCTATGACTTTCTCTCTTACTCATCACACTGAAATCTATTTGATAGTCTTTCAAAATTCAAAAGTCTTTCAATCCCAGATTATTACAATTTATTTTTTTAGATTAAGCTACTAAATCAGTAGTTTTTTTACTCTTCAAATTTCTCACAATCATCTAAAATCCTGAAGCTGAATGGCTGAGTTTTGCAGAAATACGCATCTCATGACTGTGTTTAGAACACAATATAAATCAGCTGATCATATGATTTGATGTGCGATCTAAAGAACAATCACGAATCTCTTGATCGAAGTGATGCGGAGTCGAGAGGGGTGAATGTGGATAATGTTTTGGGTTGTCTGTCTCAGCGCCTTCCACCCCTCAGACTCCCCTCCCTTTCTATCCAAATTCTCCGCCCGATCCTTCTCCAATTCTCTTCCCTTTCTTCTTTTACCTTCTTTGGCTGAATGTGGTCGATTTTCTCACAACCGCATTTGTACAATAGGATCCTTGAGAGAAAAGGGGCACACGCACCAGTGTGTACCATTTTGCGGGTTTTCTCATTTATTACTCCTTCCTCCCATCAACTCGTTTTGACAAGATTCTTTTTTTCTATTGTTTATTTCGAAATTTGTCTCTTTTGCCTCGTTGTTATACTTTATACTTCATTAAAATTGAAAAAAAATCTTAATTAGCACTAATTCTTTTATAGCTTAATGAAACAAAATTAAGATTTTTGCTTAATTCATTGTCGACTGACATTGAAATTTGTGATTGACTTCAAAAAGAAGCACATCTTTTTAAAATTAAACAACTTTCTGTTGTTTAATTAAACAACAACAACAACTAAAATTAAACAACTTTCCAATGCCAATATCGATTCTACTAACGATGGTAATATGGGTTTTTGGGAACAACTTTCTGGTTTTGCAATGTTGATATTGATTTTAAGTGGAAAGGAAAGAATCAAGATTGTAAGAATGGCGTCAGCCGGCATCATGCAGCCTTTACATGGAATGTTTGCCGACGGGTGGCTGGAGGATCGTGGGGGGGAGAAAAAGAGAAGAGAAAGTAAAGGGAGTGTGAATGTTTCTCGAACATGCTCTCCTCTTGTAAGCCTGTCCATTCATCAACTCAAATTTACCGATTTCATAATGTTTGTCAGTTACTTTTTTAAAAAAGTTATCTAGTATTTACAACTAAATCTTGCTCTATTTATTGTTTTTTATTGCTCTTACCGGTCTCCATTTTTATCAAATTCATTTTTTTTTTGACAAAACAGTATTTGATTGACTCTTTAAATTATACATGTAAAATTACACTTAATTTTCTATGTCATTTTTTCATGTAAATCAATTTCTTTCTCAATTTCTTTTGAAACCTTGATTGTGCTTGATATTTTTCTAAGAATAGTTGTCTAATTTTGATTTGATTTTAAGAGATTTATTTTAATTTATTTAAGAGAGCTATATTTTTTTTTTCTAATTATTCAAATCTGCTTCAAAATTACTATTATATCTATTTGGAAAACTCTTTTCAAAGCTTTTTTTTTTCATCAATCAATAGATGCCGCATTTTTGTAAATATGAAAAGAGAAAAAGGCGGAAAAAGGAGGCGATCAGCGACGAAATTCCATCATCCATATAGCGCATAAGTGATGTCTCCGTTAAAGAGAAAGAGTCTAAAAAGAAAAGAAATATAAGATAGGGATGGGGACTTCCTGAGAGAAGAACCATCATTAGTTTTGTGGTTGTGCAAAAGGGTAGAGGGGGCGCATGATCTCTTCTCTTTTCTTTTCTTCTCTTCTCTTTTCTTCTCTTCTCTTCTCTTCTCACTCTTCTCTTCTCTTTTCTTCTCTTTTCTTCTCTTCTCTTCTCTTCCCTTCCCTTCTCACTCTTCTCTTCTCTTCTCTTCTCACCGTCACTCTCTTTCTCTCCTTTTCAAAACTCAATCTCTTTTCTACAATCTTTTCCTTCATTTGGGTGTGGCTCCTCTCTTTTCGAGACTGTGCTAGCTCTATCACACTCCTTGAAAACATGCACCTGATAGATTCATGAATCATTCAACAAGCATTTCAAAGAACAAATAAGAAAGCTGGAGAAGAATATTCAAAACTCTAAGTTGCTAGATTTAAACGACTCTAGACTCTAGATTTAAAGGTGCTTTCAAAAAAAAAATGAATCTTGTTGCTTTTAGATTGTTTTGTAAAGGAAGTGTTTCAAAATTTCCATAAACTATTTTCAGAAGAGAGAGCCAAAGAGGTCGAGGAGACTCGGCTGCACACAGCCACCGCGACAGTCTTCTTAAGACCAGTGATTCCAGTTAGTCCACCAATTCATCCACCACCTCCACCGCCAACTACTGAGCAACAATCTCAGGTAACTGATTATAAAAAAGGTGACACAAAAGCTCGAAGTCACCTCGTTTTAAAGGCCAACAGAAAATCTTTTTTGAAAAACGGCTTAAAAACTCGAAATCTAGATGAGATTTCGGTCTAGAAAAGATAAAAGATTCTTCCGCAAAAACAAAACCTTCTCATCAAGTACATAGATCTATTTTCTTAAGTGAAATAAGAGTTAAAAGTTGAAATCCGATCACGACTCTTTAGAGCTATGACTTGAAACTTTTTAGAGCTATAAGTTTTGCGTTTTAGCTTCAATCAACCTGAAATTTTGTTATTCGTCTAGAAAGAGTTTAAAGAATAGAAATAGAAATAGAATAGAATAGAATTGCTCACTCAGAAATAGAAATAGAAAAATAGAAGTCAGTCAAAAATATGTTTAATTATAAAATTCAGAAAATTCAGATGATTTTCGAGAGAAATTCAAGCGATTAGGCATTTGGATTGATTCTGGCGATATATTGCCAATTAAAAGACTTAATCTTTACTTTTAAAGCTTTAAATTGAACATAAACATAACATAAGAATATTTAAGAATATTATTTAGCATTGGATAGTTTTTTTTGTTATCTTAAAAGCTGAATTTTGCTTCAAACTTTTGTGTCATCTTGTAATTTCCTGATGCTTTACAACTTGTTCACTTTACCTTACATTTTCTACATTACCTTACATTTCTACATTACTTTTACCTTACATTTTCTTTATTATCAAATTTTTAACACCTAGACTCTGTTAAATCCTTTCTTTCACAATCTTTAATTATCTGATTTCGAGCTCAAAGGTGACCTGGTCTATTTGAGAGAGAAATCTGTGCGTATCCCCTTTGCAGTCGTTTTTTCTGTCCTCTTTCTTTCTTACTTTCTTTCTTTCTTTCTTTTCTCCTAGGTCGCCCCCAACGGGCAAGTGGGAGCTCGAAAATCCAGTTTTATCAACAAAATAGATCCCTGAAGGAAAAAAAACAGTGAAGAGAGGAGGCGGAGAAACCCTTGACTTAAAGTGGCATTCGCTAAAGATCTCACTCTTTTACAAAGCCCAATCACCTTACTAGGTTAGACTCCGCCCTTGCTGCTTTTCTCTCTCCATCTTTTTCAATCATTGATTATCATTTTTGTGTTATTTACGGGAAAAAGCAATCGCTTGTGTCTCTCTTTTCTCCCGTTTCCATTTCAAAGAGTAGCCTCTCCTCTCACTCTGATATCTTCATAAAAACTACGCTAAGATTTTTGATTGTTAATTATTTTTCCTAAAAAGCTTTGAAAGCATAACTTGTTTGGACTTTATTTATAACATTTCAGAAATTATTTACGAAAAGAAATTCTAGGAGAGTCAGCGCGTGTGGTCGACGATGACTACCCAAATCGAGACATCCACCTCGGTGAAACAGTGGAGCACTCCGGCAGAGAAAATTGTCGAAGGGCACCCGCCTGGTCCGGTTAGTCTATCAATTTTCTATCAGCTTCAGCTTCTTTAGAAAGTTTACTGTTTAATTATTTGATTTTCTTGATGACATTTTCATTCAATTTCCTCAACACCATCTCTATTTTTGATGTCAATTTGTGCCAAGCAGTCTAATCAGTCTGTCTTCTATTTCTTCTTAAAGTTTAGTGTTTAATTTTTTTTAAATACGAAATCCTAATCTATCTTTTGATTCTATGCCATAATTAGGCATTTCATGTCATTTTCGAGGAGGTGAGGGATGGATGGATGGAGCAGGGCGTTGCCCAAGAGCCGAGACCGGTTCTCGAACATGCCACCCCATCCTTCTCCTCTCATTTTCACCTTCACATCATCCTTTTCCTCTTTCTCCGCCTCTTCACCTCAGCCTTCTTGATAAAGTAATTCAAGTAATTTAGTAAAAATTCCATATTTTCTCGAAATCTTGTAGAGTAAAGACCACTGAAAAGATGGTAGTAGGGTGGCTTGGTTTCATCGTGCATACGGATGGCTCGGCTCTCCGGGAAAAGCCACACCCTATACAAGGTCAACTCTCCTCCATCGTCTTTTCACTCACAAAAATGTGAGCAAACCACTCGATGGCAATTCTTTTCTTTCCATCGATTTTGTAGTCAATAGAGCTAGAAAAGGATGCCTAGAATGAGAAGAAAGTTGTTAAGGAAAAGTTAAACAGTTAGCTGAAAAAGAGAAAAAGAAAAAAGCAAAAAAAGCTAAGCCCAAAAAAGTAATGAACGATGCCGAGATGAAAAGGAAAACAATAAAAAAAAAAAGAGAAAGTCACATATGAGGGTGAGCACAATTTTCACTGTCTATGAATATCCGGTTGTTGTGTCACGGGTGGATGAGAATGAGTGAAGGGAAAAGAGAGAATTTCCCTATCGGTCACTCGAATCTCATCCATGATGCCATTCATCCCATCATCTTCCCTGATTGACTCATCTCTTTTTTTTGAAATCACTTGATTCTCAATACGATTTGGGGCGTGTCTCCTCTGATTTAGAGCCAAGGGTGGGGTCAACGTTTTGGAATTTAAAAAAAACTTTGTTCACCTTTGCTTCTTTTTCAATCTGCTTTTATTGACTTATTGCTCAAAAGTAACTCCTATTGTCATTTTCGATTCACCAACCTTTAATCCAATCTATTGTCGTTGCTTTGTACACTCTGAAAAGCTTACTGGTCATTCTTTTGTCAATTTTGAATGATTCAACATTAGAATGGCCTAGGAATTGATACCGTAAATACTGTAATAGTACCCCACCCACATAACGACGATGCGGAGTGTTGAGTAGTCTGGCTTTGAACGAGTTTTTCTCGACACTGATTTATGCTACAATGCGCGCTTAGGTATCAAAAAAATAGCTGAAATTCAGGGCTATTTTTTGATACCAAAGACGCATATTTTTAAAGTACGGGTGCTTTGAAAAAAATGAAATACTAAAAAACTTTTGCGACTACGCGACTGTACGAGGGCGGTGGGGTACTATTACAGTATTTACGGTAGCTATAATATTAACTTACTAAATAATCAACGAAAAGAAGTATTTTGGCAGAAATTGTTCTCTTAGAATCTTCACTTTTACTGTCGATTGCTTGCTTTTCTTGCTAAAAGTAATGGAGCAGAAAATTGTCAGTTCTGCTTGCTCGATCTTTCCACTTTCTCCTACTCTCCTCAATTCATCTACAATCTTTTCTACTATATCTAAAAAACCGTTAGGTGTATCTTTTATTCAAGTTATTAGTTTACTTTACTCTTTTCCTTATCTGTCGATCTTATCTTATCTGTCGATCAGTTAGATGACGATTGATGTGGGCTCAAGGCCTACCCGGTACTCAGAAAGCTTTCTACAGAAGCTGAAAGTTTTTGTAAGTGTTTTCAAAAAGAATTTTCAAAAAAGATTTCAAAGACTAAAGATCTAAGAGATTAAACATTAAACTAAAGAGATTTAAGACGCTAAAAGTTATGCTCAAAATTCAGGATGATAAGCCGAGCACATTGGAGGGTGAGGCGAGAAGTGGAATGCTTCGTGGAATCACTCCCAACTACAAGCTTGGCACCGAGAGACCCGTGAGTTACGCAAATTTCATAGAAAAAAGAAATTCCCATTGTATCATCTGTATTTTTTTTTAAAAACCAAAGATTTAGGACAGCCGGATTGACCTCCCGCACTCTGGACACATCCCGAATGCAGACGGGGACTACAAGGTCAAGCAACAACAAGATCACTACAAACTCACCGTCATCGATCCAAAGGTTCGTTTCCAGGGAAATGTTGATTTATAGAATTTATATAATAAAAAAATAGGTTCGTTCGTCGGCAAACATGCCTGCTTACTCAACCGGGGTACCCGATCCACGTCGTTCACGAGCCGGAGATTTCCCCTCCGAGCACACAAAGCGTTCTTTTGTCAAAGTCGACCCACTCGAGCAGCGAAAGTTGAAGGCAAGTTTGTTTGTATTTATTTATCAAAAAGCAACAACAACAACAAGCAACAGCTACAAAAAATTGATTTTTCAAAATTTGCATAATAATCTCCTATAATTCGATGTTCCAAGGACATTGCTCGATTTGCATTTGTTTTCCTCTCTCTCCAATCTCTATTGACTCCAATTCAAAGCGTTGTACTATTTTTCATAAATCAGCAAAACAAAATAATTACTTTATTTTAAAAATGCTTACCCTAAACCTGGTCATAGTAAGTTTTTTTCTTGTAATTATTAATTAGCTTTGGTAAAGTGAGTGATAGTTATTCTAATTTTCAAATTCGATATCATATTGATTCATATCGACATTTAATTGAATGTTTAGGCAGTGGATACGCGAGCGATTTCGACATCGGCTTACCTCACCGAATCGGTACAACGACACCGAGATATGGAGGCGAGCCGTCTCAAGGCACGTCTCCGCACTTCGCTTCCGCGGTTTCTCGCACCTGCACCTCTCCTCCGAAAGCAGATCCTAGTTAACACTTTCTAGGGAACTTTTTCAATTTACCACCGATTTTCGAAACCGGATCTAGCTACAAAACGCCTCCGTCTAATTCTAAGAAACATATATCTTTCATTTTTTTCCTATTGGACGCTAGTTTTTGAGAAAAATGCGTGCAAAGTTTCGGCTAATTTCGGCAAACTGCCACCTCGCCTAGCGGGATGGAAGGAAGAGCGGCGGTAGCTCAAGGAATATTGCGCTATTTTATGAAACTATGCCATTTTTCCTCGCGTGTTCAATTCCGCTCCCAGTCGCCTCCTTATAGGCGAGGTGGCAGTTTGCCGAAAATAACCGAAAGTTTGCACCCGTTTTTCTCAAAAACTAGCCTCCAAAAAAAAAAAATAGGAAAAAATAAAAGCTATGTTTTTTAGAATTCGAGTGCGGGCGTTTTTTAGTTAGATCCGGTTTCGAAAATCGGTGGTAAGTTAAAACAGTTCCCTAGTTAAACGAGTTTCAAGTTTCATATGAGAACTCACACGAGAAAGGCAACAGTAGAAAGTGGCCAAATGCGATAAGCCATAGACCATTCGACGCAGAATTTCACGCTGATTCCGAATCTGTTTTCCGTTTTTTTTATTTGCAAAATAGCTTTCTATAAAAAGTTGTACGTGTTTTAAGTTTTAGGGTGAAAATTTTGGAGCCGGATGCCTTTATAAGGGTTCTCTCACGTGTCTCGAAGGTGGCGTGGTGGTGTAGTGGATCAGACCCTTGAATACGAAACGAGCGTTGCTTTTTTTTACTCGAGCTCGAGTCCTTTTGACAAAAATTTTGTTTGCGAAAACGGAAAGCAGATTCGGAAGCGGAAATTCTGCGTCAATTAATCTATGGCTGGCTCAACTTATTTGGCCACATCTTACTGTTGCTTTTCCCTTGTCAGTTTCACTTTTGAAATATTGCTTAAGAAAAGGATCTGTGTCAGGTGGAGAGTGTCATTCGTGCTCGATCCTCGGTGGCTGTTTATAATGGCTGTTGTCTCTTTTTTCTCTTATTTGTCACTAATCACCGTTCTTCTCCAGGAGTATCTACGGGCAAAAGAAGGCGATGCGAATCAACCATGGAACAAACCCGACTGGCCCGGACCAAGAGTGCGCACTTTTTCTGAGTTTTATCCGTATTTCACTGACTACGGTATTGAAAGCAAACAGGGTGACCGCAAAGTAAAGTGCCAACTTTTTGGAAAAGTAGTTGATGCCTAACTTATTTCAGAAGTGTCAAGTGTAGTGAAATGTCAAGTGTCAAGTAGAATTGTAGCCGTAATTCTCGGCGACATTCATCTACTAAAAACTTTCCGATTGGGCTTATACAAGTTATTTAACAAGCGCTTGAATGAGCGATAGTCGACATCTCTCATCTCTGCCATTTTTTACGATTTTTGACATTGTTTCTGCCAGTTAATTGTGATTCTTAATGTTATTAAGTGATTTTAAACGCTATTTTTTTATTAAAGAAATATTGAAAAGCTTTTCTTAACAATTTTTAATAGAGAAAAGCGGTCAAATGACAGATTCGATGGAGAGATGTCGACTAGCGACCGTGCTTAAGCTTGTTAAATGAGTTGTAAAAGTCCAATCGAGAAGTTCTTTGTAGATGAATATTGCCGAGAATTCGGACTAAAATTCTACAAATCTAACACTTGACACTTCTAAAATAAGTTAGGCATTAGATACTTTTTCAAAAAGTTATCGATTTACTTTGATTGAAATGCGCATAACGTTTCGAGTATGATTTTTACTTTTTGTAAGCTTCTAAGTCGCTTGTAAACTCGAAAATTTTTATGTTTAATTGAGTTTCGCTTTCAGCAAGTGTAATTTCCACTAACTAAAACTGTAAATGTGAATTTTGTAAACTTTTTTGTCAAACGTTTTTTTGAACTTGTTTGCAGTCAAATTTTCAGCATCAGCCACCAAAGAACGACGAAAGTCTTCGAGAACTCGACAGCATCAAAGAGGTTTTCTTATTTTAATATCTTCTTTTCTTATTTGTTTTTTTTACAAAAACCCATTTCAGAGAATTGCCACTCTTCAAAAGGTATGTCTATTCCTTTTTCAAAGCACCCCACCAATCTTGCACCATCTTGTTTGTCCCCTTGTCCTTTCGGGATTCGCTTTTGAAAGTTTCGATATGTTTTTTCCAAAAACAATGTCAAAGCCGATCCTCAATTTCCGTTTTAAAAGTTTCCCTTGTGTGTTGTCCCTTTTCTTTTCTCCTGCAAATGGTGCCGTGTGTGAGATGCTCGAGAAATCTCCTCTCAAACTCTCCCCTCTCAACCCCAATCAACTAACACCCCAAAGGTTGGTAACCGATTGTGGTGTCGCTTTTTGATAAAACTTGTGCATTCTTTAGAAAGTACAACGAAGTCAATCTATGCAAGAACTCATGCTCATCCCACCCGACGAGTTTGCTAGAACGTTTACGGTAAATCTATGAAGAGTATTGTTCATGTTTCCTCCTTTAGCCAATGCCTTCAGCCTCATCAACTCGAGATCCAGGATGGCTTGTAAAAATGCGTTCAAATAGGTTTGTCATTTTACATGCATTGATTGGAGGGAAAAGTTTGAGAAACCTTGACTCGTACATACCGAAAGAGGATTAAGCTGTAAAGAAGGCGGGCCCGTGTTTGCACAAGAAATTTCGCCTAGAAAACCAAAAAAACAATTGAACTGCTTCACTCACTGTCATTCGGAAGGGTCAGAAGTTGAAGTGACCGTTTGGGATGAGTCATTCGATAGATCTCATTATGAATATTGATGACCAAAATCAAAAAAAAAATCGTACATACCGAAAGAGGATTAAGCTGTAAAGAAGGCGGGCGTGTGTTTGCACAAGAAATTTCGGCTAGAAAACAAAAAACAATTGAACTGCTTCACCCACTGACAAGGGAAGGGTCAGAAGTTGAAGTGACCGTTTGGGATGAGTCATTCGATAGATCTCATCATGAATATTGATGAGCAAAATCAAAAAAAAATTAGCTCTACAACAAGAAATGGGAGCGATAAGGAGCAAAAATGACGTTTTTTTTGAATCCTCCCTGAGCTTTTTACTGAATCAATATTTTTAAATGTAATAGAAACTTGAGTGAAACTAAAAGAAAGAAATTTTTATTAATTATAGAAACTTTAGATGTTTATATACAAAAAGTTAAGTAAACTTAGGCTAAAATCAATAATTTTGAAATGTAAAATTTTATAAATACTTTGGGGAATATAAATTGTATTTTATTTTTAGTTTTATTCAACTTCTATCAAATGCAAGTTGAAAATGAGGGTTTAAAAACGTCATTTTTACTTCTTTTTTTTGTCCTATTTCTCATCATAGAGTTACAGTACTGGACAATGAAATATGATATCTGAAAAACGATCGTCACTTTCGCGCGTCTGTAACTCCCTTGTCTTTGAGTTTAAACTATTAGTGTTATACATTTTTTGAAAGCTCTTTTCAAGGGCTACACAATGGTAATATTAATATTTAGAAAGACGGTAAACACAAGGGAGTTACAGAAGCGCGAAAGTGACGATCTTTTTTCAAATATGATATTTCATTGTCCAGTAGTGTACTTTGAGCAGCTAATTTTTTTTTTGGTCATTAATTTTGTTCAGTTTTTTTTGTCCATTTTTTCTTCCAGTCTTACTGACTCATTTTTGTAAAGTTTCTGCAACTTCAAAAAGCTGAGTGAGCAAAAATTAAATACAATCATTAAATACGATTTAAAACTATTAAGATCAGTTTCCATTTAGATATCTAGAGGAAGTGTCTCAGAATATCCGCAAGCATCTTTCGATGGATCAATTGGGCGCTCTTTCACCCCGGCAAGAGCCCGAGCACAATGATATTGTAAGTAAAAAGTTTTAATTTGTTCAATAATATGGGATAATCTAATTCATTTACCATGTTTCAAAAATTGCGAATGACTATATACATATGCCGATGGAATGGGGGAGAGTCTCGTCACGCGCGACCGTTTTCTCTCCAAACAGACTCTTGGGTTTGTGGGCCGCAAGACGGGGGGAAAGGTTAGAGGGAGACGAGGCCCTCCCCCGCTTGGTCTTCCATCTTTTCCTCTATATCTTTTTTTTCTTTCTTTCTCTTTTCTCGGCTCCTTTCTTCTTCCAATCGCGATTGAAACTTTTTCATCCCAGTCTCCCCCTCACCATACCCACTGGGTTGTTACGATATTTTTAGAGTCGCGCTCAATTTACCATATTTCTATTGTACAAAAGCTTTTTCAAACAAAGATTGAAGAATATTCTATACTTTTTAGAACGCTCGTCCAAGCGGTGACGATCCCTTGCATTGGCAGCTTCGCAAAGAATTTCATCTCACTAAATACTCGGTTTGTTTATATAGTTTTATTTTTTATTGAAAAATCACAATTTCTTCATGCTTAGTTTTATAGTTAGAAAGATAAGGATCAAAAAAAGATAAAGATAAAGTCAGACAGAAAGATAAGCCAGTCAGAAATGGTGTGATTCTAGTGAGCTTGATCAGCCAGCTTTATCAGCCAGCTTGATCAGCCAGCTTGATCAGCCAGCTTGATCAGCCAGTTTGATCAGCCAGCTGATTGATTTTATCCTTTGAAAACTTTGAACGGCGCTTTGTTGACTAATTGTGGTCATTGTTTTTTCCCGGAACGATTTGCAACACAGTAACTCAGGATGAAGGGATCGAGAGTTGAGGGAAGAGGGTCCTCAGCAGGGGCAGCGTGGCGGCGGTTGTGTCGGTCAACAGTGCCGCAAGAGGGAGGAGGCTTCTCGGGGCTCTCGCCTAGCGGCACCTCTCCGCCCGCACTCCTCGAGTGGGCTTCCCCCCCCATCGCTCCCATAAGCACCCTAACACGAGTCGCGACAAACACCTCCTTCGCTCCCCCCCACACCCACCACATCCATCTCCGCTTTTTTTTCTTTTCTTTCGATCCATTTACATATTCCATTACCTATTCACTCGGTGATTGACGAGTGGAGGGTGCACTTGTTATGGTGCGCCCATGGCTCACGGGACCCTTTCGAAGCGAAGCCGCAAACACCAATCCACTCGATGATCCGGGTCATTCTGTGAGAAGATTACGAGCTCGATATCTGCAAAGCGTTCAAGCAGCAAGTGGTAGCAAGAGCTCTAGAAGCGGTCGTCCCGGTCTACAAGTTGCTCCCACACTGCCACCTTTGCCCGAAGAAGTCTATCGCAGTGGCGAAGAGCTAGAAATTGTAGTTTTTTTTCTGTAAGAATCTAGAATTCCATCTAATTCTCTAGTAATATTCTCTAGTTTGTAAAATCATGATTTTAGGAGCGGCGTACATCGTGGCAACCAAGTGAGGGCGCGCCGCGTGTCCAACCGACGATTAGCTCCCTACCGGAAAGGCGGAGGACGCATAGGTAAACAAACCTCCGCATAGGATAAATTAATATTTAAATTAACATTTAAATCAACTAATCACAGTTAAACTAGCATTTAAATTAACTAATTAACAGTTAAATTAGCATTTAATTTTAGCGGCGCGCCACTCTATCCACCGGGAAGCACCGATCGTATTGAAAGCGAATCACAACCAGCTGATCGACCACTGGAACCGGTAGAGTTTTAGACTGAATTCAAATCTAGATTCTATTTAGACGGTCTACGAAAATAAACCACTCCCACCATCTGTTATTGGTGTAAACGTTGAAAGGGAAACTCGGCAAACGGTTGAAATTTTCTCTCTAAATTTTCCAAAATCCTTTCTAGAGACCATCAACAGCAATAGGAAACGATTACCCGGAAAGATTGATGAGCCCACCGCCCAATCGGGAACCACGAGGAATTTTAAAACAATCGTACTCTCACTTTGAAGCTCATCAAGCCTATCAATCGGAAATGAGAGAAACAGGCTCATCACCACTTAAACAGGTTTGATTGTTTGTAAGAATCAAAGAAAACTAAATTCTAGCATGAACAGGCTTCTCGCCGACCTCCACTTGAAAATGGATATGAGGTAAAAACCGAAGAATTCAAGTTCTTGCTTTCAACTTTTTCGAATCTTTCAAATTTTTCTTTCAGGAACGGCCACTTCCTGGAACGGCTTTTCAAGAATTGCCTGAAGAAGAACGAGTTCGAATTATGCAGGAAAATTTGCAAAGACATCGTCTCGGTCAACGAGCAACCGGAGCATCACAGCCAAAGCTACCGGCTAGCTCTTTTAACGGCCCTTTCTTCAAATTGGAGGAAGTGGGTCCCGGAGGAGCGTCTCGAAGTCGGTGAGTAGGGGATGTTCTCCCGGGCATCGCAACACGCTTTTCCCCAATTTCCCCGTTCTCTGGGGCCATCGATCGAGGGAATGCTGTGAGTGTGTGTGGTCTCTTAGTTGGGGGTGATCTCGGGTTGGCTACACGGGGTATGCAACGTCTCCGCCTCGCTGTTCACAGTGCTCCCTCATCTTCCCGTTGTGTACTCAACAGTTTGAGAGGGCCGCTTGTGCGCGTCTCTCACCCCTTTTTTCCCTTCCCCTCCATGCACTGTCCCAAACAATTTAGCGCGAGCCTTCCCCCATCCTTCTTAACCCTTCTTCATGAGATGAAAAAGCAAGTGTAAAAGAAAAAGATTTTAAAATGGATCTATTCGAGATATTGGGTTGGTGAATTGAAAACTGAAAACTGCTGGACTTTGAACTAAAATTTATTGAACATAAAACCATAAATTCATTCCAAATAATTTCCATTATTATTGACGCCTTGTGCCCATTTTACGGGCAATTTGCGGATTCCTCTTTCGTTGTAGGATTTTGGTTTGTGTGTGAGACAAGTGTGAGACTCAAAAATCGAGGACTGGAGATGTCCCAGTTTGAGCACTTTCTTCAAAAGAAACCCATTTTGGTGTCAATAGAAAAGTTGTAGAGAATCAAAAATCAGGCTTATAGCCAAATGTCCAAAAAGATACACTTAGTAGTTTCGCTTAAAATGCAAGTTTTGTGAAAATTCGTAAATTTGGCATTTCTTGAAAACCAGTTTTTGAATCGTTCTGAAAATTTGGATATAAGCTTGATTTTTGATTCTCTACAACTTTTCCATTGACACGAAAATGGGTTTCTTTTGAAGAAAGTGCTCAAACTGGGACATATGACAATAGCCGGCAGTTTTCAATTCACCAACCCAATAGATTGAGATTAGCCTTGATTTGAGGAGAAGTCAATGTCCAATTTAAGGATTCGGAGCCGCCATTTTAGTTTGGGAAAGGTAGAGGCAAAGGTTTCAATTCACCAACCCAATATTAGAGATATTTATGGTAAATGATTTAAAATTTCAGACCTCAATCCGTGGCTCCACCACTCGGATCTGTAACGGAAATGCGAGAAAGCATTGAAGAACGTGATGAAGGGCATTTCCGAAGTCAGCAAATTGAGTACAGGTTTTGAGAAATGTTTTACTGAAAATGTTTTCGCGTTTAGCTATGAACAATCATCACAACAATTGCAAAAGATGCGTCAAATGTCTGCCTCCGAAGTCGAACTCCAACGCCACAACGAAAGCCATGTGAGTAGCAGAAAGCCTAGCAACGTTAGCTTAAATAGGTCATTGACTTCAGTTGATTTGTCGTGTTTGAAAGAGTGTTTGCTGTTTTTTTTTGAGTCTTTGAGCTATTTCACAATGTCCAGGATGATCCTACGGCTCCCTCGGTGGTGATTTGGCCACCGCCGTCAGCGAAAAAAGAACGACCTCGAAGTCAATCAGTGATGTCAAGAAGTATCACTGATCCGGATCGGATAGATGAGTTTCGACGCCAAAAAGATCTTGAAAAGGAAGCGATTCGTCGTCGAGAGGATCGATTGCAGAGAGATCTCGAAAAACAAGTAACTACATTTGATATCAGATTGATTAGAGGAGGGTTGATTGGTCAATTGAAGCCGATTCTCAATAAAATCAAATTCTCGGCAGATTTTGCTTTTGTAAATGATACAAAAAGAGAGATATTGATCTGTAAAGAGAGATATTGATTTTCGGAGTCGAATCGATTAAAGCTATTCATTTAGATCAATTAAACTTGAGTTTAATTGGTCTAAACTCGGTCAAAATCGACTCTTTAACCTAAATAAGTGCTTAATAATGGCTTTTCCTTATCTAATCAATTTCTTTTTTGTAGTGAAGCTTTGTAGGTTTATGCAATGGAACTCCAGCAACACAGACTTTACGAACAGCAATCAGTTTCCGCCACTCAATCGCCATATCCTCAACAATATCAGGCGTGTTTTTAGCATTTTGTGAATTTTGCACTAAAATTTAGTCATAAAACAAGCTATCACAATTCTTTAATGCTAACTCAAACTTATTGCTTTAATCATCCTTTGCTTTTAGTATCCACAAGAAATCTCTTACGATCAACAACGCTATTCAATGAGAGAGGTGTTTTCTTGTTAACTAACTAGCGATCATCATCAAATTCTAGCCGTACCCACCTTTGCAACAATACACAGCTCCATTGTCTCCGGCTCGTGAAGTCCCATACACTCAACCCCATGCTCATGTAAGACTTTTGATTCTAGGATTAATTGAAAAATATAATTCTGGGAAGAAAATCGAATTCTTTTGATTGAGAAAAATATTCTAGGATCCGGGTCCACCACCGCCTGCTCAAGTAAGGGTTTTTGAAACAAGACCTTTAAGTGCGATGAGTGAAAGCGGCCATCAAACAAGTCCACGTATGTCTTTTCATCATTTTCACTCACATGGAATTCATTTTAGAAGTGCCAACTTGGAAACGAACCTATATTGTGGAAAAGCCGAATATTGAAGCAAAAAATGAGATTCTGACTGGAGATGAAGTGCTGGAGAAAGATCTACAAGATGTCGAGATTGACATTTTGAAAGTACGTTTAAATTAAGTTACATTGAGTTACATTGAGTTACATTGAGTTACATTGAGTTACATTGAGTTACATTGAGTTACATTGAGTTACATTGAGTTACATTGAGTTACATTGAGCTATCTGGTATCTTCTCTAGCAAGAAGATACCGGATAGTTTAGCGGTTAGAGCATCTGCCCGGAAAAGGTCCCCGGTCGAGAGTTCAATCCCCGCTCCGGAAATCTTTCTTTGCCATTCCTTACTTTACTTGATTAGTTATAAAGTTGAGATTTTCAGAGGCGAGAAGCGTTTGTGGAAAAGCCCGAACTCGAGCCGGAGATTTTCCGAACAGGGCGTCGATGGCAACCACCTCCAGAAAGGCCGTATGTTTGGCCGACTTTGCGGCGCCCAGTTTCCGTAGATCCGACACTCCCGCCTAGAGATTTTACTCCCGGTAAAACATCATTAGTTCTTGATCCTGTTAACCAATTCTTTTGTAGGACCACCACACTCACCCGACGATGCCGGCTATCAATGGGCGCCACTAGTGTACGATCCAGCCTACAAGAAAGAGCAAAAGAATTTCACCCCACAACACTCACCACCGCATTCCCCAATCCGAGGACATGGCACAGGCCCGCTTGATGAGCCGGCAAAGCGGCAAACTCGTTATTTGGTTAAACCGGCAGCTGATGGATCACATCGACCTCGTCCAGCATTTGGTGGTCCTCGACATACGCCTAGTGGAGGATTTTATCCTCATGCTCCAAATGCTATTAAGGTTAGTGAAAAGGATAAAAACAATAAACAAACAAATGCTTTTCTAGGTGATCAAAAGACCAAATTCACCAAATGCGGAGCCACAAATTGAAATCATTCATCAAAGGAATTTCCATCGTCTTGATGAAATTGGCTCTCCGACTCCTCGAGCGTCGACCTCAGATCGACGGACTCGCAAAGAGTCGTACTCGAGTAGTCAAATCGATCGGGATCAGCTGCAGGTAAAGAAGCTAATTCCATAGCTAGCTTCCATAGTAAACAAATTCATCTTTTACAGGATTGGGAGAAAATCTATGATCTGCCACCACATTCCTCTCAAATTGTCAGCAAAGAAGTGCCGCAACATGTTGATGTGAAGGTGGGAAACAAATGAAAACCAAAAACCAAAAAAGAACATTGCTTTTAGCGAAGATTAGCTCACTTTGAAGAATCCGCTAGAAGAATCACCGGTCGAATGGCAGCCAGAGCTTTAAGCTTAACTCATCTTGATCAAGTGGTCAGTTTTTTGAACTCTTTCATTTCTTAAAAATAAAGATAAACTTCTTTTTTGAAGTGTTGTACTTTGTTGTGCGAGAAGTGTGTTGTGCTGTGAGTGGAGTGAATTGTTTTTAGCCTCCACCAGACTATGATGAACACCCTGGAGTAACAGTGGCTACGTTACCGCATCGACGATCAGAAAGACAAGCACATCATCATCATCAGAACTATCAACACGAGCAACATGCAAGCACAGCAAGACGTGAAAATCGCGAAGAGAGAGAGGTGCGAAGACACCGCGAGCGACAATTGATCGAAAGTGAGCGCCGTCGTGCCGCATACATGCACGGGTTGGCGCGCGAGTCGCGGCAATCTCAACACGATCGGCACCGATCCTACGAGAGCGCCCACTCATCACAGCATCATCAGGTTCGCATGTTTTTCTTTGTTAGAAATGATTTCTCATCTACACAAAGGCATGTGGAATGTACACAGCAGTTTTCTTTTTTGAAGCGAAAACTGTTTCCTGTTTTAGGTAGCACGTCGAGAGTCGAGCTCCTCATCTCGTGTGGGGTCACCGATGCACACCGGTGTGCCAATTCGGCACTCATCACATTCACAGCGACACCAACAACCGTCACGGTCGCAATCGAGACTCTCACAGCCAACGACCATAGCTTTAAGCCCACAGGTATCACAAAATAAACATATAACTTAAAAAATACTGATAAGATTATAACTAATGTAAGCTTTTATAAAAAGCCTAACAGCGGGTTTTTCGTTTTTTCGATGCTTTTGTCAATCTTTTGTTAGCTGGATCTTTGGGTCGCTGTGGCGCAGTCGGGAGCGCACTTCCCTACGGCCCTCACGATCCGGATTCGACTTCCGGCTGTGTCAGACGCTTGATTTCTGACGTCTGACGTCTGACTGCGTTGATTTTTAAAAAAACGAAATACGAGCTGCACAACTACATAGAATTCTAAGCCTAAAAAACTAAAAATCATGTAAATCGGCCCACGGAGAGCCGTACAGACGGACGGACAGACACTTCCCTTTTATATATAGCAAATAACTGAAATGAAGACTTCGTTATGCAAGATAACTAAATTTTAGCCTCGCTCTGAGACACCAGGCGCAGCTCGAGTGAGAAGCAAAATGGCAGTGCTGACTGGTCCCTCGCCACCACCTCCTTCTTATGAAAGAGCTCGACGATATCTTCCACCACCACTCCCTGAAGGATACCGGGTAGAAAATCCTATAAAATGATTCATTGAAAAATGAAATATCAATTTCAGTTGACTGATCCGGGAGTCGATCCTCGAGCCACGTCACCTTCTCAGGGAAACACACAGAGACTCGTGCGCTCTGTCCAAGAACAAGCACGCTCTATAGCAGCATCTCCAACTCCAGCACCCGGGTAGGAAAGCTTTCAGTAAATAGTTCAGTAAATAGTTCGATTTTTAGCACTCCACCGGGACGTGTTGGGAGCTCCCGAGATCCCCGTTCTCCAAATCCTCGTTATTTGTGAGAAACCCAATAGTCTTCTAACAAACTAGCCCTTCTAGCGTTGATGTTTCTCTTTTAATAAGTTATTATCAAATTGTGTCTCTTTGCTCAACCAACTGCCCATTGTGGTCCTCTTGGGGACAAATGTTAAATCTTTCTTTCTTTCTTGCTTCTCTCATGTCTTCGTTCCCAAAAAAAACTCTTCAGTTCAGAATCTAGTCGATATTTGTGTGTGTTTGTTTAATGTTCATTTGTGTTTACGTGAGCTTTTATGACCTATCTATAATTCTTTCATAAATAAGAGTGATTTGTGTTGTTTTTTTGGTTTTTGTAGGCTAGGCTTTTTGTGGTTTTGTTTTTTCTTTGAAATCCCTGAGCTTCAAAAAAGAATCGTGTTCACTGTGCTGCTTTCTGATGGTCAAAAGTAGTGAGGTATTTATACTATCCTTTAAAACTAATCAATTTAAAACTTTAGACTCATTAAGATAATGTGTTAATGTTGATTGTTAAATGTTTTCCAATGCACCAATGCACTGAATATCTTCAGCTTAGTTTTCAAACTAAATTTGCGATTTTTTTAGGCCGCCGCCGAGCCAAAGAAGGTTGGTTTTGCGAAAAAAATGAAAAAAAAAGAAAACAACTACTTATTTTTTAACTCAAAAACTTACCCCAAGTGTTATTAACAAAAAAAAGAGCTTTTCTATAGCAATCAAAAGTTTAAATGATGGTTTTGCCATAGAAAAAGCAATAGAAAAGCTTAACCAAAGTACCGTAATTATTCTATAATACGGTACTTTGGTTAGGTAAAGATAAGCTTTTGTTGGCCTAACCCAAATTGATGAGTGAGTTATGCTAACATGTGTGTATGTGCAGAATGATGAGCTCGATGCAATGGCGCGAAAATCGGACGAATTGGCGAGAAGAGCAAAAGAAGGCCGTGTCGACTATCGGCTAACAGAAAGCGAAATCGTCAAGACCAAGCCGGATCCTTTGCCTCAATCCCTTAAGGTATTCGCTTTTTCTACCCGCTTTCCCTCCTCACTTCCTCTTTAGGATCAGCTGCGTGATCTGCAAGCTTCACGCACTTCTATCCACACCGAAGCGACAAGCAAAGAGGCTGGCTATGTGACGGTTCGCCTTCCGTCAATTCGATTTTTAGTTTATTAGAAATGCACGCGAGCTGGACTTCTGACAAGCGCTCGCTTCAAGAAATAAAAAAAAGCTTCTTTTGCTTCAGCCTTTTTTTGCTAAAACTCGTTTTGCTAAGGGAAAAGTGTGTCTACCAAATTGCTGTGTTTCAAAAGCCAAAAAGGCCAGCACTAGCTCCCATTGTAGGACTCGTCGATGTGGCTCTTCTCTGGACAGAGCTTCTCGCCAAGGTCGGTGGTGTCGGTGAATGGGGCAAGCAAAGAGGAGGAGATGCTTCGCGTGCGCTCATCCACTGATCATCTCCGCCAGGTGTGCCTCCACTTCCCCTCCTACTCTTCCCCATTCATTTTCTTCATTTTGACCCCCGGTCCTCTGAGCACTTGCGCCAAAAATCCAAAAACACATATGCGAATGACGTGTTTGAGACTCACTCGACTAACCGAAAACAATCTTGTTAATTGTTATTATTAAAGCGTTTAGTGTGTGTTTGGGAATTTCAGGTGCCCGACGTTGCAGCGGTTCGACGCGACTACAATGAGGCGTACGCGAGACGAATCGAACGGTATAACTCGTTACCGCAACTCACACAGCCATCAGCGGTGATTCAAGTCAAGGTGTGCTCTCCTTCTTCCCCCGTTTTGCAACTCTAGTTCCCCCGTTTGTGTTTCTCTTCTTTGGGTTGGTGTGGTTGTGAGGTTGTTGATAATAAAAGAAAATTTATGTAAAAGAAAAACGAATGGGGGTAACGGTTGCACTTGCGCCTTTTGCACAAGCGCGCGAGGGCCGGTCGGAGTCCAAAATGAAAAAGAAACTAACAGTTGAACTTCGATATAACGTTTTAGGAGGAGGAGAAGTGGAGGGGCCAAAACGCCGATCCCTTTTGGCCGATCTCTTGAGATTCGTTATATCGAAGTTTGATTGTATGTAGAGTAGACTCAAGACACAAAAAAAACAAATGAGAAAAAGAATTTTCTAGGATGATAAGCCTCGTAGCATCATGAAGAGACGCGAGCTCGAGAATCGTGAACAAATGCTTTATCCGGCGGAGAACTATCGCCGAGAAGTTGTTCGCGAGGTTGTGCGTCGGGTATGTCCTTTGAAATGCAACTTGAAACTAATGAGCATAAAGCTTTTCATCATTTAAGAAAACTTTTTAGCCAGTAAAGACTGAGACGGTGCAACGCTTCGAGCAGACTCGTCGCACCGAAGAAGTGGAGCGTCGTGTGCAACGCAAAGAGCGAAAAGACCGTCGCAGCCGTCACCATTCGAGCAGCCGACGTGAAGAATGGAGAGATGGAGGACATGGCGGTTGGTTTCGATCAGAGAATTTCATGTTGCATGTCAATGTCCTTTGAATTTACGAGGGCCTAAGCCACCAGGTTAAGGTAGCCTTTCAAAATGAGATCTAGTGTACCCTAATAGAACGCTGATTCCAAATCCGTTTTTAGTTTTTCCAGTGGAGCCCTGTAAACGCAAGATATTTAGCATACAAAAATTGACCCCGATTCACCTAGGTTTAAGCTTTCTTCATCGTTTCCCAGATCTAAGCTCGTGGCGCAGTGAATAGTGACTTTTTACCTCAGCTTCATTTTAAATGTTGAAATCAAGTTTTTTGTATAAAATATTTATCTTCTAAGTTGTTCAAAATAATGTCTTCTTTTGCAAAGAACTAGAAAAATTGTCAGCAGGAGGATTTGAGCCCGAGGCAAGCAAGCCCGAGGTTAGGATCGTAGGCTAGCACACTACGCGCCACGAGCTTAGGCCTTGGGCACGATAAAGAAAGCTTTTAAACATTTTTGGTCAATTTCGGGGTCAATTTTTGTATATCAAATATCTCGCGTTACAGGGCTGCACTGGAAAAACTAAAACCGAATTTAGAATCAGCGTAAAAAGTTCTATATGGTACATTGGGTTTCATTTTGAAAGGCTGGTGGCTTTCCCTTGCTAGAAACGTTCTGTCCAGTTTTGCATGTCTTGTCCGCTTCTAGGTTCTGACGATGAGTTGCGTATTCGACGTGAACGAGAAATGCGAGAGTTGCGAGAGCATGATGAATGGGAGAAAATGGAGCATGAAAGAAGATTGAGAGAGGAGAGGGAATTGCTTCGAAAGCAAACACGAAAACAGAGCAACGCATCGGCTCAAGTGGAGTTGGGCTCCACCAAGCAACCCGTTGTCATCTATCAACGTCGTGCGCTTACACAAGAAGAATTGCAACGCTATCTACAAGAAGCTTACTCGCTCATCCAACGCGCCAACTATGCATCTAGTTTGTCTTGTCTTTGTCTACGTTTTGTTCACGTGGCAGTGCATGTTGCACTAAATTTTAACAATCAAAAGAAAATATTGTTAAAAAATGTTAACAAATGTTAATAAATGTTAACAATAAAAAGAAAATAAGGGAATTTTCAATAAAAAGTTTAGGTCAATGGCGTAGTTCTTCTTTGTCTCGTCATGGAGGATATTTACCATCAAATGAAAGTTATTTTCGACAAACGACCACCAAACGTGACAACTCCAACAGCGTGCGTTTATCTCACAAAAAAGCAATTCATATTCATAAATGCCAAAATCTAAAAAAGAAATTTTGTTTTTAGCGAGGTGGTGGCTGGGAGGATGATCGTTTCGGGAGTGGGATCGCGCATGCCCGTTATGGATCGTTGAGCGATTCGCTTCGTCGTGGAGAACTCAAGTACAAAAATCAGCTTTTCATTTCACTGATTGAATTCATTAACCCCATCCACCATTCACCCATTTACTAGGTACGTTCCAAATGGAGAAGTGCGTGAGTCACACTGGCGTGATGGTGGCGGTCGAAGTGGACACTCGGTTCACAAGAGCTATTCCACTCGTTTGTCCGCATTTTGTTGCATTGATCAGAAACTAATTGAATAGGCGACGTTTTTGATGATCGAGCTTTTGATCATCATTCAATGGCGAGTCATGGAGGACGTCGAAGCAGTCAAGGCACTCAACCACTCGTCGAGTTCCCACCAACGCTCCCAAGACGCGGGTAAGTTTAGTGATAAACAAATTTTTGCAATTTTTGCACGTGTTTTCCATTTTATTTTGAATTGCTTGCATGGTTTGAGAATGTGTAGGCGTGATGACGATTTCCGGCCAATGCACAAGGCTCGCTCTTTCGCTGATTGGGATGATCAGGGTCGAGCCGGATGGCGTCACGAAGAGTCGGCTCTTCAACATCGCCGGTATTTTGTTCTCTTTCAGTTCAACTCCTATTTTATGCTATCTTTTTTGCATGCTAGTAACTTGAATAGTTTTGTGCTTTGAAGTGTGTTAGTTTAGAGTGAAATTGTGGTTTCTATGAAGGGAAATTTAGACGCGATGACGACATGTCGAGATTGGAGGACGAGTTCCGTGATTCGCTTCTAATGCCGATGCCAAATGGGAACATGCATGAGAGAGATCACCGCACTGAACAGGTTAACTACCGTAAATTCTGTAATAGTACCCCACCCCCATAATAACGGTGCGGAGTGTTGCGTAGTCTAGCTTTGAACGCGTTTTTCTCGACACTGGTTTATGCTACAATGCGCGTTTAGGTATCAAAAAATAGCTGAAATTCAGGGCTATTTTTTGATACCAAAGACGCATTTTTTGAAAGTACGGGTGCTTTGAAAAAAATGAAATACTAAAAAACTTTTGCGACTACGCGACTGTACGAGGGGGGTGGGGTACTATTACAGTATTTACGGTAATTGATTCTTTATCCAGGATTAGTTATCTAGACTTAATTATCAACGATTACTTATCAAGGATTAGTTATCAAGAATCAATAAAAACTCTAAACTCTAAATATTCCAGATTCCTGGCGGTTACGAGACCCATCACAAAGAGAATCGCTCAAACGCGGGACGCCGAGTGAACAGAGATGGTGTTCCTGTTGATTTCAAGTAAATTTTTTTGTACAAAAAAAGAAACATCAAGCATTTTGTTTATCATAAACTAAACAAGAAATTCGTTATTTTCAGCGAAGCAACCCAAGAGTACAGCTATAAACGAGAGCAAGAGACCGATCGTCGGCGTTGATTTGCTCACAAAACACACAAAACATTAACTTCTTTTTTTTTCTGAAAATTTCCGCAAAAAAAATCATTAAAAACAACATTGACCATTTTTAGCACAAAAAAAATCCTCTTTGCTGAATCGGTGAACCCAAATTTTTTCTATTTTTCTATTTTTTACTCTTCTATTCTAGAAAAAAAAAATAATCGCCATTGTTGTTAAAAAAACATTTTTTTTTTCCCCATTTTTAGTAACAATTTTTTGCTTTTGCAATGGTGCTTCTTTTATTGCCCTTATATTTTTTTAATTTCATTTTTGAATTAAACCGTTTAAAAGATGACTTTTTTTTTTGCTTTTCCACTACTACGAATCGTTTAATTTTTAAATAGTAACTATCAAAAAAAAAAATGTTTTCAAAGTCTATAAAATGATTGATTGGCAGCTCTGTAACTGCTCATTTTCCCCGTCAAATTTGCTCATACTAGCCTTGTTTCTTTTTTTTTCTATTTTCTTCAATATTCAAGTAAAGATTTAGGTTTACTTTTTTTGAAAGAAATCCCTTCGAAATCTGTGTAAGAATGTTTTTGAATAAAGTTTTTGCTTTGAAACTGAATGATTTTTCATATTTCAATGAAGAATGCAATCAAGAATGAATTTAGCAATCATATAGAATCATATAGAATAATATAGAATCATAAAGCAATCATATAGAATCATATAGAATCATAAAGCAATCATATAGAATCATATAGAATCATAAAGCAATCATAAAGCAATCATATATTGGGTTGTCCAGTTATGAATGCGCGTTTTTTACTATTTTGTAAATTCCTCAAGATACTAAGAAAAAGATATATATGAGGATTATTCGAAAGCTGAAGATCTCCTCTACATTTTGATATAAAAAGTTTTTGAATTGGTTCAGCTTTTGGGCAAATTGACTGCACAGGAGAAGAGGTGGCCAAAAAATGGAAGGGTGCCTTTGGATCAAGTTTTGACTCCTCTCAAATTGAGTTAACCGTTTGATGTTTGACCAATAGATATATCAATACAACTTTTTTTTAAAATATAAGAATTTCAGAGCATCTTCACTTTTCTTTTCTTTTCTGGGCGGTTATTTTACACCATAAAACTTGAGGAATAGCTAAGCTGGAATGGGTTTTTTCGAAAGCGACCTCTCCCTTTGTGGAGTCAATTTCCCAAAAAGTTGAATGAATTCAAAAACTTTTTTTATTCCAAAACGTAGAGGAGATCTTCAGCTTTCGAATGATATATAACACTCATATACATCTGTTCGATATCTTGAGAAACTTACAAAATAGCAAAAACGCGCATCCATAACTGGACAACCCAATAGAATCATATAGAATCATAAAGTAATCATAAAGCAATCATAAAGTAATCATATAAAGTTTTAAATAAAGTTTTAAAGCAAGCCTAAGCAATGAATTGTCATAAAACTTTGTCAAATCACTAAAAATATCATCTCCATTTTATCTCTACTAAATCGAAAGGATGAAAAGGAAATTTTCTTTTCAATAAGTGCAATTCTTCCCTTATACAATGACCTTTAAAGGTCTAGACAATAACATTTTTTTCCATACAGCTGACATCAAAAAGAGAGCAAAGAGAATCAAGGATGGGCTGGCAAAAAGCCAAGTTTCAGGTGCTGTGGGCGCGCTTTCAAATCGCTGGCCGGGGATCGATGCGCGGCCGGAAGGGGGTGGTGCCTGCGTCTCTGAGGGGAGTCCCGTGTACAGGGAAACTACCCGCCCCAACTCCCATCTCCCCTTCCCCCTTCCCCCGCCCCCTAAAGGGCCTCATCTCCCGAAAACCCGCTAACAACTCTTCAAGAAATCATGCACCATCGATAGATCCTGACTTTTCTCCTGAAATTTCTCTCAAAAACTTCTTGAAAAATTATCTCGAATCATGCTCGTCAAGGAGTATCGCATTCTATTGCCGCTCACTGTTGAGGAGTATCGCATTGCGCAACTCTATATGATTCAGGTTTGAGTTTCAGACACTTCACCTTCACTTTTGTCCCCTCCACTCCCCCTTTTGCCTTGATCAGCTGTTAACTTTTTCTCTGTCTTTTGTCTCTTCTCGATCTCCTCTTCTTTCTCCCGCCCGATTCTCATTTATTCTTACCCTTTCTGCATCTTTTATAACATTAAAAAACTTTCAAAGAATCTTTTTCGAATTAAAACAATCAAATGAAAGAATTGATCACGATTTCTTTTTTTTAATTTCCCCAAATCAATGGAAAGAAAAAAATTTTCTCGAAAAACTCTTGAATCAAATTTTTGATTTAAAAAAATTGTAATAAAAGGCTTTTAAATTATTTAATCTTTCTTATTTTTGAGCACAGTTTCGATTTTTGTTTTTTTGCAAAAACCCTTGCGATTTCTATTTTAGTTTTTTCAATAGCCCTTGCGATTTCGATTTTATTTTTTTCAAAAGCCCTTGCGATTTCGATTTTATTTTTTCAAAACCCCTTGCGATTTCGATTTTGCAAAATTTTCTTCATTTCATTTCGATAAAATCAGAGACTTGCTTTTCTCAAATAGTTGTTCGTATGTTTTGATCTGAAAGAAAGAAAAGAAAGAAAAGAAAGAAAAAGAAAGAAAAAGAAAAGCGCGAAGAAGGAGAGACCAGGGAATAGGCTGGGCAAATAGCGCAAAAAGCAACAGAAAAAAAATTCTTATGGTGAATTCAAGTAGGCGAAAAGGTGGGTGGTGGTTACTTTTGTCTCAAGCGTTTTGGAGTTCGTCAAAAGGTCAACCGGAGAGACCATGTTTGGCGACCAGATGCAAAAGAATGGAAAAGAATGGAGAAAAGAAAATAGTGTTGCCATACATTCATTTCCTCTCCTTCCGACCAAACGGCGATCATTTTGTGCCAAACGTGTACAACACTCGCCTTTTCTGAAAAGCCGATGAAAATCATTTCTGTTTGCACCAAGCGCTAGCAAGATTAAACAGTTTTTTTTTGTTTGGGAATCTCTCTCTCCGCTACATTCCCCATGAAGAGTAAATTCCTTTCTCAAAAAAGAAAAAATGCAAAATTTTAGTGACGACATTTAAAAAATCAAGTTCAAAACTAAACTCTAAAGTTTAAAAACGACTTTTCTTTTTAGCTTATTTTCTTTTTGACTAAAATTTGAAATGATTCATCAGCTTTATCAGCAAAAATCTTTCGCCATCATTTAGCGGAAAAATCGGCGGCTGGATTCTAAAAAAAAAAGGACTAAATTTTTAAAGAATTAGTAGGGTTTGGAATAAGCTCCCGTCTGGTATCTTCTCGTCTGTAGGAAAATTGAAAGTATCTGTGAACGAATTAGATCTTATTGCCATGTCAAATCTGCCCTATATTTAATCTTTTTGTATCTGTGTTTCCTAACTGTACTCTTACTGTACTATCTTTAGTTTTCTCTCTTTTTTCGGTGAGAGTATTGTGGCAATATGTTATATGCAGTTATGATTATCTGATTCGCTTCTATTCGCCCCATGAATAAAGCATATATATAAAACTAAACTCTATAGTTTAAAAACGACTTTCTTTTTTGGCTTATTTTCTTTTTGACTAAAATTTGAAATGATTCATCAGCTTTATCAGCAAAAATCTTTCGCCATCATTTAGCGGAAAAATCGGCGGCTGGATTCTAAGAAAAATGACTAAATTTTTAAAGAAATTTCTGCTTTCAATAGATAAAAAATTGTTTTGCAATAATGAATCCTTTGAAATGTTTGAAATGTGTGCGAAATGTCAACTCGAATCTGAGTGAAATCTTTAGTGGAAAGAGGAGTTCTCCTGTTTCCTAGTCACTTCTCACTTTTTCCCTTTTTTTGTCCCATAATTACCCATTACATTCCCTTCCTCTAATATAAATTTGAAGGCTTTTTGCCAAAAAAAAAATTTGAGCTTATAGTTTACGCAAAAAAAAAAGCCAGCCAAAAAAAAAAGCATTGGTGATAAGAGTCTAAAACGGATGAGATGACGATTAGAAATGGCATTTCTTCAAAAAAGAAATCACAAGATGAGAAATAATATTTGTGAAAAGTTAAAGAAAGAGAGATTCCAAGTGAATAGTTTAGAAAAAATCTCGTTTGGACAGTCATGGAGCGGGTAGCGGAGTCGAGATCATCACCAATCGACCATACGATGGAGGACCGGGCGGCAGTGGACAGTACACCTACAAGATCTATCATATTGGCAACAAAATACCAGGTTTTTCGACATTTTAACAGTCAATCTTTCTTTCCGCGAAGAAATTCGTCTAAAATCATGAGCTTTTGATGGATGGATGGATGGATGGATGGGGATTTGTGCCGTTTTTGGCGACAGCTTATGTATTTTCCACGTGGTTGCCCCTTTTCCTCTTTCTTTTCCCATTGCATTAAGCTGTATGACTGAATAAAGGAGAAGAATAGGCCCCCAATCCTGAAAAATAAGTCGATTTTTCTCTTCAGAAAAATAATTTCCTCAAGATGAGCGAAAAAAAAGGATCTTTTATGGTGAAAGGGGTAGAATGGGCCCATTTTTTTGGTTTTTTCTCACCCATCCCTCTGTCTTTTCGGCTTTTTTTTTTCTTTTCTCTTTCTCTTTTGAGCCTCACTGAGAAGAGCGACTAATTTGGTGTGAAAAAGAACACGGAGCCTTTTCGCAAAGAAAAATAGGATCTTGTAGCTCTCTTTTCTCAAAAAAAAAATATATGACACGGGGAAAAGGAAAATTGAGAAATTGAGAGGTTTCGATTTCAGTGTGGATTCGAAGCGTGTTGCCCACCTCGGCTCTTGAAGCCCATGAAGATGTATAACACTAATAGTTTAAACTCAAAGACAAGGGAGTTACAGACGCGCGAAAGTGACGATCGCTTTTCAAATATGATATTTCATTGTCCAGTACTGTAGAATCATATAGAATCATATAGAGTCATAAAGCAATCATATAGAATCATATGAAAAAGAACACGGAGCCTCGCAAATAAAAAAAGGATCTTGTAGCTCTCTTTTCTCAAAAAATAAATGACACGGGGAAAAGGAAAATTGAGAAATTGAGAGGTTTCGATTTCAGTGTGGATTCGAAGCGTGTTGCCCACATCGGCTCTTGAAGCCCATGAAGAAGCGTGGAATGCATATCCGTACACGAAAACGAGGTGAAAAAGGGATGCAACAAAAAAATTGAATCCTTAAGATTTTAGATACTCGTCACCGATGATGGATCGCTTTTCGATAGAAGTGGAAACTGTTTATCGAAATGATGCCGGAACATCAAATAATGTTTTTCAACTTTCCGGGGATGAGCTAAAGACACGAGTGATCGATGTGATGAATTTTGTTAAAGTATCATTTAGAAGCTTAGCAAATAAAGATTTTAAATTAGGATCCTTATTCATCACATGATTATTGTGCTGAAGAAGATCCAAAGTTATTTCGGAGTGATAAAACGGGAAGAGGACCGCTGAATGATGATTGGGTAAAAGAAAATAAGAAGATCTTTTTTTAAATTGTAATTTTTAGGTAGAAGAATGCGTACGCAATCGAAAGCCAGTCATGTGCGCGTACAAATTGTGCAAAGTCGAATTTCGGTACTGGGGAATGCAGGTAAGTAAAATTGTAGAGATTTGTAACAAAAACATCTGCCAATCCTTTTTTTTGTAGGCAATTTAGGGTTTTTAGTCTTTATCTCAGCACTAACCCTTTGATTTTGTCTATTTTGTCTATCATTCGACGCAGAATAAAATTGCGCGTCGAATGATACCAAAATTTAACTCAAAATGTAATATTCATGCAAAGTTGTTGGCTAAAAACCTAAAGCTCGCCCATTATAGGCGAGACTTAACCTTTTGCCTCATAACTTTACATGAATATCACATTTTGAGTTAATTTTTGGTATCATTCGATGCACAATTTTATTCTGCGTCGAATGATAGTCAAAATAGAAAAAAGTCAAAGGATTGGTGCTGAGATAAAGACGAAAAACCCTAAATTGCCAACAAAAAAGAATTGACAGATTTTTTCGTTACTTTTCTAGTAGAATATAACATATTCTAAGAACATTTTGCAGACAAGAGCTGAGAAATGGATTCACGACTTGGCATTGAGAAACACAATGCTTCGAGCGCATCGACAAGCGTGGGCATGGCAAGACGAGTGGTACGGATTGACGATCAATGACATTCGACGACTAGAGGCTGAACTAGCGCTGCATCTCAGTGAAGTGATGGCTCCAAGGTGAGATCGCGTTAGAGAAATAACCCAACAAAACTCTAGAACGGAAGACGAGGCAGTGGATGGAGAAGAAAGTGCTGTGTCTTCAGATGAAGAGTACTTCGACTGTACGGATCTCTCACCACCACATTCACACAAGCCGAGCATCATTCGGTGGAGCAGTGAACTCCTTCTTAATGGTTTGTTCTCAAAATATTGCCTCATTAAATGAAGTTTTGGGTATTTTCTTCTCTTTCTTCCTTTCACTTCCCCTTGTATTTCCTCTTTCTTCTCTGGCAAGAAGGTACCGGATTGCTCAGTGATTAGAGCATCTCGGTCGAGGGTTCAATCCCCTCTCTTAAAATCTTTCTTTTCCATTCATTACTTTACTTCAGAAGTTCATCAACATGATGATGACTCTCCACCATTGACACCAGCCTTGAAAGGCGAAAATGCAGCTTTGTTGTTGCTAGTCTTTCATGGTGACTTCTCGCTAGATCATGGACAAGAGAATAAAATCACTGATACAAATACCTTCAGGCTTGTTTTGTTTTAAAATGTTGAAAAGAATGTTTTAGACAAACTCTCGAGACTTTGATCACTCGACATTATCCCCAATTGAGAGAGCGAGTTCATGTTTTACTAGTTGCTTGTGGAGGCGAGCTTGCAGCCACTGCACAGCGCCTTTCCGCCGTTGCTCCATCCTTTGGCGCTTTACATCCATCTCTATCTTTAATTCTTTCACAGGTATCATGAAATAAGGATTTCTGATTAGTTAAAGCTTTTAGGCGTCCACAATTTTCTCAGATGCTGTCGAGGGTGCAATTCGACGAGCGAATGAGGTCTACAATGAGTTTATTGATTCCCAACCAGGTTTCAATGGAGAAGTAAGGAAAGAAAAATCAATTAAGAAGACTTGATTTCAGGTTTTCTGTGTGGGTGACGCGATTGGAGGCTTACTTTTGTATGAACTCTTATGTAGTAAAAAAGATGAAACACCACAAAAGGAAATTTTTTCCAGAACTGGGTGAGACTTTTATCGATATATCAATACTTGTAAGTATGAAAAAGTGACAACGGAACGTGTCTAATTGACAAAATGACATACAATCACTTATTGAACACAAGAAGAGAGAAAAAAAAGACTCTGATGAATTTAGCCGGTTTTTATGATGTTTAAAAACTTTTTAAACTTTACAGTAATTCAGATCAAGAGTTGGAAGAACTCCATCAACTGGCAGAATACCTTTACAATCAAATCAACAACCAATCGAGGAAGAAAACGCGCCACCACCGGTTCATGCCAACATTTCTAGAGAGCCGAGTCGTGAGCGTCCGATAAGAAAAGTGATTCTTTTATTTTTCTTTTCGTCCATTGTTTGTCCTAATTTTTAAACATCTTCTGTCCAGTTTATTTACAGTTTTTTTTGCACGTGTTTCTTTTTATTCTAAATGCCTGGTGCAGATCTCGGGATGGTCGCTGGCCGATTTCAACTACGGCAACGAGCCACCCCCAAAGCCTCCGCACTCAGCCGGTCCATCAGTCTCCGTCTCTTACGTTCCTCAACTCCATTCAAAGCCTCGTCCCAACAGTCTCATGCGCAAGAAGATGAGCATCGAAAGCTCGTGTCCCGGTGTGAGTCTTTTCATTTCTTCTCGCTTTACGCTTGCCGTGTGCTTTTCATCAATCATTGAAAATTATCATTTTTCTAAGCCATTGCCTGGACTGCTTTTGAATCGGCATAGCTTGCGCTTTTTGTTTGAGCATTATCTGTTGCTAGACGCTCAATTTTGCATGTCGCTTTAATATTTGAAAGCTCTTTTTAATGACTCTAACTGTAAACTATTAGGTTGGCCGATAAGTCTTTCGACACTCTTTTTCTACTAGCGTTTATAAATGATAAATTCACCAATTGATCTACAATTAGCTCCATTAGAAAGGTCTACTATTTTTCTACAAAATAACGTTCGAATCTTGTGAAAATGTTTTGTTTATGGTTTTTTTATGGAGGGGCAAAGTCGGGTAGTCAAAAAAGGCGACAACCTGAAGAGACAATTTAGACGCTTTCGTCTACAGAAACCTATGTTGTTGTCAATAGATAAAAGATAGAGCACAAAAAGTTAGCCAAAGCCAAAGCCAAGCCAAAGCCAAAGCCAAAGCCAAAGCCAAAGCCAAACAGCCAAATTTTCACAACAATCTATTCATTTAGCCAGTTTCTTTGTAGGACTTTATTGAGTTTTGCGAAAAATTGGTTTTTGAACTTGAATTTACTTGAAAACAGACCGAAATCGGCTTGAAATGATAGAAAAGTGAATGCTAAACATCTTCTATTTTAAGTAAATCGTAGGTTAATTGGTGAATTTTTCATTTATAAACGCTAGTAGAAAAAAGTGTCTAAAGTTTTATCCAATTTAATATATGGCAAGTGGTCTGTGAAGCGTTTTATCTGAAACTTTTCGAAAACGAAAAACTCTAGCTACTCACTCGACTAGCCTTTCAACCATCAACAGCTTTTCTCGTCGGATGTCCTCTTGGCTTATCGATAATGCAACGAGGACTCAGTGGTCAAGGTTTAATTTGTGTTTGAAATATTTTGAAATCAAACAATTTCCAGAAATTGATCAAATTGAAAGTGTGCAAGTGTTCAATTTGTATTATCCATTGGATCCATGTGGAGCTCGTTTAGAGCCGGTGTTGAATTCTCATCTCAGCATCTTACCGCCAGCAAATATTCCAAGGTTTGCTTGTTGTTGTTGATGTTGTTGTTGATGTTGATGTTGATGTTGATGTTGATGAGCCATGATTTCAAGTTCTTCTTAAGTTTTACATTTAATTCATTAAATCAAATTGATTCATTAAATTTGTTTATTTTCAGTTTATTCATTTCAATTTTAAGATATCAACGCTATCCACTTGGTGATGGACGATCATTACACTATGACACGTCGATTGATACCACTACTTTATGGGGCAGTAAACGGATCGACCATTTGCTCTATTGTCCAAATGGTAAGTGAAATGGTTTTGTGTTATCGCTGTGGATCGCTGTGTTATGCGTGATCTCTTATCTAGCGATGGTAGCCCTTCCCTCAACCGCTCTTCCCAATATCTTGCACGCCTCCTATTGGGAAAGTTGTGATGTCGGCGCGTTCATCATTCGACAAGTAACACCAGACTCCAGTCACTCATCAACCTTTTATTCTTTTGGTTTCAGTTTGTGAGAGGAGAGGATAGTGCGGTTCTTTCAACTCTTTCATCAACACTTTCTGCCGTTCCACTCAAAGTCGACCTTCCGCCAATGCAATGGAAAAAGCGGCGAACGCGGTTTAAGGTTCTTTATCCAAAATTCCGAACAAACGGATGTAAACTTAAACTTAACTTAAAGAAAGCTTAGCAAATTGTTTAGCAAAAGTCTTGTTTTGGTTTCACATGTTGGAAGGTAATGATAATCAATGATAATCCCTTTGTAACATATGTTCATTAAAAGTTTAACAACAAACAAACGCTAGAATTCTGTTTTCTTGCTTTAAGGCTTCAATCAACATCTTCATAAAAAGTCCTTCAAAAAGTGTTTTTGTTGAATTGAATAGCTTTGAATAATTTCAAAATACTTACAAGCATGCACTAATAAAAACCACGAAAATGATGTATTCCTGATGTATTAACGTAGTAGAAAAAAATAAAAGGTGAATTTGTGCAAAAAAGACGCTTTGTTTGCTCGCCAAACTCTGCGAGTTTTTACTCGCTATAAACATAATATCATGTTATTTATTGTTAGAGGAAGACATGATATTATGTTGGAAAGAAATTTCTCATAAAAAGCTTCACTGGAATTTCTTCAAAAACGAATCCACCAATTCAAGAACATTTTTCTCATAAGCTTTTCCGATATTAATGTATTGTCCACTAATTTTGAGGTTGGACAATTTATTCAAAAACCAGTGTATATGTCGTAGCCGTTTACGAAATTCAGCCGCTAACGAATGAGGGTATTTCCGGGCATCCAATCAAAAAGTCACCCACAGAAAAAATGTTCATAATAGATATATTTTATAATAAATTTTTGAAATTAGCTCATTTGGTTCAGTAGAAAAAAAATTTTTGAGCCCCCAAAGTTTAGGTTCAAAAATGCCCTAAAATGACTATAAAAAATTTTCTACTCAGCCAAAAAACTTGCCTAATAGCTCATTTTGTAGCCAATTTGATGTAGACTCTTAAAGTAAAGTCATCTAAAACAATTTTTCGTTGAAAGTAGGAGAAAGAAGGCGAGGAACAAATTCAGGGCAATTCTCAAATGTGAAAACAGCGACCGAGTTCAACTGAAGTCGTTCCTCGCCCTCTTTCTTCTAGCTTTGAAAGACAAATGTTCAATGTAGCTTTACTTTAAGAATCTACATCAAATTGGCTACAAAATGAGCTATTAGGCAAGTTTTTTGGCTGAGTAGAAAATTTTTTATAGTCATTTTAGGGCATTTTTAAACCTAAACTTTGGGGGCTCAAAAAAATTTTCTACTGAACCAAATGAGCTAATTTCAAAAATATATGTATTATGAACATTTTTTATGTGGGCGACTTTTTGATTGGATGCCCGGAAATACCCTCATTCGTTAGCTGAATTTCGTAGACGGCTACGACATATAAACTAAATTAAAATTACACTATTGAAAATTGTCCAGAATGAAAATTTGTCAAAAATTTCTCCTTTTTAAACACGATTAACCACGAACTAGCCCTTGGCGGGTTACGGTAAATAGCTTATAAGAAAAATACCATTTAATCTGTTTTATTTCAAACCCTTCACATATCACAATTCAATCCTGATTATTTGATTTTTTAAAAAGACACAACATTTGTGAACGACCCAAGCGATAAAACAAATGCTATTGTTTCTATGGGAAAAGTTTAAACTTTTAATTCAAAAAACAATTTCAGATTACAAACTTGTCGCCAAATCATCGAGCGAATGATGTTCTTGTTGTTTCTGGAGCTGAGCAATCTGTTTTTGCAAGGTTTATCCCTCCAGAAACTTTTAAATCATCCCCCTTTCAGATTCTGTTATGGTCCGATGGATTTGGTGGCTCTGACAAGAGAAACTGTTAGCATTTTTGTTTGTCCTAGCAGGTTTGAAAGCCACTTTTTCTTCACTCATAAAATCTAGGAGTGATTGGTTTGAGCACTCTACTCAAGAAACTGATTCAAACGGACGACTCCATGTATCACTCGGCAATTCACTTCCTTTCGGTATTCACAGCATCAAAATGGTTGTCCATGGAGATCATTCGTATCTTGACGTTTTTCTTGCTGTTGTTCCACCAGAAACGCGAATTGTTGTCTTCTCTATTGATGGGTAACATTTTCACAAATTTTAGCTTAATCAATCAGCTTTTTTCAGTTCTTTAACAGCCTCTGTTTCTGTAACAGGAAAAGATCCGCGAGTTCGACCGGGAGCCGTTGATGTTGTTCGCTATTGGCATGATCAAGTTCATTTCTAAATAACTTCTTTTTTTTTTGATATCAGCTTTAGGGATTTCTCATTGTTTATGTGACGGCTCGGCCAGATATGCAACAAAGAGTCGTCTCTGCTTGGCTTGCTCAACACAATTTCCCACATGCTCTTCTTTTCTTTACGCCATCATTTTCCACTGATCCACTTAAAGTCGGGTTTATTTTGAATTTTTAAGAACTCTTTTTAGGCTAAAACGAGTCACCTAAGACATTTGATTGATATGGGTGTTCGGGTGCATGCAGCGTATGGCAGCTCAAAGGTACTCAACATTGCATAATAAGGAATGACAAAGGGGATTGAACCCTTGAATTTTTTTTGCTTTCCGGGAAGATAGAGCATCTTAGAGAGCATAGAGATCTTTCCGGGAAGATAGAGCAAGATACCGGATTGCACAATGGTTAGAGCAACGATTGTGCAATCCGGTATCTTCTTTCCAAAGAAAGAGGGGAGGAGAAAGGGGAAGAGAAAGGAAGAAAGAGAATAATGAATAATTCAGGATGTTTCCGTTTATACAACAGCGGGAATTGATCCGTCTCGAGTTGTTTCCGTATCGGGTGGAAAGAGGAGAGGCACACTACATGTCGACCATTACTCGGCACATCTCGCCGATTTGACTAATGGTAACAAAAGTAAAAATGACAAGAAACATTTCTCAAACTAGGCACTTGCCCATTAGCGACAGGAGTTCGAGGTGATGGCACCGCTTATGAGGACACCGTTCACCACCATCATGGACATGTCTCAGGCACAGCCAATGCGACTCTTCCCGCTTCATCACCGGCTAGTGCCTTGACTGCTCACCGGTAAACGGATACTGTTTTTCAAAAAAGATGTTGATTGTTTGTCCGATAGTTTTTTTGCCATGGGCTCTAGAGATGCGGTCTGTCTATCTTAGTGCTCTAGCCGCAAACTTGTTCTGTACTAGAGTGTGTTCCTTGCGAGTAAGTTACTTGAGTAAATTTACTCGATTAATCGACGTTTTTTGGTCAAGTAACTACGAGTAATCCTCTTTACACGCCGAGTAAATAGAATTTCTTTACATTTGAAAGGAATTTGTCATTAAATTAGTGAAACGGTTGAATACGTTTAACACATTCGCGACGATTTGCCCCACCAATGGGTCAAGTGAAAATTTAGTTGATTCAAAGCTTGTCTTTTCATTTCTACATAATCGCGTGGCTTCTGGCAGAGGGTTTTTAATATATATGCACTATAAACGTAAAAGGCTTTTCATCATTTTTGATCACTTTCGGTTTAATTACCCATTTTTGTTTTATCAACATAGAATTTAGTGTTTGCATAGGTATTTCGCGTAAATATTTCAGTTAGATTCGGTTTTCCCATCCCGGAAAACGCCCCGGAAAGCTTGTTCTAATCTATTTTCCAGCTAAAGTACGCGCTACGACTATTTCCGGTCTTAGGGGTACTGTAGTTGAAAACTAAAACTAAGTTCGAATTCCTCAGCCAAAAAAAAAAACTAAAAAAATTTAATATCTACAGCTAGAACTCTGTCGTCTGTATGGCCAGTTAAGTAAAAAATGACTTCGAGAATGTGTTAAAAGAAGTCATTTATAAAGTCGACGCTCGTGACTTTTCACGACAATTTTTTTGCAGTAATTTCCTCAAGTTTCAAAAAAACGCATTACTCGCAAAGAACACACTTTATTCTGTACCCTTTGTGTAAACTGTATGTAGGGTTTGGAGGTGCTCCTCACTGGACAGGCAATTCTTCATCCCACCCCTAGGGTAGGTGGAAACAAAACAAAAAAAGAACAAACGGCCGTCTTTTTGATCATGAGCAAAAAATATACGTGATTTTTTGGCTAATAAATCATGATCGAAATGCCGCATGAAATCCCCGGTTTTTTTTTTGGTTTCTGCATGTAGCTGAGGATTTATGTTTATGTTTCGTAAAAAACCCTTCAGACGTAGCTGGCTGACTCGTTGGTGGCTTCTGTGTGTTGGATGCCGTCGACGGGAGTAGTCATCCAAATTTTCGCTTATTTTTTTGTTCATTCTTTGCTTATCCGCTAGAAATGATTTGGTTATGCTCACACATCTCAGCGCATGTTTATTGCCTATTCCCCGAAAAGTGAAACCTTTTCTCGGTCTGTTTTATCTGCTTTTTATGTTATAACTAATCAGTTTTTGTTTTGATCAGTTGTTAGAGAAAAGCTTTAAAGGTTTAACGAAAAAGGAAACCTTTACAATGCAAGGGATTTCAGAAATGTGCAACGAACGAGCTCGTTCACGCCAAGAAGTGGCAAGTATGGTGCAGAAGTGCGATGAAACTCTTGATAAAGTCAAGAAATCGATTTTTTTGATTAGGATTTTCTAAATTTTCAATATTTTGATTGCTCATTTGTTGTTTTTATGAATGTAAAAAGGAAAAGGAATACCGTATTTTCTCTAATAGTAGTGCACCCTGAGCGTCACCTAAATTCCTCGAAATTTCGAGAACCGTTTATCAAAACCGATCGATGTGGGGTCGGAAAATGTAGCTGACGATGAGATCTTGTGGGGGATTTGAGTGTTGAGCTTCTGGGAAAACTTGGAAACTGTAAAATAGGCATCAACTCGGCTCGCTTGGGTGCACTACTATTAAAGAAAATAGGGTAGTTTAAATTTGATTTGATAAAGTTAAAAGTGTTTACACTATTCAGACGGTTTCCAAATTCTAGAATTAAAAATTTCTTCTTTATTTCCTTTCTCCCAGTCATTCCTTAGGCTTTCGCTTGCCTCTCCTAGTCGCTCATTCCACTCTTTTCCATTTAAAATATGTTTTCCTTTGCTCTCATCGACCTATCACCTTATTCAAATGGTTGTGCTAAACACATTTTTCTTCTCACTTTTTCTTATCAAGTTTTATATTTTATTCAATTTATATTGAATGTACTTTTGTCAAAAAGAAAACTAAACTTAAACAATATCGTTTTGAATTTTAAAAAAAACGATTTAAGCTTATTAAACTTGCTAAGAAATGGTTTCATTTTCATAACAAATGGTTTCTTTCATAAGAAATGGTTTCATTTTCTTATCAAAAGCCAAATATCATTCAGGATCCGATGAGCTTATCCCTTTTATTTTTGTTGTCAAAAGAAAAGAAAAAGAATATGCACAAAATAGTGGCCTCGTTTCTTTTGTAGGGCTTCTCGTGAAGAAAACTCATCACTTTAATCCTCAACCATTTCTGTTAACTTCTCAAAGATTGCTTTTTTTTCATCTTATTTGAAAGAATGTTTTATGGGGATTCAAAAGAAATCGAATCAATTCTATTTTTTCAATTTCCTTTTAGCCGTCTTAGCCCTTTAGCCCTTTCAAGCTCCCTTAGAGCTCCTTTGGCCCTTTCAGCCCCTTAGCCTTTAGCCCTTTCAGCTCCCTTAAAGCTCCTTTGAAGCTCCTTTTTAGTTTCAATTCGAATTCGATTTATTTTTTGACATATCTTTGGTGAAGAGTGTTTGACTAAAAAACACTTTTTTCATCAAATTTCTCCATCCAATTTCCCCATGCCGATTTCAAATGTTGTACAAATGAATGTACAAAAATATGTAGCCAGTGAGTGAGAGAATTTTGTGCTAATCCCGGTTGATTGATAACGAATTTTTTGTCTTTTCTTTTGTCATTTTTATTGCACGGTCGATTCCCATTTTTTTCGAGGTACAAAATAAAGATTTCTATGAAATCTGCGATCAAAAATAGATAACAAACCTGTTGCTAACGCAGAAAAAAAAACACAAGGTTTTTCAAAAAAAAAGTATAGCTAAATAGGTTTCTTAAACAAAAGTATAAAGAAAACAAACATTTAAGGAGATTAAAGAACAGATACATCAAATTCTGTGATTCATCAAACGTGTCAAACTCGTTAAAAGCATTTACAATCAAAATTTGTGTTTTCTTCAATAAGAAAATCGGTTCAAAATGTTTGGGAAGCATTCCTTTCAAGTCGAATCTCAATTCCAATAACCATTCCTTATGAGTTCCAATTAAAAGAGTGCTTTGTAAATGATTCCTAAGCTTCACAGCTCTCGTTCTTCTAATTTTGACAATCAGATTTGCCATGAGTCGCGAAGATAAAGCTTATCAAGAATTGAAGGGAAAAGAAAACGAAATAAATAGTTATAGGGTTGTGAAGTTTTTGAAGTCCATACGTCTTTTTTTGGATCAAAACATTTTCAAACACTTCTTTTTTTTAAAGCCTATCAAATTTAAAGTCTCAATCGGAGGAATTTTCTTTTTTCTTTGAAAATGTGATAAATTTTTTAACAAATTTCATTTTACAAAATCTTATGTTATCCAAAAATCTATCAAGAAACTCAATGAGTCTTTTACTCTAGTCTTTTGAGTAAAAGATTCATTGTCAATCGTTTGATTTGAGTAATCTTACTCATTTCAATCTGAATTCAAGTATGTTAAACTGTAGCTGGTCTTATTTCTTACAAGGAGAGAAGATTCAACACTTTGGTAGGCGAGAACATCTTGCTGATGATCGATTGATCGATGGACAGTCCTTCCTGTAACTTGTTGTAAGCTGTTTGCCTTGGTGATTGTTGCCTAGAACAGTGAACACAAAATTAGCACTTTTAAAAAAAAAGCAAAAAAGTTCAAGGAGAGATCCGAACACCAGAGGCTTCGCTTTGGAACTGAGCGCACTACCAGTACACCACCGATCGATCTTTTATCTGTGCTAACTAGCCGCAATATCGTTGTGAAGAGAGAAACCCCATTGTCTCCCAACAAATCTTAAAAGCACTACAACTACTGTAGTCTTGAAGCTTTGCAGCTGAATTTTTAATATGTTGTTCCCCAGAGTCGATTCTACCTATCCACCAATTTTGAGGGCAATCGGCGTTTGTAAGTATATTTGCTTCCTCTTGTTAGTTCTACTTTCAAGCAAATATAAAACCTCAATGAATTTAAGGTTGAATTGAATTGAATGTCTTCAACTCATTTCTTATTTTTTCGAAAACAAGCCCAGCCTATCAAAGCACGTCGTGAAATGGATCCCTTCACCCCAGCAAAATATTGATCACGTAAACTCTTATCAGCAAATTCTGCATTGGCAAATCTCTCTTTCTTCAACAATTTTTGTGCAAGTGAAAAGCTTTAGTAGACTTTTCCTTAACTTTTGATGGTGTCTTTTGTTAAATTTTCTGAAAAAAATTTCTTGTAGACTCATCAAAAGGATGAGCATTCCATTGTCTACCCTCTGGAAAGAAGTTGAGAATCGATATGGACTTTGGCATAATATGGTCACTCAGCATGCCATTCAATTTGAGAAATTGATCCCACCAAGACCAGGCTTTCCATGGAACGATCTCTATCAAAATCTTCTCGCAATGAAAGAACAAGTTGAAAGTAAAGTTTAAACTTTTGGCAAATCTGCAGTCTTTTGGCAAATCCAAAGTTTAAATTGCTATTTTCTTTATTCTTTCAGGGCAACAAATCTTGGCTCGTTTGGGGCTTCAGCCGACTTTTCTCAACTATTCTGATAAGATTTGGGAAGAGCATGGCGATGATGCAAAGAAGATCGCAATCATGGCTCAACACGTCTGCCAGCGGTTTATTTTTATTGTTTACTTTTCAGAAAGTCTTATAGATTTCCGGCATTGCTTTGGCATGCATCCTATTATGGTGCGATGGATCCGTCGAATATGCCATTGTGTCCATTAGATCCATTAGATATCATTTCCAAGTAAAGACAAAAATATGAAAAAGAAAATCCTATATTTAGATCTCGAATTGCCGAATGGCCTCTCGATTTAGGCAAAGGAGAATCATGGGATCGTGCACCTTTATATTTTCAAGTACCGTAAAAATTCTAATCGAAGACCATGATCTTCTAATTTTTAACCCCCCAAAATTAGCCGCTCAAAAAAAATGGGTAAGGGTCTCCCTAGATGAATCAAAAAAATTAAAAATTGTTAAAAACTATTTTAAACGACGATAGCCCTTAGCATAAAACGTACAAAAAACATGTTTAAAAGTAAAATAATTTTTGTTTACTCGGACCCCATAGCGAATCTTCCAAAAAATCCATGTGGTCCCCCACATGAAATTTCTTTCAAAAAATTATTCTTTAATTTTTTTCAAAAACCATGTTTTCAATTTTACTGCCAAGGCTAAAATACTTGTATTTGGACCTATATCTACCAGTCTACCTAAAAAGAAGTTTCAAAAAGTCCCGATTTCAGGGGTCAGGGGGGTGGTCTTCTATTGGAGACTGGTCTTCTATTGGAGACTGGTCTTCTATTGGAGACTGGTCTTCTATTGGAGACTGGTCTTCTATTGGAGACTGGTCTTCTATTGGAGACTGGCCCATTGGAGACTGGTCTTCTATTGGAGACTGGTCTTCTATTGGAGACTGGTCTTCTATTGGAGACTGGTCTTCTATTGGAGACTGGTCTTCTATTGGAGACTGGTCTTCTATTGGAGACTGGTCTTCTATTGGAGACTGGCCTTCTATTGGAGACTGGTCTTCTATTGGAGACTGGTCTTCTATGAGACTGGTCTCTATTGGAGACTGGTCCTATTGGAGATTGTCTTTGGATTGTCTTCTATTGGAGTTAGTCTTCTATTGGTTGTCTCTATTGGAGATTAGTCTTCTTTGGGTTAGTCTCATGGGTTGTCTCTTGGAGATTAGTCTTCTATTGGAGATTAGTCTTCTATTGGAGATTAGTCTTCTATTGGAGATTAGTCTTCTATTGGAGATTAGTCTTCTATTGGAGATTAGTCTTCTATTAGGCCTTCTAATTTTTACGGTAATACTGATTTTTGTGCAAATAAAAGCTTCTTTTAGTAGAATTTTTCTTAACGTTTGATAGTGTCCATAACACTGATTCCAATTGATTACTTAAGGCTAAAAAAGTCGAACAAGGACCGAAAAGGAGCACTCAACGTGCAAAAACCAAGCAAAGCAGCGCGGATGGGGAACAAAATGGAGACGAGAATCATTCAAACGATGCACAACAAGGGAAAGCTCAACAGGGACACATCTATCAATTGAGGTGAAATATGGCAAAAGTTAAGCATGAATTCTTATAGATTCTTGGCTTTCGAGGATTACCACACAACTTCACCGGTATTCGCCGAAGTCCACCATTCACTTCAAGTCAAAAAGAGCCCGCAAATTGTGGGAGAAATTCAAGTGAGAATTTAAGGCTATAAATTGTGCAAAAATTTCCCTTACTCCCAAAATTGTATAGGACTCGGAGCGAGCTCAGAGTAAAGCATATTACTTGAAACAATTTAATGGAGAGACTCTTCAAACGACAGTCCTTCGAGCTGATAACATCAAATACAGACGATTAAACATTCCGCTCAACAATGTGGTAGGCTGAGAAGTTGTTTATTTTTTTTTGGTTCAAACTTTTCCTAGAGCTTTTTCGTTGCTCCTCGTCAAACGATGGGACAAGCGAACTCTTTCACGATTGAATCGCAAGTGTTTGTGTGGACTGAGTGGGGCGGAGTTGTGATCAGCAGCGATGAATCCCCTTGCTTTGATCTCTATGCTGAATATGCTCAGTAAGTATGATAAACCTAAAGAATAACAAGTAATATTTTAGGAAGATCAATATGAGCACCGTCAAATTCAACTACAAACCGAGCATCTTCTCACACTCGTTTTTCTTGCAATCAAATGCAGCAAAACAAGAGTATGATCACTATTTTCCAGCCGCTTGGCGTGTCATTCATGAATATTTCAAGTATCCAGAATCATTTGACGTAAGAGAAATCATTCTTTCGATAAACAAGAATGCTTCAGGATTTGGACAACAAATTGGATAACGCTACACTTACTCTGCAACAGACGCTTATCTGGCTGAAAGGAATTGTACCGGCAATGGTTTGTTTTGCAATAGTTTATCAAAAAAAAAACAAACAAAACTGAACAAGCTTTAGTGCACAAGGAAATGCCGGGTTTTGGATGATAAAGAAATCAAATACGTGTGTCGACTTCTACTGATCAAGAAGATCTGTCGAGCTGCTGGCTATGAAGTGACCGAAGCAAAACACTCAAACAAAATGACGGATAGACAACGAATTCTGAAAAATGAGAAGAAAGTCGAACGAAATAAAGAATGGACAAAGGTTTGGCATAAAATCAACGATAGAGAATTCAAATTTCAGAAAAGAGAACAGAAAGATCAAGCGATTGAATTGGAAAGACTTATCTTTGGCGGGGAAATTGTTCCAGAAGAAGGTAGGACTTGGAAAAATGAGAAAATAACAGATAGATTCATGTAGATAGAGCCTCGCCTCGTTTATGGGTTCACGCGATGGTCAAAGCTTTGATCAGCTGGAAGAAACCGTTTCCAAACGATTTGCCGATTGAAGCTAAAGATTTGAAAGATCGCAGACATGTGGGTTTTTTTAAGAATTAGCAAGAAACTCTTTTCACTCCATCCAAATTTTTCAACTAAAGCAGCTACGAAACTTTTGTATGGTTAAAATTAAAGAACAATATCTTAAACTAAAAACAGTGGCATAACTTTTAGTATGGTTGAATTTAGAGATTCTGAAAAATCGCGAGAAGATTTCTTTGCCAACTTAATACCGTATTTTCTCTAATAGTAGGGCACCCTGAGCGTCGCCTAAATTCCTCGAAATCTCGAGAAGCACTTATCAGAACCTATCGATGTGGGGTCGGAAAATGTAGCTCACGATGAGATCCTGTGGGGATTTGAGTGTTGAGCTTCTGCGAAAGCTTGGAAACCGTAAAATAGTCACCAACTCGGCTCGCCGGGGTGCACTACTATTAGAGAAAAAACGGTATGTAAATTTTGGTTTATACAGGGTTGAGCAAAATTACCCGGACAACAAGTTCTTCATTGTAACTTTGCAGTCAGCCAGCTTAACTATATAATTTTCTCTATAGTATAAATGTACTCATTCCTTAACCTACTGGGAAATTACTGAAAAGAAAAATCCGTTGGTTGGCTTTACTTTCGAACCAAAAAACATCAGGAAATTGCTCGAAATCTCGAGAACCGCTGGCTTTTTGGCTTGAAGCTTCATTTTCCCTTTTCAGCGCTTTTTTGATTTCTGAAAACTCGAGAAAAAAACAACATTAAGACTAGAAAAGTGTACTTTTTTTTTGAGGATAATTAAGAGTTACAGAAATAGAATTATAAGAGTTTTATTGAATGGTTGACAAGAAGATTTAGACAAGTTTCTTATTCGGGTAATTTTGCTTATCCCTGCAGTTAGGAGACTGCTTTAGATCGTCAATAAATATTGGGAAACGCCAGTGCCAGAGGAAATGGAGATTCGGCCTACCGATTCATCGATTATTATTGCAAGTTTATAAAGGAATATCTTTTCAAAAATGTTCACCTATTATTTTTCTATACATTTTAGTGGCTGATGCACATCGGCAAAGCTGTAGAGGATTTCAATGAAAATCTTTGCCAAAAAGATTCGCCAAAGCCGACGATCGAATTATGGAATGAACGGTTGACTTGAAAGATTCTTGAAAGCTTTATCAACTTATACAACTTCAGATTTATCACATTGCGCTCTCCGGAACGCTGTCGACAGAATGTGCTCGACTTTTCGTATGTTTGATTTTGAATCTAAAATTCTAGAAATAATTTTTAGAAACCAAGCTGTCATCCCAGCTTTACTTCTCAGTTTTGATGATGGCCATCTAGATCATTTGCTCATTCACTTCACCCGTTTTTACAATAATAAGTAAAAAGTAGTACTAAGAGAAAATAGCAAAAACATTTTCAGAGACGTTCACTTTGGAAGGATTCCAATTTCACTAATCGGACAACTAAGAAAATGGGCGATTGTAAAGGAGAAACAAACTGAAGAGGTCCGAGGACTGAGAGCCTTCTTTTGTCAAGGCTATCCCTCAAATTTCCGACATATTCTTCAGGTTTAGGATGTTGAGAGAATCTGGTATTACAAAATTTCGTTTTGCAGGCGGGATCGCTACGAATTGGCGATGGCACATCAGCTTTCCTCTATAAAAGTGACGCTTTGCCCAACGACAATCAACTAGCAGTATCGAAAGCGATTTTTGAATCGAGACCAACCATTGTTAATGAGAATCACGAAATCGATCCGCTATTTGGAAAACCCCGGTAAAAAAAATGGAAATCTCTGAAATTCTTGACTTTAGAATCATGGCTTTTCCAAGTCCTAACCCGATTTTCATCCAGGAACCCGAGTTCTCAAAGCTGACAATCACCGATCCAAAGAAAGAGTAATTTTTGAATGCGAGAACCTTAAGAAACCCAAATTTCAGCACTTCTCAAGATTTGAATCATAAAATCCCAGTACCGAATCATCCAAAGCCGGAGATTGTCGAACCAACAAGCCCAAATCAATCCTACCCAGTGAATGTGATCAATCCACAAGTTTCTCCGGGTTTTATTCTCCAGGAAACTCAACTTAACAAATGTTTAGCATATCCAAATGTGTACGTAGCGCCGCCAACAGGTTATCATCCACATCACCCGACACCCGTTCAAGTTTGTTCCGCTTTTTTCTTTTACAAACATTCTCATTTCAGCAACTTGCCGGATACTCACCGATAGCCTCTTTTCAACAATCACCTCCATTTATCAATTATCCATCCAATCAGTTTCAATATTTGCCATATGAGGTTTATTTTTAATATTTGCCACTAACTTTAATGTACAGGGTGATCAAGAATTACCGCAACACACAAAAGGCCTGGCTTTTAACCAAACCTTTTAACCAACCCATCTCGAAAAGTTAATTTAAATATCTTTATTCAATATATAACAGTAACAAATTAGCAATTAAATTTTAAAATGGGGCTCATAACATCATACGACGCTGTTGCGGTAATTCTTGGTCACCCTGTATATAAACTTGAAATTCAGTGGACTGTGCCCGCGGCTCCGAATTATCCCGGCTATCTCCAACCAAGTCCTGCTCCACAATCAAATCATTCAGCTCAATCTTCTGGTTACTCCTTTCTCAAATACTAATATTCAATATTTAGGCGAATACCTGGACCCTCAAAACCGCAATGGACAACTTGGTCAGCTTTTCGGGAAATCCGATAAATTTTCAGTGTTTTAGGATACCAATCACCGCCCAGCGTCTATCATTCACCACCGAGCGCCTATCAGTCTCCGAATGCTTTTGATGCAAACATGTAAGAATATATTGAATTGATTACTAATTCTTGATAAAACTTTTTCTTTTTTGTTTCATCAAAGAGTAAACCATAGCTTTTTATAAAATTTTAATATGATAATCAGACACGCATTGCCTAGCTTTGGGCAAAGTTTCATCCTGATCTAATGGCTGGGCTTCAAGCTGGAGGCTTTTGTTTGAAACTAGTCAATTTGGTCTTCTGTGATTTGATCGATTTGATCTTCTGTGAACCAGATTTTTCTGCTACTCTTAAACATTTTCAGCCAAAAAGTTGGCAATGTGAAGTGGATACTTTGAAGAAGATAATTTGAATAAAAACATATCTTTCAAGTAGTTTTTCGAGAAACTTTGACAGCATTTTAAATTATCAAAAAGCTGCTCGAAGCTGAAAAAAAAGTAAATGTTGAAATGTCTAAAAGTTAATGTGGTAATGTTGGGGATTTGACGCTGAATATCTTATTTAGGTGTCGATAAAGCTTTGTTTCCTTCTTGAATGATAGAGTTAGGCGCAAAGTTTGTCGTTCCCATAGGAGGCGATAGAAAAGATTGGGGAAGGGGGACAAAGTTTGCCCGGAGCGCATGGTTGCCTCAAACAAGAGCGGCTACGCTTTGAAGCCTTTCGACCTCCATATCCAACTCAACCTTGTTAAATACTGGTAAAAAAGTTTCTGAATTTGATTCTTTTCTGTAGAATTTTCTAGGGAGTTGCAAGTCACTTTTCGCTCTTTTGTTCATAGCTCAACTTTCATTCTAAAAAACAGGATGAAAAATTGCTGCCTAATAGACAAACAAATACTATCAATGTTTCAAAAGTTCCATAAAAACACATAGTTCAGTTTTTGAGAAATTCTAAAAACAAAAAACTCTTGTTGTGCAATGTGGCTCAGATCAGAATCGACTGGTTTCAAACAAAAGCCTCCAGCTTCAGCTTCAGCTTCAGGCTTCAGCCCAGCCATTAGATAAAGATGAAACTTTGCCCAAAGCTAGGCAATGCGTGTCTAATTATCATATTTAAAATTTATGATTTACTCTTTGATGAGACAAAAACAAAAAGTGTTAGTACTCAACGTAATAACTTTTAACTTTATACGTTTTTCAGGATTCCCGGTGATCTATCTCCTCGCAATCAAACTTTATTTTAACTTTTTTTTTCTGTTCCCTAAAAATAAACTCTTTTTAAGACACCGAATTATCACTTTCAATGATAGCTAGACGGAAAGAGCTTTGAATTGCGCAACACAGTCTCTTCAAGTGATACGGTGAGCGCGTGCCAAAGTTATCTTATGAGAAAACACTCATAAAATTGACATTAACCCGACAATGACCTTGCAAGTTTTTTTGAAACCTTTCATTTTTTATGCAGTATAACTGATAGCAAATTCTCTTCACTGTAATAACTTTTCACAATGGGATACATTGAAGTCTTGAGCTCTTGACGTTCCAAGTCTTGAATCTAACTGAATCTTGAAGCTGTCTTGAAGCTGTCTTGAATCTAACTGAATCTTGAAGCTGTCTTGAAGCTGTCTTGAATCTAACTGAATCTTGAAGCTGTCTTGAAGCTGTCTTGAATCTAACTGAATCTTGAAGCTGTCTTGAAACTGTCATGAATCTGTCTTGAATCTAAGATCTAATTTGTTTTCAAAAAGTTTAAAATGTAAAAAGAAGGACTGAGCAAGGTGAGCGGTGTTTCCCATGCCTGTCAGTACTAGCGCGTGTTGCATTTATCATGAAAAATGAGGAGAGAAGACTGAGCAAAAAAGGCATTCAATCCTATCACCTATTTTTCTTAATCACAACTTATCACAAAGTATTTACTTGTACATTTTTTGGCACTCATTTTACCTGGAGACTTTATTTCTTCAGCTACAATTACGACTTAACTCAAATTGTCCATATTATTCCGTAAAAATTAAGCTTATTCCAAAGAATAAAAGAGAAATAAAAGGTTTGTCGGTGGCGTAATCGTTTACGTTCGATTTGAATGCCGGCACTTTTTGAGAGTGGGGGAATGATTGCGCAAGATCGTCGGCCGTTTTGCGTCCACCTCTTATTGCCCCGATTTCCTTTCAGAAACACTCCTCTCCCCTATTATTCCTTCACACGCTTCTCCAAATCTGGTGATGAGAAAGTGACACCTCATTGCCCCCAACTGTGATGTTTATCTATTTTTTCGATGAATTCTTATGGTTACTCTTACTGCTTAGCATTCAGTGATATCATCAAAATACAATGGTTTTAAATTTCTAAATGAAACACAAACAGTTAGCCGGTACTTTTACTTGGGTTTTCCTAAATGCAAACGGAGATATAACCCGGGAATACTTAATAATAAGAATAATAGATACAGTACCGATCAAAATTATATCCCCATCAGAAAAGTGTCCCTTAATTGTAGGCTTGTAACATTGTGTCTAGTCATCGTACAAGCATTTGCAATAGAGATTCTGAAAGCTCGTTTTTAGCTCTACAACAAACTACAACAACACAAAATTTTACCCCTGATTCAAGCCATTAAAAATTGTCTCAAATCTTTGTATTCTTAAAAGTATTATAGTGCATCTTGTAGAGCTAAAAAAGAGCTTCCAGAATTTCTATGGCAGATGCTTATACGATGACTCGACACAATGTTACAAGCCTACAAAAAAGGGACATTTTTTTGAAGGGGATATAATTTTGATCGGTACTGTACTTTAATGCCATTTACAGATCTAATAAATTAGATAGTTTCAGTAAAGAAATTGCGGATTTAGACGACTTTAAAGATGAAAGATTGCGAATTTGGAGAGAGAATTTCACAACGTAACTCAAATTGTTAAAAAAAAAACTTTCACCACTTTTAAACGAAATAGAATTTTCAAAAGAAACGTGCTTTTTCCTATCTATTGCTAATAATGAATTTTAAATCTCAAGAAAGTTCCCATCTCTGAATATTTAACAAGGTTGAGTTGGATATGTAGGTTGAAAGGCTTCAAAGCGTAGCCGCTCTTGTTTGAGGCAACCATGCATTCCGGGCAAACTTTGTCCCTCTTCTCCAATCTTTTCTATCGCCTCCTATGGGAACGACAAACTTTGCGCCCAACTCTATCATTCAAAGAGGAAAAAAAAGCATTACTGATATTTTTATTTCTTCTTTCTGAAATGCAAAAGTTTGTTTATTTTTGAAAGAGCGCCCATTGGCAACCACTTGAAGGCATCATCCATCAAGTAGTGGTCACAAAAATCGGGCCGTAATTAGACAAATTGATTTCGGATCCCTCGAGAGCCACAGGCACATCAAAGGTGGCCGATCGCTGAGAATGCATATGGTGGCAGACGGATTCTCTCCCTTTCCACTCAAAACTCTCAGATCATTTTCTTCCCATTGGCCAACTTTCAAGAAAAGCCATCCGACCAACTTTAGCACCTTCATAATTGGCTGCTAATTCGCTATGTGAAAGTATTTTCTTTACCAATCTTCGTAAAGACTATAGCTTTGTATATGGGACTTTTGTTCTACTATTGTTTCACTTCCAAAAGATCATTCTTTCTCAACACTTCCAAAAGATCATTCTTCCTCAACACTTCCAAAAGATAATTCTTCCTCAACTTTATTCGAAAAGTCTAGAGATTTCATGGATTTTGTTGAGATTTTTTAAAAGTAATACACTGAGAAAGCGATCTAGTCTCTCACATTAGTTTAGCGCACTACCGTAGACTCATGGGAATCCAGAAAAATCCAGGAAAATGAAGAGAAGAGGAGTTGGCGCCTCACCGACGCCTCTCTCTCATTGTCGGCTCAATTTTCTCCTCTCTGTAACACGTTTCATCGCCATCCACCTCTCACTACGGTAGATTTTCTACCTGAAAAATAGGGCGGCGTCTATCGAGTCTGGATCGGTCTTTTTCAAATTTTCACAACTTTATTTTCGCAAATTTCAATTTTCTGTCTTTTTTTTCATCTTTAACCATTTGCATTTTTGCAAAAACATTTTGATCTAATGAGAACTGTACTTTATGTACTTTATGAACTGTACTTTATGCTATAAAACTTTTCAAATTTGCTATAAAACTTTGAAGCAATTCTTTTCGACTTTGAATCTTTAAAGCAATTCTTTCGATCGTAGATTTTCAGGAAAAAAATTTTTTCAAGGCTACTTTCGGTGAGTTGAACCAACTGTAGATATTCTTTGGCACCATTTCTGCTAGATAACCTAGGTGCTTATGTTTATGTTTCTTTCCCATGGTTGCAAATGGCGCAAGTGGGCACCTGTTGTGTTGGGTCTCGAATTTTGTTTTCTTCCGTCTCTCCACCATTCTCCGTTTCACACCTATTGTCCTCCTCTTTGCCTAATTGCCATAAATACTGATTTTCACTTCTCGAAAGAAACCAATAAAAACTCCTCTCTGTCTCAGTTTGCTTCGTTTTCTTTCTATTAAAACGTTGCAAGTCCAACTCTGGAACATCGGACATCAATGGCAATCAGTTTTATTCATTTGTTTCAATAGTTCACTTTTAAAAACTTAAAAGCAACAAAAGTACTTTATAGGTTGTTATGTGGGTTAATTTTTTGTTACTTTGTTTATTATCAATTAAAAGATTTGATAGTACTTATTGTAAAGTTAAAATAGAGCAAACTCTGGCCGTTAAACATCAAAAAAATGAAAAGAAGAGGAAGGGATCGAAGCCGAGCAGAAACTTGACAGCTTGTTTTGGAAACAAGACTCTTATCCACCATACCACAACGCCACATCTAGGGACGGTGAAAGAAGACTTATATAGGGACCTCTAATTTGACCTCAAACTCAAATATAACCTCAAAAATTTGCCAGATTCCTCGCGTTTTCAAATCATTTTGCAAAAACGGATAGCAGCATCGGAATCAGCGTAAAATTCTGCGTCTTATGGTATATGGCTCATGTCATTTTTCCATCTCAGTCCTGTGCCTTTCTCTTGGAAGTTAAAGAAGTCAGTTATCTGTTCAATTTCAGTTCATTCTTACTATTTCAAAGCACAATGAAGGAGATACCCCTGGGAAAGACTTAGGCTAATCCCTTACCATTTCCGGCACTTGATCTCCAAATGCCTTTGGGTCGCTTATTTTCATTAACATCTTTCATGCCGATGGCGATCAAATCTCAATCCGTTGTGAGAAAGAGTGATCTCGAATGATTAAACTATAATGATGCTCAATTACGATCATCCATTTGACATAAAACTGACAAAAAGAAAAAACCATTTTAGGATTTGCACTTTAGATTTAAGTTTTTTTTTTGATGATGTTTCAAGCATGCTTTCAGTGAACAAAGGGGTTTTTGGCTCATTCATCCCAGCACGTTGCTCCCTCTTGCACTCTCTCCTTTCTATTCAGATCTGAATCAGCAAGAAAAGCGCCTCAGTTTGGTGGTGCCCATTCATTCATTAGTTTTGGGGTTTGTGAAAAGGGGGACCGTTCCCTTTTTTGGTGACAGTTCTTGTGCCTTTCTTCTTTCAGTCTTTTCATTGGGGAGCCATGGTTCATGAGGGAGAGCACCGCCCCCTTTTTTTTTTTTGCCCTCCACTCCTCCCTTTCTTTATTCTTGTGAGAAATTCTACTTACGAATACTTTTTATTCTTTTATTTTCATGAAATATAACTGTATTGATTTCAATTTCAATTTCATCGATCTCTGTAGGAGTACGACAAGCTTTTGATTGAGTCATTTGCCTTTACCATCTATTTCTATTGAATATTCTTACATTTTCATGATAATGAAATCGTTTTTGACTTTGATTTCAATTTGATATAGATCTAAACCCATTCTCTAAAGCCTTTGATTAGGTCATTTGCCTGTTATCATCTCTTTCTCATTCCAAAGTTGACCTTATCCAACTTTTGCACCTTGATATCGGCATTCTGCAAAACACAAACAGTTTCATTCTTTAAATTTTACATTTTGCTGCAAAAACAATTACATTCTAGCATTTTTCTAGCTTCAAACTTTGAAATTTTTAAAACTAGCAAACAAAAAGTTAAACGAAGACTTGTGCTTGTCGCTTCGATGACGAATGAGTCAGCGATTGGGAGACGCGAAATCCTTTTGTGCTATGAAATCCATTGTACATAGCATCTTCTTTTATGCTTAAATTTTCAAATGCTTTCACAATCAGTCAACCATTTAATCATCTCTTTATCAGAGTTCATTTCAGCTAACAAAAACGAGCTTCTCACCGCGAATATTCAGATGTACTAGAAGATTTCCTGAACAATCAAGATGTTAGGCTTCTTTTCTATCTTGCTCATTTTCCCCATCATCAAATCTAATTTTATCCCAGGTATTTTCTATTTAATTTCATTGATTTTTCATTAACAAATAATTTCAGGGAATTGTGCTCCCGGAAACTGTTTAAATGGTGGGAAATGTTTTGCAGGAAAAGAGCCGAGCTCCTATTGGTGCAGGTAAAATTTTCTGAATCAATTGTCATCCTTGAGTTTTTGCGAAATCCATTATTCTCTGATTAATTGCCTTGACGCTGTTGCATTGAGAGTCGAGTTCTCACACCTTTTCGCTCAGCTATCGCATTTCTCAAAAAAAACTCGACTTTTTGCAGCCAATAAAAAAGTGGTTGGGGAGAAAAAGGGGAAGGTGTGTGGACGTTTTCCAATTTCGTCTCGCCATCGTTTTTTTTTCTTCTGTTTTTTTTTTCTTGGCGATTTTCCTCGTTTTCTCCAAAATGCCGGCTTTGATCACCGGCCTGTTTGGCTTTCCCAGCGCCATTCCACTCAATTTTAACAATCCGATGAACATGAGAATCGGAGCTCCACCTTTCTCTTTTCTTTTTGCATTTTTTTTAGGGTTTATGATATCGTTTCTGATCAAAACGATCATCTAGAAACAACTAGAAATTGAAATTCTTAGCTAAACATGGTAATACAAATATCATAGCCACAAATTCTATCGGATAATCAGGGTTTACATTACACAAAAAGTCTGCAAACTCTCAGAGCTCGGTCACCAAAGGGCAAATATGCTAATTTGATCGGTCAATAGAGCTTAATGGGTAAAAAGGAGACTTGAGCTCTTGATCTGCAAACTTTTCTATCGAAAGAACTTACTATTAGGTGACTCAGTACCTCTTTTAGCATAGCTTCTAGTGTTTTGTGTGGGTAGACGGATAGCTACATCTGGTCAGTGACATCGCTGCTGATTTATAGCACTTTTATTAGTTGCAAAGAGCCGCGTCTATGGGAGCGAATAACGAAACCACTGGCGGTTCCCAGGAAGGAAAAAAAAAAGTGGTTCCTCGCGCATAGATAGGCGTTTTCGTTTTTGAGAAATCTCAATCCAAAAAACAAAACAAAAACAAAACAAAACTGAAACTCTTCATTAATTCTAATTGATTACTGATTTCAGATGCAAAGAGCCGTTTTCGGGATCAAGATGTGAAAAGCAACCCTGCGTTCCCTATTGTCAAAATGGAGGCTTGTGCTCATCGAATCGAAACGGCACTTTTTCTTGTCAATGTCCTATTGGTCAGTGTTTCGGAATCAAACACTCCGATGCTTGCTAGGAAAAAAAAATCGGCACCAAAATGTTACCCATAATGCGTCACCCAGGGGTAGCCAGGGTTAAGGCCTTGACTTTCTCGGGCATCGACGAGCAATCACAACGCTCGCAACTCTCACCTTTTTCTTGCTCACTAAGGATTAGCATGGGGCCACTCCGTGCCATCCCGAAAACACGTAGGCCCTTAAAATGTTTCACACAAAATCCTCGAGTCGGCACTCTTTTCAGAAAAAGAGTTCAAGTTGAAATGGCCTTGTCAGGTAATTTGCTGCTTAGCATATAGGGGATGAGAGCCGAAAAGTGATTGAAATAAGTTTCTAACCCTCTTCCCACCACCGTATTTTCTCCATTCCAAGGACACTAAAAACCACAAAGAGAGAAGAGTCAAAGTTTTGAATCCTCTCTCACACAATTACTCTTTGTCGGCGCCTATTTCAAATTTTGCAAAACGTTTTGCGGGTAACCGACTCAATTTCCAAGCGGGAACCTGTAAAATTTGTTCTTAAAGTACTTTGTGAGGGTAGTAGATTTTTAAAAAAAAAGCCACAAAAATAGTCGCTAGGCGTTCTCGGGGGTCGATTGAGAGTGAATGGGGCACATTTGCATATGAATTGAAAGAGATACAGAGATGGGAGAAAGGGGATCAATCAATTGTTCACCTGTTTTTCCCTTTACTCAAAGTGCCACGAAGTAAAGTAAAAAAAAACTTTTGGTAAAGTAGAAAAACTCTATTACTGTTTGCAAAGTTTCAGGATTCACGGGTGCTTCCTGCGAGAAAATGGTGCCCTCGATTTGTTCCTCGAATCCCTGCTCTGCTCACGGAACTTGCCGCCTTGTTTCTTCACTTCAGAAATTTACCTGTGAATGTGAAAATGGATGGATTGGTGAGCTTTTTTTGAAAACAATTTTTCTTTTAGACACTCCAGTAGGACATTTTCCCATAGGGTTGTAAAAGAGACCGATGACAGAATCGAATGAGAAAAGAATAGCTACCGAAAAAAACAGATAAGATCTGCGGATTATTGCCTCAAACAAACACAAATTATCACTATTCGTGTGCCGAATTTGCCCTAGAACAACTTTGGGATCAAGATTAGATCGTTTGATTAGAGAATTAGTTGAAAATGAGTGCCAAAGAGGTTTTGAAAGAAAGGAATTTCACTGAGAGGCGGCTGTCAGAGAGTCAAAGGATCCGACATGGTTAAAAGACGGATTGTCTCTTCCTCTGCTCTTTCAAATTCAAATAGAAATCAACTTTCAAATTTGAGCAAAGAAAACAAATCCTAATGAGAATAACTAAGAACATTTTCAGGCGAGGATTGCTCCAAGAGAGTTGTTGGATGTAAATGTGAAAATGGTGGATCATGTGAAGCTGTTCATCGACAAAAATCCATTCCAAAGTGTCGCTGTCCTTCTGGATTCACCGGTCTTCATTGTGAGATCGATGTCGATGAATGTTTGGACAATCCTTGCGATCGAGGGACTTGTTTGAATACAGTAAGACTTTATGATTTCTTCGGTGAGGGTTTTTTTCTTGGATTTCTTGAATCAGATTACTGTGGTCGCACCATATGGGACTAGATATTGACCCAACGATCGCATTAAGCCATCGTAGAATGACCAAGAATGGGAAAAGGGAAAAGAGAATAAAAGACCAAAGTTTGTCGTTCTCACCTTGCTCCCCTTTCTCTTGAGTCGACAAAAAACCCCGATCTCTTTCGCCTTGCCTCTTTCTTTCTTTCTGTCATAAAATAGAGAGCGCCTAAAAATAAGAACTTAACAAAAAAAACAGTACAATGAGTTTAGTATGGATCTTATGAATGCAAGTGTGATGATGGTTGGGCGGGTGGATTTTGCGCTCATCGTTCTCGACCTGATGAATGCTCGGCCATGGGAACGGCACGTTGTCAAAATGGAGGTTTCTGTGAAAAAACGATCACTGGGAAATACAGATGCACTTGTCCACCGATGTTTTCTGGTTAGCAATTTCTACTATATAAAAGAGCAATGTCTGTTTGTATGTCTGTACGGCTATTTTCTAGACCTTGTGTTGACCAACAAAGCTAAAACTTATTTAGAAAACCTTCGAATAGATTGTAGTTATGCTATATGAAATGAAAAATAAAAAAAGTCCAGACTACGAGGCACTAAAGGGGTCGAACCCGGAGCGTGTGGGCTAGAGACTAGGGCGCTTCCACTGCACCACGACGACAACAAGCAACTGGCCAACTGGGCTTTTCGGCTGGTCTTTATATAAATGGGAATAATTTTTCAGGCGAGAAATGTGAACTTGACTTTGATGAATGCAACCAATTCCCTTGCCAAAACGGTGGCACTTGTAAAAACTCGTATGGAGGATTTGAGTAAGCATTTTATTTAAAGAAAATCATTTTATGCATCTAGATGTTTCTGTACGGCGGATTTTATGGGGAAAACCTGTGAACTCCCTAGAGATGGTTGTGAGCACAACAAATGCGCATCTGGTTTGTAAGACTTGAAATTCAAATAAACTCTACGTATTCAAGGCTCAATTTGTGTCAGTGATGGAAACTCCTATCGCTGTGATTGTCCAACGGGAAGAGCTGGTGAAAATTCTAGTTTTTTTTCAACTCAAAAAGCTTTAGGATTATATTGTGATAAAGTGGATCAGTGTGCTCATCATCCTTGCTTGAATGGAGACTGTATTACTGATCGAATCACCGGATCTTTTAGGTAAGAAAGAGTTAATGGATTTATTGGAAAAACAAGTTTCAGTTGCGATTGCCCATTGGGATTTGCTGGTGCTCGTTGTTCAGAGGATGTGGACGAATGCGAGCGTGACTCACCGTGTCTCCATGGGGCCACTTGTGTGAACACTCAAGGAGGATACGCTTGTCAATGCGCGCCGGTAAAAAAGTTTCAACTCACTTGAGTGACTATATTGGATTTTTAGGGCTATCTTGGACCTCGTTGTGAGCATTTCATCGAAGAGTGTCAATTGAATCCATGCAAAAATGGAGGTATCATTTGGCTTTCCTACAATCAGCTACAATTTCTAGGGTCATGCTTTGCAAATGATACCTGCTTTTGTCAACCGGGATTTGGTGGAAGACTATGCGAGACGGTGTTGAGCAGTGCTTGCAAAGATACTTGTATTGGAGGAAAAGCCTGTCTCCCCGACAAGAATGGGTTGGTGCGAGGATGAAAGAAAATGGACCTTTAGCTTGAATCAATTTAACCTTTAGCACCTTCTCTTGTCAATGCGAAGAGGGTGATGAGATGTGTGAAAATGAGCTCAAGTTTGGAGATGGATGTCGCACAAAGCCTTGTGAGCATGGCTCAATCTGCAAATCCACTACATCATCACCCGGTTTTCAATGTTTCTGTCTACTTGGCTGGGAAGGAGATCGATGCCAGGTTAGATGCCTTTAGGAAAGATTTTCATCACATTTATAGAATGTAACCGATTACTGTGCCCGGAATCCTTGTCAAAATGATGGCCACTGTGTGAATGAGGTTCACGGAGCCGAATGCGTTTGTGAAAAGGGTTTTTCTGGGGCTCGTTGTGAACAACTCGACTCTAGTTGTGCTACAGGTTTATTCTTTGAAAAAGATTTCACAGTAAGCATAGCTTTAATTGGAGATTTGCATTTGAATAGAAATCTGATCGATCAACTGTTGCACAATCTTGAAGAGAAAAAAATAGGGGAGAGCCAGCTGCTCGAGGGTCACGATTTCTTTCCATATTTGGGGAGAAAGACAGAGACAGCCGTGGGAAGAATTCTAGAACAATTCAATAAAAAGATTTTATTGAATATTGAATAGAAATGGATCTGTATTGAATTCTAATTTTAGGAACTTGTCTAAATGGAGGGAAGTGCAGTAATTCGACGATTTGTGAATGTAAAAATGGATTTTATGGTGATAGGTATCTTGTGTAAGAAAATTTTTTCCAAAAAAAACATTTAGATGTGAATTGTCGAGAAATTCGAACGATTTTGTTGATAGCACAGAATGCCCACAAGGGTTTGTTTCTTATGATTTTATGATGTCTACTCGATTAGGCGATATAGGCGATTAATTCATAGAAAAGAAAGTTCACACTTTACTGTGAAACAGAGAAATGAAAAGAAACAAGAAAGAGCTAAGAAAACAGGTTATTTTCTGAGCTCTCTATCAAACCATCGCGTGTCTTGTCTTTCCCTTCTTTCGCTGAGTTGTGAGAAAGCATGGGAACGCGCTGTGGGAAGTCCCTCACCTAGGTGCAAGAAAATCCGGGTCAAAGAAAAATTAATCGCCAACCTAAAATACAAAAGTACAGCTCTGTAAAATGACTTTCTGTATTTAGACATTGTCAAAATGGTGGTCTATGTACAATTGTTGCAAAGGCTCCAAAATGCGAATGTGCTCGTGGCTTTTTCGGAATGAACTGCCAGTTTTGGGCTGATGTCGATAAATTCAATTCTACGGATTTGTATGGGAAAGCTTTTGTTTTCAATTTAAAAGTAAAATTTAGGGAAGAAAAAGAACGCTGCCGTTTACATGGTTGTGCTGATTTGGTAAACAATGGACACTGTGATGCTGAGTGTAACTATTTTGCTTGCGACTATGATGGAGGCGATTGCTCGGCACAAGGTAGTCTTAAAGCAAGCTTAACAGAACCAAATTTTATTGTACAATATGCTCAAAAAGAATATTAACGAGATTTTACTAGAAGTTCGTTTAGACAAACCTTATGCAAAATGCTTGGCTGCCAACTACTGTGCTCGAGCTTTTCACGATGGACTTTGTGATGAAGTGTGCAACAATGAGGCTTGTCTTTTCGATGGTTTTGATTGCGCACGATTTTCTCATGATCAATGTCCAACAGCTTGCAGGTATAATACTATAAAAGGTCTACTATATATAAATGAGCAGTGTTTGTCCGTCCATCCGTCCGTCCGTCTGTACGGGCTTTTTCTAAGCCGTCTCTAGGTCAAAACAATTGAATTTTTTTCTTAAAGTCTCAAAATATAATATAGTTATGCTATTTAAAATGAAAATTAAAGAACTCAAAGTTGAGTGGCAGTACGGGGGTCGAACCCGGGAGATGTGGGCCGTAGACAAGCGCGCTCCCGACTGCACCACGGGGACAGAAAGCCCCTGGTCAGAAAAAACTTAGGCCGTTAGGCGAGTTTTTCAGCTGGTTACAATCTAACTCTGTTGAACAATTTAGCAAAAAATTACCAATTACATTTGCAAGAATTTAGAGCTCTCTCACAAGACGGGAACTGTGATTCAATGTGCAATATTGCCAATTGCGGCTTCGATGGCGGCGATTGTGAGCAAAGACCTGCAAAAGTATTTAAATTTGAATTTTTGTAAAAACCAGTTTCCTAGCTGCCCGGAGAAGTCGAAGTGATCGTGCTCGTCGAACCAGATGCTTTTGTGGTGTTAGCAAAAGATATGCTAGTCGATGTCTCAGCACTTCTTCGTGCCACAGTTCGAATTGCTCGTGATTCGACTGGACCAAAAGCCTTCAAATGGTCGTTGGATGGGGGAGCCGCTGATCGAATCATTTTCCCCAACAGCGAGGTATTTCAAAAACGAAAACATAAAGCCAAGACCTCTTTTCAGAGCCTTTCAGCCGTCTATGAAGGTACAAGAGCGAAAAGGAAAGCGCTGGTATCTGGAGTTCAAGTATGTAAACTGTAAATGAACTAAAGTTATTGACCTTTTTAGGTATTTCTTGAGATTGATGTGGCTTCATGCACAGATCAATGCTTTTCTGATCCCTCTTCTGCAGCCAGTTTCGTGAGCGCAGCCGTTGCCAAGAAAGTAAACAAAATCAATTTTATAGTCTCCAATTCCAATTTAGCAACTTTCTGTTCCAATTTATTCGGCTTTGGCGGTAAATGAGAGACGAAAAGAGAAGGAAAGCGGTGGTTGGCGAGCCCTCGAGATTTGTCTCTTCATTTTCTTCTGCGTGCTCGGTGTCGGAGTGTTGAGTGCACAGGTATTTTTTTTTTCGGTTTTCTTGACTTTTATCAATTAAAGCACTAGCAATGATCAAGAAAATAAATCTAGATTATCCCTCACATCAAAAATCGAAAGCGAAAACGCGTCTGCAATGCTCATGTCTGGACACCTCCTAGTGAACAAGCCTGTAAGTTTAAAGCAAAAGCTGGCACCATGGCTGATTAGCTAAGAGCCCTGTATCTTAGTCGAGAGGTCAAGGGTCCAATCCCGCTGGCTAGATTATTTCTTCTTTTCCCATATATAGCGATTTTTTTCCTTTTCCTACATTTAGGGCTTAGCGGTTTAGTGCTTGTGTACGTTTGTACAACATTATTCGTTTGAATAAATTATTTTTTAAAGCACTAAATCTTTTACTCAATGATCTCAAACGTTTTTCAGTGAATGAAGCCAATGCCAAAGCAAGTAATCCAATGAGATGGCACGAATTCATGCCTTATGGTTATCAATATGGAAACTCTGGCTATATTCGAGCTGAACCAAGAGATGAATGGTATCCAACGGTAAAATTTTCTTGCAATAAAAACTCTTATTGATAAATTTGTAGATAAAATTGCCGAAACTCGAGCAACGGACCTATGATGCACCAACAGAACTTCACTGGGAAGCCGTTAACAAAGAGTTAACATCAACAAATCGAGAGGTTTGTATAAAATATTGTCTACTTTATGTTCAATATTTATGGGGACTAGTAGATTAATAGATTTAGAGCTCATTTAGAGTTTAATGCTAAAAAGAAACACACATCAATACGCCCAACGTTAACAACTTAAAGTTCTGCTCAAATTGCGAGCGCAAAAGTCTCCATAAATATTGAACATTCTGTAGAAAAGACTCCTTTTCAGATTAAACAACAAAATATCAATGCTTTGACCGTTCACTCACAAACGGTACTTCATCTTCTCGTTGGTAATCTTGATCGAGCCGATGATGAGGTGATTGCCAGAGTTGATGATCTCGCTAAGAATGGAGCTGACTTGGATGCACTCGACAAAGGTTTGACATTCAAATTTTACTTCACAAATGAAGAAATTTAGATGACATGACTCCATTGTTTGTTTCGGTTCTCAAAAATCGGGTCATTGTTGCTGAGAAACTGATCAAATTAGGCGCTGATCCTCAAATTGCTGCCCGTGATGGGACCACTATTTTACATCAAGTATCACAAATTCAAATTTCTTTTCTACACTTACTTTTAGACAATGAAAAACAGTGATTTGGGAATGTTGGCCATGCTTTTGAGATATGAGACGATCAGGAAAATGGTTGGATTTTGTAGAGGAAAGAAATCAAAGAAGATTTCAGATTGAGGTTGTTGATGATTTCAATCGGACGCCATTAATGGTTCTCGCTAGACATCATTTGCTCAATGATCCAATGGCATTGATGCTTGTTGAAGCTGGAGCTGAAGTAGGGAAAACTATTTCGAAAACTAAATAAAACTTTTGTTTAGGTGAACTCACAAGGAGACAAGGATCGAACGGATCAAACTGGCGAGACACCATTGCATTTTGCCGCTGGAGCCAACAATACAGCGATGATTCGTTTCTTGGTCGAGAAAAACGCGAATAAAGATGCGCAAGATCGAATGGATCGAACACCGCTCTTTATTGCGGCCGAGAAGAATTTCGTTGAAGCGGTGAAGCTACTCGTTGAGTCCCAAGCAAGCACGGAAATCGCTGATCAGAAAGATCGCACGCCGTTAGATGTTGCTAAAGAGGTTAGAGATCGGGAAAATGATTAAAATTTAGCTCAAATTTCAGAACGAATGCTTAGAAGTGGTGTCTGTGTTGGAGAAAGCGGCAATGCGACTACCACAGCCGCCACCAGAGAAACAACCATTGCCTGCACCACAAAGAGTTGTCAGAGCAAGGAGAGGTCCAACGAGAGAACCGGCTCGCAAATCACGAGCAGCACATCCGGACACTCCACCATCTTCGGATCGCTCTGATTACAGGTGGGCTTGTTAAAAGGTTTAAAGAATAGTCTTAAAATGATACGAAAAACTTCAAAACACACTTTGTCCTTTAGAACTTTCAAGTTGCTAACTTTAAAACCCGCGTTTGGCATGTTTTTGGGCCAAGGGTTAGCGTTTAAGAGTTTTTAGCAATTTTAAAATCTTGAATTCATTTGGGAGACCCTACTTTTTTGGCCGGCCGATTTTGAGAGGTGGACCATGGGTCTGCTATTAGAATAAATACGGGACTTCAACTATTAGAATTAGAAGACTATTAGAATCAATACAGTACTTAAACTTTTCAGTTCCCCATCGCCGGTTGAAGGAACAACACGAGCCGGCACACGCTCTGCACAACGGGAGCCGACAAGAAGCTCGACAAGAACAGCCACATTGCCTTCTTTATCGCTTTCGCGCACAAATCAATCGATGAGTCCCCTCCCGATCAGCTCGCATCTTCCCGACGCGTCCAATGTTCTCACTCCACCACAAAATTCGGTCAGTCAACAAATTTCTTTCAACAATTGCCCGTTTTTAGATCAATGCAAGCTGGAATTCGACTTCCATCCAACTACAAAAGCTTCCCGATGCCTCAAATGTATTAACACCTCCACAAAATGTAAAGCTGCAAAAAAGAAGCTAAAATATTCTAAATTTCTTTAGAATGGAACCAAATGGAACCCTTCTCCGCCTTATGATTTTCATGGAGTAAGCATCGAGTATGGTGGTGCTCTTTATGGTGGCAGCGATCCATTCGGACCTCCTTGCAGTTTCGCCAAAAATGATCATCGACCTCCACAAGCCTATGCTTGGCAAACAAATGTTTAATATCGTTCATATTTTATCGCCTTCAAAATCTATAACATTTTTTCCGGTTTTTAAGATCTTTACGGCCATTGTTGACGGGTTTATTGCAAATTTTATTCGTATCATTTTGCAAGTTTTCTTTTTGCTTTTAAATAAATTTATTGTTAATGAATCAAAAATCTAAAAACGAAAATACGAACGATTTGAGAGAAAATGTGAGCAGAGATTGACAGAATGATTCTATTTTTGGCGGCAATGAGCGATCACCAATGAGAAATCGGATGGGAAAAAAGAGAAAAGACTTGTTTTCATTTCTTTAAAGGTTTATGATAGAAGCTTTTTTTTATTGAAAAAAAAGTGAATCTTTTGTGTCTCTCCATCTGCTTTAGTCTTATCACAAGGATTTTCTCAATTTTCTTCTTTGCTTTTCACCGGATACACTCTCAGCGATTTTTAAAAGACCAGCTCGTTGGGGATCACTTTTAGAAAGTCACAAACAACTGAATGATCAAGATCAAAGCTTTTTTCCTAATCTTTTGAACTTTTCTTCCGATTTGAGCATGTTATTCTTTATTTTTATTTTATACCGTCTAAAGTTACTTTTGCTATTAGGTTGTAAACTAAAACAAAACTAGTCTTGACCCTTTCTTCAATTGCTAATATCTCAGCGTAGAATCAGTATATTTAAATGAAATTTTAGACGGATTATTCTCAAAATCTTACAAGCTTAATGCCAAAATTATAAAGTTATTCGGCGATTAGCGGTCAAGTTATAGCAAAACAAACTGCGCAAGGGCAATTTTTTTACCTCTAAATGCTAAATTCAAAAATACGAGCACACAAGGAAACAATACAAATTTTTGTTCTACTACATTTAAAACTAGAATAATGTAGATAATTTCTGAAAAAGTTTCAGAACTCTTAGCAAAGTTTATTTTATTTGTCAAGATGGCTAAACTTTATCTAACTTTGTCCATTGAAATCACTGAAAATTTGTTATTGCTATTTAACCAAAACCACTACGTTATTCTACCTAATTTTTTTTACCAAATGAATTAAATGACAGTTCTGGGAACATATATTTATAAAAAAAATTTAGCCAACTATTTTTGAGTTAACCTATTTTGTGTGGAAAAAGGTCAAAAATGGGTAAAGTAGCACCGTGTTTTTGTTTTGTTTAAAGGGGGGGGGGGGTATTAATCGCGGCCGGGTGACGATAAAAATTTTTTTACGGCAACCACCTGTTTTTTTATTTTAATATAAAAAGAATAAAAATCACCCGGCTAGAGTGATTTGATGGGTTTACAAATTTTTGGAGACACTGCAAGGCTTGGAGAAAAACAAGATCGTCACTCATCAGACGCCTCAGCACAGTCTAGATCGATTGAGTTTTAATTGCAGATAAATTTAAAAACAAAATAAAAATAAATTGTTAATCTATAATTCTTCCCCTTGCTCACTTTCATCTTCGCTCAAGTACAGCAGTTCCTCAAATCGGCTTCCTATCTTATCAATTTCCAGCGCATCTTCACCAGAAGTGACTGGATCTCCTCCACCGTAGGACGTCTTCAGCGCTTTGATTGACACAATTAGATCTTTTTTTCCATTTGTGGTCGCTTGTGGTTTTAGTTTTCTCAAATAGGTGCCTTTTAGCTGAGGTGTCTGATGAGTGACGATCTTGTTTTTCTCCAAGCCTTGCAGTGTCTCCAAAAATTTGTAAACCCATCAAATCACTCTGACCGGGTGATTTTTATTCTTTTTATAATAAAATCAGCGATATTAAAATAAAAAAACTGGTGGTTGCCGTAAAAAAATTTTTATCGTCACACGGCCGCGATTAATACCCCCCCCCCTTTCAACTTAAACTTGTTGTTTAAACAACACGTGTTTAAACTTGGTCGCTAATCGCCGAATAACTTTATAATTTTGGCATTAAGCTTTTAAGTTTTTGAGGATAATTCGTTTAAAATTTTCATTCAAATATATTGATTCTACGCTGAGATATTAGCAATTGGAGAAAAGATCAACACTTAGTTTACAACCTAATCTCTAAATATCTCTCAATATCTTTAAAGTTTTAAAGTAATATTTTAGAAAACTGGTTTATGAAATCCTTTATTATCTTGTTAACAATAACCAAACGAGTTTTGAAGAAAATATCTTTTTTCACGTATCTATATCTTTCTTTCTTCATGCTCACAAAAACTCGTCATACCAAAAGATCTAAATCAACATTTGTCTACCATTTATGAAGTACACATGAGCAAAAGTCGTGTAATTCATGTGGTTGAGAGATGATTTCTATTTATAACAACATGGAGGACATTTTGGGTTATTTCATTCGTTGTCCGTATCACTTGTCTACTCGATTTTCGGTTTCCGATCGAGGAAAACCCTGTCAACAACAGTGTTTGTGGGGAGAGATTTCTGACGGGTTTGTTGATCGTTTAGGAGTTGACCTTTGAAGACCACACAGCTCTTTCCATGTTATTCATTGCCTCAAATGTTCTTTTGAAATTGGTGTCTCACTCAGTTGTGTTCGCCTCGTTGATCACTCGTATATATACCCCCAAAACCCGTCTTTGTTATAGACTTTTCTTTTTCATTAGGAAATTTTTAGCAACCATTTTACTTTTCATTCTTAAATAGTTTGATATTTTAAAATCATTTATCAAATAATTTATCATTTATTCAAGCCTGTACACTATTTCAGTTCTTCTTCAACAATTTCAACATGGTTCTTCTCAAAGTTTCAACAAACGCTCTCGTTGCCGCTCCATTTGAGCTACAATTGGAAAGCAATCGAATGATTCGTTTCATTGCTCCAAAGGTAAATAAATTCTCTTTGGGTAATTTATAGGAAATGAAAATAGGCAGTGAAGGTGTGCACGGATGCTCGCCAGATTTTCGAGGGTCAACGGCCTGTGCGCAAAAATAGTGGCTATACTGGTGAGCATAGCAGAAAGAAAATCAAGCTCAGATATATCAGAAATAGAAGTACTGATTAGAAAAGATTTTTAGTTACAAATTCCGAGGAAGAATGGGAAGGAGTTGGCGCAATGTGTCAATATCTGGATACAGCCATCGATGTAGACAAAGAGCTCTTCGATGGAAGCTCGGTGCTTGAGGTAGGTTCAATAATACAGACTAAAGTTGTTTGCTTAATATCGACACTCCTGATGATACCTAGCACTGCAATACTCGAAAATGAAAATCAACTCTTGCTTGATTGATTTCGTTAAACTTGCATTTTAGGATTTGCTATTATGTAGTCATTTTATTTTGGCAAATTTAGCGTATAAGTTTAGCCATATAGCATGAAAAGTTCTGTCCCCTCTTCAAGAATCATTTGTACGGCTTGAACCAAGACATTTAGAGAAAAATAGACTTCAAATTTGAAAATTTTGACCGTTTTTACCGTAGAAATGCTTCTTCATAAAAAGATTTTGTTCTGAAAATCGTTTTTTTTTACTGAATTGCCCACGGACCTTCCTGGTTTCTTTGAAATGCTTAAAAATAGCGACCTCTTAATTAAGCTAACTCTAAAACGGCTATTTTTAAAGGGAAATGTTTCTTTTTTCTAGTATTTAAAAAAGTTGATTTTATTTCAACTTTTTCACATTTTAAAATCAATTAGAGGTGATAGTGCGACGAAAAAAAAAGTACCGTATTTCTTCGAATAGAAGACCGGATAAAGAGTATCATCGCGTACTCCTGCGTAGCAGCCCTTTTTAAAATTTCTTTTCTGCATAAAAGCTTTCAATCAAGTGCTATAGAGCTGGAAAATGGCTCAAAAATCTGTTAGCTCATGTGGTATTTTTGAGTCATTTTCCAGCCCTATAGCATTTCATTGAAAGCTTTTATGCAGAAAAGAAATTTTAAAAAGGGCTGCTACGCAGGAGTACGCGATGATACTCTTTACCCGGTCTTCTATTCGAAGAAATACGGTAAATGAGTTCCGCAAGTAGTCGAGCCAAAAACAGATTTTCGAAGTCAAAGATCTTTTTAAGAAAAAGCAAGAAAAAGAAATTTGAAATCTTTGACTATTTTTAGGGTAAAAATAGTCAAAGATTTCAAATTTGATCTTCGTTTTTCTTTTCTTTATTTTATTTTATTTTTTCTAAAGAAACGACGAACTTTGGAGAAGGGACAGAACTTTTCAAGTACTTTGTAAAGTAAAAAAACGAATCATATCACTTTTATGACCGTAGTAATACAAAATATTTACCAGCAACGTGACAAAGAGTGTAAATGCCCTTCTTTTTTGCAAAAGCAACTGCGAAATCTTCCTTTTGCACTTTTTATTTTCTTTCTTTTACTTCTTCGAGAAATTTCAACAGTAAACAGAAAGATAAATGACCAAATAATTTTAGAAAAGCACATAAACATAAAAAAGGATTATAGATTATAGATTATAGATATTATAGATTGGTTTTGCCAGCGGACTTCCATCGGTGTTCGCCATGGAGAATGGGGCTTCGGATGTTACCATTCACTGCCAAGTAGCAAAAAATCTTTCAAAAGTAATACAAGTTTTATCTAGACGAAAGCGGAAATGGATTGTTTCGTGAAGCCGACCCTTTCTAGAAACAAAATCCCAACGAACAAGTGCAAGTTCAGCAGTGGCGATATTCAAGATTTGAGGTTTCTTTTCAAGAAAGTTTTGATTAAAGTGAAAACAGTTGAAAGTATTGCAATTAGCTGCAAAATGCTAGAAGTTGCTTCAAGAGAAAGACAAAAAGACGTCTAGATAAAGAAAGACGTTCCAATACGGTTCCAATACGGTTCCAATAAGGTTCCAATACGGTTCTTTTTTTGATGCAATACGGTTCCAATACGGTTCCAATACGGTTCCAATACGCCTAAAGAAGTTGCATCAGAGACCGAACCCTAATGCTGTGGGCCTAATGTGCTATCTATTGGGTTGATGGAAAAGGTCCTTTCCGATTTTTGGGAGAGTACCTTAAATTTGTCCAATTTTGACGTTTTATAGCTCATCCTAAAGTTGAATTCAAGACGGACCGATTGGTAAATTGGGCTCTGCCGCCCTTTACTAAAATAGCTGTAAAAACTTTTAGAAAAGAGATATCTCAAAACGGTTTTTACCAATCGATCCGTCTTGAATTCAGCTTTAGGATGAGCTATAAAACGTCAAAATTCGACAAATTTAAGGTACTCTCCCAAAAAATCGGAAAGGACTTTTCCATCAACCCAATACTAAGCTACCAACGTCTTTTTTTCTCACTAGCCTTTTAACCTTTTAAAGCATCCGGTTTGACGCCAAATTTTCTATTGTATTTTTACACACCTGGAAAGTCATTTGACAGATTCTGATTTCAGATTCGGATTCCTTATTCCGATTCTATAAAGTGCACTAAATGTCCAGGCAAAAGATCACCTTGAGTTCGTGCCTTTCCCTTTAATTAGAAAGTTTTAGGAAAGCAATTGGCGGCAAGAAATTCGACGTGATTTTGGCTGTGGAGCCACTTCGTTGCTCGGCGACTGAGCTCGAGCAATTGCACGAAGTGCTGGACACGGCTTTGGCTGCCGATGGAGTTTGGTTGGTAAAAACGGTTTTAAAGTAGGCATCAGAAATACAATCACCAAGTATTTTCCAGAAAAATCTCGAAATTTCTCTCACTTTATCAAGAAAATTTTCAGTCTGATCATTTCTCGAACACACACCTTCCACTTTGACGCTTCTCTACCCGCATTTAAAGAAGTCGTGAAAAGGTAGCGCCGAACAATTTCTATAAAATAGTTAGATATTTAGATATTTAATTAGATATATTTAATCATTTATTCATTTATTTAGATAATTTCAATCATCATATAAATTCAGATTTCACAAATTTGACTGGATTGGGAAATGGGGAGAAAAACAAGCAGACATTGTGCAATGGAAGGTAGGATTATCGGACATTTCATCTGCGTCCCTTTTCCAACTAGCAATCTAACTTTGAGCTCAAATTTCTTGGTGTTAAACTGTCAAATTTATAAATGCTTAATATCATTGTATGCGCCAAGTCTTTCTCTGTCGATTGCTATAAAAACTATTTCAATTGGACAGCCTAACACCAAGAAATTTGAGCTCAAAGTTGAATTGCTAATGGCAAAGGGGCATATCAAACGTTCCACAATCGGAAGGCTGATCAAAAAGAAATTTCATTTCCAGGTTGTACAGCTGACCCACTCGATCTACTAGAATTATGAATTATTCATGTCAAGCTTTTTGATATTTTTGAGAGTTTCTCGAAACCTTCTAAACGTTTTGTTTTGTTGAAGTTCGCATTTCTATTAACTATCAGTTCTTCACGGGTATTTTCATTTTCTATTTTTCAGTTTTCCGTTTAAACTTGTATTATTTCTCATCCATATATAGCTAATATAACAAATTTAATTTTTAAAAATGCTTGTGTATCTTTTTGCCTCAATACCTCGTTTGATATTTTGCTTGTTTTTGTTTCCATCATTGCTTCTTTCTTTCAGTTTATGATACTGTCTTGATATTTGTTTTCAATAAATGTTTCTTTTGCGGAAACAACAAGCGTTTCTTTGTCTAGCGATAAAAAGAGAAAAATGAGTGAAAAGCGCAAATAGATATTTATATAAACTTTAATCGGCAAGTGAATAAGTGGACCAGCAAAATTTACACAAAAAAGAAGAAAAAAGAGAAAATAATTGTCAATAAAGAAATTTAGAGCGAAAACTCAAAGTGAGTGGAATGACTACCATAAACTATCATAAACTAGCTTCACGATAGGAATTTCAATACGAAAAATAGCAACTATTGTGCTAGACAAGACAAGAAAAAGCGGGAGAGATGATAAATTTCTAATGCTAATTGAAAAGGAATTCCATGCGCGAGCAAAATGATTGTGATGATTAAAAAAAGATGATTAAAAAGATTAAAAAGAAACATTAGAAAGAGATTTGAGATGCGTATATCTGAAGATACTTACCGTAAATACTGTAATAGTACCCCACCCCCCTCGTACAGTCGCGTAGTCGCAAAAGTTTTTTAGTATTTCATTTTTGCAAAGCACCCGTACTTTCAAAAAATGCGTCTTTGGTATCAAAAAATAGCTGAAATTCAGGGCTATTTTTTTGATACCTAAACAAACATTGTAGCATAAACCAGTGTCGAGAAAAACTCGTTCAAAGCTAGACTACGCAACACTCCGCACCGTCATTATGGGGGTGGGGTACTATTACAGTATTTACCGTATATTAGATTGGGAACTTAAAACTTGGTATACTTTTCCGTATTTTCTATAGAATATATTAATTGAATTCGACTTCTCGAAATAAAAGTTATATATTATCTAATTTAAGAAATCCTTAAGCAAATTTGGGTAACTTTTGAAATGAATTTCAGTAGAAATTCAAGTTTTTCTGAAAATCCTTCAAATGGAACTAAAAGAAAAATGATTGATTATATTTAGCTGAGAATTTTGCTATTTATCTAGCTTTTTATACTCTTTATTTTTTTATTGACACTAAAATAGGTTTATTTGAAAGAAAGTGCTCAAATCGCTTCATCGAGTGTTCATCATTTTTGCTTCCTCAACTTCTTGTCCCCTAGAAACCTACAAAACCGAAGCTTTTCTAAATCTGTCAAAAGCCTGTTTTAGAGAATAAATGAGCCTTTTTATTGGTAAAAACTGTAGATTAATTGGCGCACTTGGCACTATTTCTAAAAAGGGCAATGAATAAGTGCACCAACTTTCAACTTGCCAATCTATTATTATACGGGGTTGGGCACAACTATGACAACTCGGTTTTTTGACTGTAACTCGACGCCCAATTATTCAACTCCCCTAATTTCATATTTATATGAAATTTCAAGTTAATTTCTGCGATCAATTTCAAGTTTTAGTTCAGAAACACAGTGTTACGCTTTTTATAGCACTTTGAAGTACAGGGGTGCCAACCTCTCGGCAGAATCGTTGTTTGGCCGGATTTGCACATATTTTGAACAATTTCCCGCTTCGTATTTACCCATTTTTGCTTTTTATTAAGAAATCGAATTATTTGAAGCATTTCACATCAGAAGATTTTTAAAATTTCAAAATTTTGAGAGCTATAGTTGCATTTCCTGAAAGCTAAGCAAAGCTAAATTTGTATGGTAACTTCCCAAATCATTCCTGATTTGCTGTCTTGCAAATTTAATGCATTTATTTTGTGATATTTGTCTAAATTTAACTAAAGAGTGAAAAAACAAAAAGAATTGGTTGATTTGTGGGCAATTCTTGAGAGTTGAAAACTATTGAAAGCGATGATTCTGTAGAGTGGTTGGCATCTATGAACTTCAAAGTGCTATAAAAAGCGTCACACTGTGTTTCTGAACTAAAACTTGAAATTGCTCGCAGAAATTAACTTGAAATTTCATATAAATATGAAATTAGGGGAGTTGAATAATTGGGCGTCGAGTTACAGTCGAAAAAACCGAGTTGCCATAATTGTGCTCAACCATTTACATATAAAGTCGTCAAAAAAAGTCTTGGCCGGTCAGTGTTCACTTGGTCCACATTCAAATTTATTGACCACAAATAGTTTTATGTAGCATTTTCAAAGGTTGTTAAAATCAAACATTTAGCTTTTCGATATCCTTTGAACTAAAGTTTTAAGATCGAAAAACCTTATTTGAGCATGATTTTTAAAAATTTGTATTTCAAGAATGGATGGATCCCATTGAAAGCGGTTACAATGATAATGGCAAAATGAATAAATAAGTAATAGACGATCCGTCTATTACTTATTTATTCATTTTGTTCTGGTGAAAACGAAAGGCTACTGGCAGTTTTGAAGCTTTGAACAAAATCTGAGAAAAAGGACCTTATCCTCTTATGCAAAAGTAGCTTAAAAGATTCTATTTAGAGCTAAATCAAAAATCTAAGAATATTATCTCAAAGCTCTCACGAAATACTACAAAAATTAATTGGGACGATTTATTTGAATGCGATTTAACGGGAGAAAAATGAAAAAACATTGGCCGGCCAAGACTTTTTTTTGACAACTGTAGATATCTGAAGAAATGTCTTTTCTGGAGGAAGCAGAGGGCGAAACAAATTCGCATAAAAGCGATCAGAATGTTTGCACTTCAGGATTTTAAAATATTCTAATAAGTCAATGACTAGTCGTCGGTGTTGCAGAGTATCTAATTGGAAAACCCTAAACCTTTGTTCATAATTATACTTATGATACTTTTTCGTAATCAATTTTTAGGCCAATTTTAATAGTGCTTTTGGATTGATTCGATTTTGGACAAGCATTTCTTTGTCTAGTGATAAAAAGAGATAAAATGAGTGACAAAGCGCAAATTTGAGATGCAAAAGAAACAATCCCAAAAGAGTCAACATCTTTTTATGAATGTTAAATGATTGACTTAAACAGAAATTTTGAATTAATCAATCTAAGTCAACTGAAAAAATAGGGTTTTGAAAAGAAAAACACCAAGCCTGAATATAAAAAACCGTAAGAAAAACCTTTTCTATAACCTTAAATATTGGTATAAACTCAATTTCTACATGTTTTTGCTTTCGTTAGCTAAAATCAGAGTTGCTAGGGAGAGGACACAAACCAATAAGATCACCCCGTCCTCCGTCTCTCTTTTCCTCCTCTTCACAAAACTTTTTTCCGGGTTCATTTGCCCACACATAAACCGGAAATTTTCACACTGGAAATTACTGGAAATTCTTCGAACCAATTCAATTCATAGCATCGATTGTTTGCAAAAATCATTGTGTGTGTTGTGCTTGATTTTGTGGCTCAGAGTGTGGCACCTGCAATTGCTCCGTTGTAACTAGCAGTGTAGACAGCCCCGTCCATCAATTTCTCTTTAACCCTTTCTCTTTCCCTCTTCCTTTTTCTTTTCAGCTTTTCTCATATTCACATCTCATATTCACTTGTTTAACTTAAAAGATAGAAAAGCAATTTTGTCAATTTTGTAAATCAATTTCTTTTTAAACGATTCAAAATGCGTTCATTTGCTTGTTTGCTTGTTTGTCATGCTTTTGTCGTTTTGAATTATACTTCAGAAGTAAACTGTATTAGATTAGAACTGTATTAGATTAGAACTGTATTAGATTAGAACTGTATTAGATTAGAGCTGTATTAGATTAGGACTGTATTAGATTAGAACTGTATTAGATTAGAACTGTATTAGGAGTAAAATGGATTCAGATTTTTGATATAGATTCAATAGTTTTTGAAACTGGTGAACTGCTTTTGGAAAAGCGTACTGTAAACATAATGAAAAACGTACTGTAAACGTAAACAAACAATCAAATTATCTCGTCATTGTCTTAGTCAGAAGCAAGCAAGTTTGTGACATCATGTGTCACTTAGATTTCTAAGTTTTTAGTAAAAAAAAAGCGTCAGAGTTTAGAGAGGCAAGCTGAAAATTAGTGAATGCGCAGAGTGGATGGGGTAACGAAGAAGAAAAAAAAAAGAGGGGATGGGGTGGATTGAGAGTGGGCGGAGAACCCCTAAACCTGTCTGCTCGGGTGTTCTCGTCGCATGCGCACTTGCCGACGACTTTTCCACCTTTTCCATCTCAAATTTCCATTGTGAAAGTTCATTTTTCAATATCACATTAGTTAGCTGGGAAGTAAAATATAGATTCTTGTTGGAAGTTATTCTTTTAAGATGCATTTAGTCCATTTTCTTTCAGTCCATTTTCTTGTCGAAAGTTATTCTTTTCTTTCAGTCCATTTTCTGCTTTTCTTAAGTAAACTCTAAGCTTTCAAGAATTCCAAGAATTTCAGAATATTAACGCTTTTTGAGTAAAGCTAAAAATAAGAGCTTACAAGTCTCAATTTCTCAATTTCTCAGACCGTTTGTTTGCCTGTGAAGGTCACCATTGTCCTGTGTTTGGGATGCTTTTATATTTTTGTGTGCTGACGGGGTCTACAGAAACGCAAATTTGCCACCTTTTCATGGGCATCTCATGCGGCTTCTTTCTCTTTTGATTACACTACAAATATTGGGATCACACACCGGCTCTCACTCTCTTCAAGGCTCATGACTGGATGTGAGAGGGGGAGACCCAGAGGAACACCACTCCTATCAACCTTTGCCTTGCGTTTTGCATTAGAGTTTAATATCTAAAACCATTATCAGAGATTTACAATTGTGTCCTCTGTCATAGCTAGAGCATAAGAATGATTAAATTTGTCAAAATACCGTATTTTCTCTAATAGTAGTGCAGCCAGAGCGTCGCCTAAATTGCTCGAAATCTCGAGAACCGCGCATCAGAACCTATCGATGTGGGGACGGAAAATGTAGCTGACGATGAGATCTTGTGGGGGATTTGAGTGTTGAGCTTCTGCGAAAGCTTGGAAACTGTAAAATAGTCACAAACTCGGCTCACCCGGGTGCACTACTATTAGAGAAAATAGGGTATACAGTTGCCAGCCAATTGCAAGCATTATTCTTATTTTGCCTACATTAAACGTACTTTGTGCTTTAAAGTTTGCAAGCGATTGCAGCTTTTTTTACTTACAATCTAATCCAATGTCGACTAACAATAAGACTAACATCGACTAACATCGAGAGGATAGTGTTAAGCAGATCAAAGTATTGTAAGCTGTGACTGGTCGGCTTTCTAACCCTTCCCCTTCCCTCTTTCAATCCTATCTATTCCTCTCTTTCACCATTTCCCCAATTTCTTTGCAAATAGTCTTTTTTCTAACACAAATATTTGCATATTTGTATGACTTCTTCTCGTCTTTTTCTCCAAAGACATCTCCATTGACTCTCGTGGTTGATTTTTGTCTGTCAAACACTTTTCCATGCTTTATTGGTTGATTTCTATTAAAATCTGATTGTAAATGATCTTTGTTTATGTTTATGGCTAATGTTTCAGCGGTGTGGCTACAAGCGAAGGCTTAGTTTCGCGTTTGACACTTTCCCAGAACTAGTTGCAAACAATCCCCTCATTCTCCTCTTTCCCACCGCTCATACCGTCACTTTCTCTTGTCCTCTTTTTCCACTTTACTATGAGTTACTTAAAATATTTTACTTTTATAGCATGATCTACTTGTATTCAAATATATTTTTATCGATTTCTCACCGAATTTGCATACTTTTGAGATGAAAACTTTGGTTTTTTTTACCTTTCTCCTACAATTTAACGTGAGCCTTGTAGTCTTTAACATTTGCTTTCTGCTTTGCTTTCTTTCTTTCTGCTTTCTTTGCTTTGCTTTCTTTCTCATGCGCCGTGGTCGGCAATGAATCAAATTCTGAGCAAAAAGGGTGATAAGATCGAACTAAATAATTTCTTTTCCACAAATTGAAATGTTTTCTTTGTTTTTGATGAGATTTTCTGCAAAAAAATGATCACGAAAGCAAAGATGCAATTGAAAATGGTGATGTTTTTTCGAGTAAGAAGCGCAAATTGTCAAAAAATTGGAGCCAATCGAAAAAAAAAGAGAAAATAGAGACAACCATGTGAAATCGGCGTTTTTTTTGTGATGTCTCCTCTCGATTTTCTCTCATCTTTCACCATTTCTCTAGCGAAATCATAAAGTGGCGAGAGGACGAGCAGGAAAAAAAGGGATGACTATAGTCAAGGAAAAGAAAGAAAGAAAGATACGTAAAAAGTGAAGAGAAATTTTGCGAGGAGAGGACAAGTGGACACGAAGAGATCCATCCGAGCAAGGGTGGAGGACAATCCACAACAATAGTTCCGCCATATTCGGGAGTCCCTTCTCGTTTTTTTTCTTCTTCTTCTTCTTCTTCAACCAATACACGTATCTTATTTCTTTTATGGACACACGCCTTTTTGGATCCTTTACATTTGGTCTAGATTTCGTAAATCTCAATTTCCTAGATTCAGGACCTGTTTTTTTTTTGCTCTTAAAAGACCTAAGAGCAAAGAGCCATTGGTTACTCATTCGTCTTATCTACTTTTTTTTTGAGTCAACTCAACCATTCTGACGCTGAACCCTTATCTTTTCTTTGATATTAAAACAAAATCTCTGCAAAATCTAAGGATTCATCTTCAAGTCACTTTTTTTTTCTTTGTTGCAATGCAAAACGATTAGGTGACTGAGGGTAATGAGAGTTGAGCTGTGTTCTTTACAATTTTTCGGAGAGCCATTCATTCACTTGGAAGTGAACGGGACTCCTCAGCTTGACTCAAAGGGGTACCTCTTTTCTCCGAATTTTCCCATTTATTTCCCCCCGAAATCGACCTCGATTTTTGGCTTTCAACTTTTCAAATGTTTTTTTAAAAAATAGAATTACTCTTATTGGCCAGTAGTGAGTTCATTTTTGCAAAGCGTCCTAAATATCGAGAGGGACAAGCAAAGAGGTGAGAGCTAGTGCTGGTGCTCCTCCAAGGTCACTTAGTCGCCTCAAGCTCTCCATCTTTCTTCTCGTTTCTCTTCTACCCTTTTTCCTCATCCATTTTCCTTTCTTTCTCTACCTCCATCACCCAATTCCCTTTCTCATCACCTCCCATTGCTGTGTGCCGAATTTTCGCGCACCAATCTTCATTGTGAATAAGAAAAAGACAATTTTCTTAGCCACACCCGTCACCACACGCGAGATTTTCAAAAAAAAAACGGAAACACTTACCTATCGCCTCTATTTTTCTATTGATTTTTGTCTTTGCTTAGGCACTTTGAACTATCATTTATGGTTAAACTTAATAGTTGATTTTGTTTGAGCATTTGATTTCTTGTGTGAGAAGATTCTTTATTGAACATCTTGAATCTCAAGTCGTTTATAGCAAATAACATATGGATCAGCGGATCTTTCAGCATATGGATCTTTCAACTTTTCAAATGTTTTTTTAAAAATAGGATTACTCTTATTGACCAGAAGTGAGTTCATTTTTGCAAAGCGTTTTAAATATCTTTCAGCACCTTTTTTTTTACTTTTTTTACATCTGCCATCAATGTATCTGCCAATATATCAACGCTTAATGAATGAGTTTTTTTGAAAAACATTTTCAGTTTCGAAATCAAATTTTCCCTTCAAAAACCATCTGCTTTCTTCCAGTTTTCTTGGATAAAACATTTTTCAAAAACCGTCCTCGTATCTAATCAGTTATTGAATAAATTTATTTCCTTATTGCTATGAATTGGCAATGATTCGACTTTGTTGTAATCGTTTGGAACAGAAGACGGTGATCTCAAGCGTTCTCTCCTCTGTCCTCTTTGCCGAGTGGCCATGATCGAATTTCCTTCCCTAATCGCTTTTCCATCACAGCACTGAAGGAAAAAAGTAGGCCGTTATCTAAATAACTTCAACGCGAAAATCGTTGAACTTTTGAAAAATTGGGCTTGCCGGTCAATAGATATTATTTCAATAGATTTCCTAGAGGGTTTTGCCGGCTTTCAAATTTGAAAGCTAAAATTAGAACGATAAGCTATCGATGACAGGAATTTGATACCTGTTGCTAGCCGTAGAAATGGGAGAGGACTCTCGAGAAGGACGGATTGACCCTCTTGGCGCGGCGTGATTGTCCCGCTCGCGCTTCCGTCTCCTTTTTTTTGCGGATCTTCCCCAAAAAGGAAAGCTTTTTCCTTTTTCCCCCCTTTCTTTCCGCTTTCGTTTTTCCGGTCGGACTCTCTTTCCCCATCTTTCCCCATCTTTTCCTTGATCTTTCTATGGGGATTCCGTGTGGGCACGCAGCACGCGCTTCCGCCACCCCCCGTCCGCTTTGAGCTCTTCTTCTACAAGTGCCCACACACCCCCTCTCCTTTTCTGACTCATTCTCGTCTTTCTATGACTATTCGATCACATTTGATATTTTCTTTTCTTTACTTACTCTTTTTTTTTTCTAATAAAGTGACTTAAACTGTTATTGAGAACTTAAACACATCCCTTCAACCACACCAAATTCTTTTTTTTCAATTCAACAATTCCCATCCATCCCAACAGTTTGCTTTATTATCAATTCTTAAAGTTGTTTTTAGTTTTAAAACTCTAGCTCTATCGTGAGTGATTTGTTTTTATTAAATCTTGTCAAATAATCCATCGTTCTTTTTTGTCGTTTTTTTGGGAACAGAGAGGGATTGGATGTAAAATAAGACAAATAGTACGAATTTTAGTAGTTTTCTATGAGAAGAGACAATTGTTGAAAAGATGAAGGATTCTAGTAGAAGAGTGGAGGAGAGAAGGGGGGAGCTATAGCTGTGAAAGGAGAACTGGAGAGTCGAGCACATGCCTCCCCTCCTCTTCTAACCCTTCTCTTTCATATACTTTTCAACGGGAGGCTTTTCTACTGCCCGTCTCTCCGGTGACCACTACTCCTTTTTTTTTCCTTTTTCTCTCTTTTCCCCAGCTGACCACTGCTTTTTTCCGAACGCTTACTCGTTATTTATTACTTTTTATTAGTTAGCGAGATTTTGATTAAAAAATTGTCCATTTTTCGAAAGAACCTTATGCTGTCAAGTCTTGAATCTTATTATTCCCTAGCTTGCCCTTGTTCTTATTCTTGTTCTTATTCTTGTTCTTGTTCTTGTTCTTTCTTGTTCTGTTCTTGTTCTTGTTCTTATTCTAACAGCTCGTTCTTTGCTATATCTTTAGAATCTTTAGAAACTTTTCAAACTTTAACAATTTTCAGAAGAGATGACTAAATTAGATGAATCTCCATACACAATCTTGGGTATTTCAAAGGATTCAGACCATGAGGCCATCAAGAAAGCGTGAGTCTTCTTCACTTTATAAACCTCGTGATTTCATATCATGAAGTTCGATCGACTATGAGAGATTTTTGGCTTACTTCCCAATAGGTCCCTTGAGATTTTCATAGCCGGAGTGGTTCCAATTTTTCGCCTTTTTTCAAACCATAGTCTTCAAATGTGCAAAACAAAGACCTCGTGGCAAGATGCAGCGCTAGCTTTAAAAAATGTAATTTTTAGACTCAAAAATGATGTTTTGCAAACAAGTGTTCAGCCAAATACAAAAAAAAAAAATTTAGCTATCGAAAGTTGGCACTGAAATGGCATCCCGATAAACATCAAGAAGATAAAGACAAAGAAGTGGCTGAGAGAAAATTCAAGAAAATCGCTCAAGCATATGAGATTCTAACAGATTGTATGGGGAAATGAAAGTTTTTCTTTTTGATAAATGAATTTAGCAAAGAAAAAGGCAGCTCTTGATCGAGATGTGAGTGGAGTGAGGCCAGGAAGAAGAGTATTCAGAGACGATATCTTCCGATCTCCATTCGATGTCTTCAAAGATTTCTTTGGCACTCGTGATCCTTTCCAAGTGAGCGAGCAAATAAATCTTATCATTACATCAAGAAGTTCAGAAATTCTCGTTAAAACTTTATCAAGATAAGTCTAATACTGGTTAGAGAATTTTATGGGTTTTCTTCCCAAATGGTTTCGGTTTTAAATCGATTTAAACGATCACACATCAATAATTATTTTCTGTAGGATTTGGGAGCTCTGGGTTCCCTGCTGGATGATTCATTCTTTCGGGTCCGTCAGGTCTTGCATGAATAAATATCCTTTTTTTTTGTCTCTATCATTTCTATTAGCTGTCTCTAAAGAATTAGTTCCTCAGCTCACAATTTCACTCGTCTAATCAATCAGTTTTCTTTTCAGGATATATTTTTTGATGATGGTTTCGCTTTCCCATCGGATAGCTTCTTGTTTTCAAGTGAGTGTCTGGAAAAGGTTGTGATGAATCGAGGAAATTTAGAACCACGACGAACAGGCCCTCACTCACGAGTACATATTTTTTTTGATGATGCACGACGGGCAAAAGATGAGAAAGAATGGTTTGTGATTGTTTTTTTTAGGTTTATGGTGTTTATGAAGAAGATTTTAGTGAATTCTCTACGGTTATCCGTTTCTCATCATCGTCAGAACCTGGAAAATCCGTCTCCACAACGAAAACCACCACCACGACAAAGGTTTGTTTGCAAATTCTAGAACTAGAAAAGAATTATGTTAAAGATCAGCTGAAAGAGCGGGTTTATTTCGCTGGATTTTTTCAGGCATACGGCATAGACCTTTAGCTTTTGTCACCGTGGCCAGTCGGCGCTTGTCTACGGCCCACACGGCCCGGTTTCGATTCCCCTATGTTTTATCTAACTTTGATTTTTTAAATGGCACAACTACAATGTATTCTAAAGTTTTCTAAAGAAGCTTTAGCTTTATTAGTCAAAACACAGCTGAGAAAATGCCCGTACAGACAGACAGACACTGCTCTTTTATATAAAAAGTCGAACTTCGATACAACGAAACGTTCGATATAACGACCTTTTATGACCGGTCTCTTGAGGTTTGTTATATCGAAGTTCGACTGTATGTATAAAAGAGCAGTGTCTATCTGTCTATACGGGCATTTTCTCAGCTGTGTTTTGATCAATAAAGCTAAAGCTTCTTTAGAAAACTTTAGAATACATTGTAGTTGTGCCATTTAATCGTCGTCATAGAGAAACATCTTAAAATGATTAACTAAAACACAATGTAACATTTTGAGTCAGAGAAAATCGGCAGCGATTTTTCAGGTAATCGACGGGAAAAAAATTGTCGTCAAACGAACAGAAGACAATGGAAAAGAAACAATAGAGGTAGTGAAGAAATAGGAAAACATTTATGAAGACACTCTTTTCAGACTTATGAAGACGGTCGTCTCACCTCTCAAGTGGTTCAAGGAACGGCCGTTGCAGCGAACTAAATGCGCACAATGAGATTCATCAAGAAACCCCAATCCACACTGCCATACATTCCATTTGTTTTCTCGAATTCCTTTTCCTTTGTACATAGCTTTGATTCAAAAGTAGAAATGCCGGGAAAGTGTCTAAATTCCCGTTCTCATTTCTCAATTTCTCAAAAAGTTTTAACTGTAGGTTAGTTGTCTTTTAAAAGCATCAAGATGCTCATCACTGAATATGAAATGATTTAATAGATGGGTGTCTAAAACTTCAGACTTTTGTCTTAATGAAACAATTTGAAATGATGTTTTTAAGCCTACAGTACACCTATCATCGTTTAAGCCGTTTGCTACAGTGCCTATCATCGTTTAAAGCGTTTCCAGGTATACTTATTCGTTAGTAGACTGTGTTCAAATCATTTTCTAAAAAGGTACACAGGGAAAGCTACCGTAATCTCAAATGTAAAAAGACAGTCAGAGTACGGTAGTTGTTGCCTAAGTTCACCTTTTAACCGAGAACAAAACAGTTTGCTCACCACTTTTTCCAGTAACAATTAAAATCTCCAAAATGCTTTCGATGATTGCTATATTTGATGTGATTTTAAGCGTTCCATGTGGGCTAACATGTGGGCTAACAAGACCATCTAGGAAAGAAATGTCTTTTTTTGTTCCTTAGCTTTCCTTTCTTCTTATCTGTAGTATTGGGTTGGTGAATTGAAAACTGCCGGACTTTGAACTAAAATTTAGTCAACATAAAACCATAAATTGATTCCAAATAATTTCCATTATTATTGACGCCTTGTGCCCATTTTACAGGCAATTTGCGGATTCCTCTTTCGTAGTAGGATTTTGGTTTGTGTGTGAGACAAGTGTGAGACTCAAAAATCGAGGACTGGAGATGTCCCAGTTTGAGCACTTTCTTCAAAAGAAACCCATTTTGATGTCAATAGAAAAGTTGTAGAGAATCAAAAATTAGACTTATAGCCAAATTTCCAAAAAGATACACTTAGTAGTTTCGCTTAAAATGCAAGTTTTGTGAAAGTTTCGTAAATTTGGCATTTCTTGAAAACCAGTTTTTGAATCGTTCTGAAAATTTGGATATATGCTTGATTTTTGATTCTCTACAACTTTTCCTTTGACACCAAAATGGGTTTCTTTTGAAGAAAGTGCTCAAACTGTCATCTATGACAATAGCCCGCAGTTTTTAATTCACCAACCCAATAGATACTGTTCCCCATTCCTATCATTTAGGCAGACGGTATTCCTTAAACCAGCCCACTTTTTCGCTCTTTCATTTTGCATTTTTATAGATAAAATTCTATTAAACATTTCTACAAGATTTAGGAAAATTCTTTCTTTTTTTTAAGTAACAATTTTTAGCTCAAAAAAAAACCTGAAATCCTTTTGCGAAAGTCAAGCAATATTTTTCTTTTCGTTTACGGTTGATAGAAACTTTATTAGAGCTATACGTATGTATAGAAATAAATATTTTATTAAAGAAAATCGTTTTTTTAAAAGCAAAAATAATATACAAATAAAACAGAAAAAATTTCTCAAAACCGTAGAAAACCCGAAAATTTGCGATGAATCACAAAAGACAAAAGGCACTCTGATATAGAAAAAAAAGGATATGATATAAAATTGGATATGATATAAAAAGCACCTGACATTGAAATGTTTAAATTTTAAGTTTAAATATTAATCAGCAGTAGGTTTTCTTTAATAAATAAATTATTTTGCGTTCTGTTGTGCTTTGCGTAAACGGACCGCTTCAGCAATCTGCTTGAAGCGCTCGAAACACTCGCCTTTACTCCTTGTTCCCATTTCTTTCGCGATTTGATCCCAACTAAAATTTCTTTTTCAATAACAAGTCATTGAAAGATTTACAAGGAAAAATATATTTATTTTTCAAGGAAAACTCGCCGTGCATCGACTCCCTTGGGATATTTGATGAGAGCTCGCTCGAAAGCTTTTTGCTCGTCTTGTGTCCAATCCAAAGTCACCGATTTTAAATTCTGAAAAGTTTTTTGATGCAAAAAGCAGTTGCAAAAGCACAAAAAGTTTTAAATCTATAAAATATTTAAGAAAACTTGAGAAACCTGTGGTATCGTGACTTTCGAAAAATCGGCAACAACGGCGCTCGTTTGTCCACTCAACAATTTGTTGTATTCTTCCTGAAAAAGGAATTTTTATCGAATTCAACGACTCAACTCATAATTTATAAATAAACTGACCCTTTTCATGCTTTTCAGCTTTCCAGCCATTGCCGTAACATCATCAGGAGTTCTGTGAAGCACCGCCGCCATCAAATCCCATCTGAATTTTCTTTTAATTAATTACAAACAACAATCAAGGCAGTATAAACTCAATTTTAAGTCAAATATTTAAATTATTAAAAAAAAATTCACCTATTTGGAGTGCCAGATGGGAACTTTTCGGTGCTCAATTTGACAAGGAGCATCAACTCATCACAAGTCCACGCTGACTCTTTTGAATATTCTAAATGAAATTGTTATTAAATTGCTATGAAATTGCTATGAAATTGCTATGAAATTGCTATGAAATATCAATTTCTTTATATAGGACTTTATATTTATTAAAATATTGAATTGAATAAAGGCTGCTAATTTACTGGGAAATCTTTTTTGGTCATTTATAGAAAGCACTCACTTGCTTCTCTTTCCTTTTCATCGATTTCATATTTTTTACGAGCGTTTTCATCGTGACTTGTAACCTATTTTTTTTTTTTTTTTAAAGCTTTAAAATCCAAACCGCTTTGATATCTCTAGCTACTGCAAATTCATAGACTGGTTGTGGCTGAGATGGGACAATATTGCGAACAGGACGAATGAGCTCTTCGTTCTGAAAAGAATTTTGAATTTTGAATTTTAAATTTTGAATTTCGAATTCTTGAATGTTTTCGAATGTAAAGGAAAGAAAAGTCGGGTGTTTTGATGAAGGAAAAGTGAAGAGAGACGAGTAAAGGACGGGACCACCCACAAAGATTGAAGATTGAGAGAATGACTGGCTTAAACTAGGGAATAGATCATCAACGAAACCGTGCGATAGATCAAAATCCTATTATTCGATATGTTCTTTAAAATGAACCTCTTCTAACGGCGGCTCTTTCTTCGATAACTCCTGCAGCAGAGTGATGAAACTCAGAAAGCCTCTCCATGTTTTACAGGGCAACATCTTCGACCAAGTCGGCTTGTGCTCTTGCAGAGCCTAAAAAAGCGGCTATTGCATTTGAATCCTGTTTTTAGAAATCTTATACTTATACAGTACCAATTCCACACGTCGAGCCTCATCATCTAAAGCCGAAGATCGATCTTTTTCCCTTTTCACCTTCACCTTCTTTTGAGTCTAAAACTTTTCTTATTCAAATGAAAGTTTATATTTTCTTACCTCGACTAGATACTGTTCGAAATAGGCTCCCCATAACATGAGATAATGGACACCGATGAGTAAAGGAATCAAAATCAGCATCGCCTCGCCGAGTCCCATTTTTCGAACTCGCCTTAATTTCTTTTTGTCTTCAAGTCGTTATATTTGAATGAGAATCGGGACGATCGAGCAAAATGTTCGAAGTTGTCTAATGATCGACCAAAATGGTCGAAGCTGTCTAACGATCGAACAAAATCGTCGAAGTTGTCTAATGATCGAGCAAAATCGTCGAAGTTGTCTAATGATTGACCAAAATAGTCGAAGCTCAGTCGCTCATCGTTCCTTTCGCTTTACGGATTGCAAAAGGGAACATCTATCTATCGGGAAGGTGTGCCAGATGGCGAGCAATTACCAGACCGCACAAAGAACACCTTGCCAGTCATTTGCATGGGGTTTTTCTTTTGCTTTGTAGATGTAAATTTGTACTTGCGGGTTTTCGAGGCCGGGAAATCGATTGGAACTATTCATTTTATTCGTTTTAGTGAGAATTGGTCCTGATTTAAGCCCCTCCTTTAGCAGATAATGCCCTCAAAGTACCTGTAGTAGTAGATACCACTTCTCCAACTCGGTAAGCCATTGATGAGAATTTCGTTGTACTTTTCGCGTAGTTCCGTTGATTTAAGCACTTCGTACACCGAAACAATCTGGAAAGCAGTTAATTTTTTTTGCTATTCTTGTACCTTAAAGGCTTAACATGTTTCAAATTTGTATATAAAAGGCTCTTTTTTTCTCACTTGTCGAAATCGTTCGGCGGCATTCTCGGCTCGATTTCTGTCGGGATGCCATTCGAGACTCAAACGTCGATAGTTTTTCTTGATTTCCGAGAGTGACGCCTCCTATAAGTCACATTTTTTTCTCTCACTTTAATACTCGTCATTCAACAAGGTTTTTGCACATAAGAAAATGAGAATAAAATGAATATATCTACCGTAAATACTGTAATAGTACCCCACCCACATGACGACGGTGCGGAGTGTTGCGTAGTCTAGCTTTGAACGAGTTTTTCTCGACACTGGTTTATGCTACAATGTTTGTTTAGGTATCAAAAAATAACCCTGAATTTCAGCTATTTTTTGATACCAAAGACGCATTTTTTAAAGTACGGGTGCTTTGCAAAAAAATGAAATACTAAAATACTTTTGCGACTACGCGACTGTACGAGGGGAGTGGGGTACTATTACAGTATTTACGGTAGATGAATACCTCTAGATCTAGAGATTTTGCATACGATTTTGATGCTTTTCTTTATTCATTTCTCAAAAATCCAATAAACCTTTCATTTTCTTTTTTGTGTGAAAGAAGTAATACTTAAACATTTGTTTACAATATTCACCTGCTGAATCTCGAACAATTCATAGAAATTCCCTTGCACTTCTTCGACCAAATCATACAAAGCCAACTCCTCGTTGCTCCAAGAGTGCACAACTTTCAAAAAGAAACACAAAAACAACCACCATAATAAGCTCATTTTTTGGAAAGTAGTTGAAATAAGTATGTTTATTAAAACTATAGCTTAATATTAGCAGAAATTTACATTTCCATTACCTTTTGTTCAGAATTGAGGTCAATTGTGACTAGTCTAGCCAATTTTTTCTCGACACAGAAAAAACGCGGCTACGGTAGGTAGAGCAAAGGATAGCCGACAAAGCATCGCTTGATTAGTGATCGCTTAAATAGGGGTAGGCTAGTTTCCGCAACACGCCATCACTTTCTTCTAAGTCGGCCAATCTTTATGATTTTAGTTTCATTTTGTTACACTTATTGAGATATACAAGATCAACACTTAGTTTACAACCTAATCTCTAAATATCTTTCAATATCTTTAAAGTTTTAAAGTATCACTTTAGAAAACTGGTTCATGAAATCCTTTATTATCTTGTTAACGATAAGAAAGATACGTGAAAAAAGATATTTTCTTCAAAACTCATTTGGTTATTGTTAACAAGATAATAAAGGATTTCATGAACCAGTTTTCTAAAGTAATACTTTAAAACTTTAAAGATATTGAGAGATATTTAGAGATTAGGTTGTAAACTAAGTGTTGATCTTGTATATCTCAATAAGTGTAACAAAATGACACCAAAATCATAAAGATTGGCCCACTTAGAAGAAAGTTATGGCGAGTTGCGCAAATGATCCTCTGGATCATTTGCGCAACTCGCCATAACTGCGGAAATTAGCCTACCCCCAAAAATATCTTCCTTTTTGATTCTTTATGTCTTTTTTCCTTAATACAAATACATAAATATTTATTCTAAAACATCAAAGCAATTACAGGAAAGAAAAATGCGTATTTTAAATGAGAAAAGAAAAATCTTAAACGGCAATGTTATCAGAATTTACAAAAAAAAAAGTGAAAGGCAATCCAATTATGGCTGTTGTTAGAGGAATGAATATAAAAAAAAGCTAAAAAGCTATTGAGGTGAACAGAAAATGAATTTATTTAAAAATTAAATTATTTTTAAGAAAAAAAAACATTCTTGAAATCAGCAAAGATTAAATAAAGCTGAAAATTAAAAACATTAGCCAAAAAATATGAAAATTCTTGACCTTTTTTTTTGCTGGAAAAGGCCTTAGGAAAGGTCGTAGAGCTTCAAAAATGTTTTCATAGAAGAGAATCGTATGCGTAGATTCCGAATTTCGACAAATCAGACCTCGCTGACACGTCAAATTTGGGCTAAAAGGCAAAAACTACGCAACTTAACGCTTTTCCGCAGTTTCCAGCAAAAAAAGGTGCGCAAATGTCCAGGTTCGCAAAAAAAGAAGGTCGCATTTGTCCCACCCCCGTAAGAGGCTTTTGAAAAGGGTAATAAATGCCCGTTTATGAAAAGAAAAAGATCATTTTTGAAGACAATAAAAAAAGATACATTGAAAATGTTTCGAAATGAGGTGATATTTGACTCATTGGTGAAGAAAGAGGAATCTCGAGCAACAAGAAAACAACATTTATGCCCGAGTTGACTATTTTTTTTTATTCTAGTGTAATTTGTGGGCTTTTAAACAAAACAAGAAATAAAAAAAAACAAATGTCGTTTTTCTTTGTGATGAGATCATTTACAATAGTCGAAGAGCGGCGATAGCGATTGGGAGGAGTGAAGACAGCACAGCGGTGGACACGGAAGTTTGCTCTTCCGACAATGTTTTGATCCCTGAAATTTGAAAAGATTAAAGGTTTTAGTTTTACAAGTTTAGAACTTTGTTTAGGACTTAATTTTTTTAACACTATCGCTAGATTCTTCAAGTTCTAAGAGCTAAATTCTTAGAACTTGACGCATCTAGTGATAGTGTAAAAAACACCAAATAGAAACAAAGTTTAGTGTTTTTTTTTACACTAAACTTTGTGCTTCTATTTGTTTCTATTTGCTCGACGACGAATGCAAATGCTCGTGTCAATATGGATTTAAAGGAGACAAGTAAGACTTGATCTTCATTTTATTCAACTCAAGTTCTAAGAACTAAGTTCTTAGAACTTGAGGAGTCTAACGATAGTGTAAAAAACATCAAATAGAAACAAAGTTTAGTGTAAAAAATCACTAAACTTTGTTTCTTTTTGGTGTTTTTTTTGACACTTTCGCTAGATTCTTCAAGTTCTAATAAAGGCTCAACAAAGCTAAGGCTCAACAAAGCTAAGACTCAACAAAGCTAAGACTCAACAAAGCTAAGGCTCAACAAAGCTAAGCTTGTCTCAAAATGTGTCAGAACAAAATCTACTAAGAAAGAAATATCTAATACTTAAGAAATTTTATTTCTTACTTAAAATTTCGATTCCTTGACCCCTTCTCCTATACTTAAACTCTGATTCACGGCTCTAAATTGCTTGATGGGGCCACAGGGCTGACTTCAAGGGTTTGAAGGCCACTTGAAATTCGGGAGAAGGAATTGGAGAGAAGGGGAAGCGATTGAGTTCCCTCTGGCACTCCTTTCTTTTTGATGAGTTCAGAGATTCTCACCGCTTCCGTTCGATAATGAGAAGCCCAATTGGGAGAAGGGGGAGTTGAACGAGTTGAATCAATGAACAAACAATTTTTCATATTGATAAATTCTTTTCAAATCTTCTTCATTTTCAACGAAACTAACCACTTTTTGTGTTGACAACTTGGTATCTCATCTCGGGTCCCTTGTGACCCTTCTCGGAGAACGGATTCGTGCGCAACTCGATCAACAACCAATTCGATTCAGAGCGCATTTTTCGGGGTCGCTCTCCATCACAGGGAATTCTGAAAAAATAGGTTTTCAATGACTCAACTTTAGGCATATCTTTCATTTTCTATTAGGAAAAGTTAACTAATTTCAAATGAGAAATCGAGAAAAGGGTAAAGATAGTCATTGAGTAGTCAGTCAGAAGGCAATCTGTCATTTCCGGCTCAGACTCATCGCACACAAATGGCGGCAATTAGCATGAAACGAGCAATGTTTTCCTGTTTCTGATTCTCTGGGTCAGCCGAATTTATGATGAGCTTTTTAGATTCAAAAATCGAGTACAGTGTCTTTGAAAACTGACGGATTCTCAACGCCATAGGCTCCATAAACGTAGAAAAGATCGTTGCAATGTTGGCCTGGAGGCAACTCATCATTATCCAAATCGAAATCATCAAACGACAACTCGATCACATCCCATGGATCTTCGGTCTGAAAATATTCATCGATTCATTAGCTTCTCAGCTTTCAACTCACCTTAATTTGCCATTGGCAGAAAGTTTGTTTGTGATAGTTGTCAGGGTGAGTGCTGAAATGTCTGGATAAAAAAAAATGACGTTTTTCTCAAGTGAAACCTCAAAGCAATGTTTCCAGATTGTTGAGCCTTGATCACCCCGCAAGTCGTGTCAGTAAACTGATGAGCACGGCTCAGCTTTTCACAGCTAAAGATTATGATTTAATCACTTAAAAGCTAGCTAGCTAGCTAGCATTGATTTAAAAGATTTAGTGCTTAACTTAAGTTGATTAAAATGAAGATCAATTCTTACTTGTCTCCTTTAAAACCATATTGACACGAGCATTTGCATTCATCGTCGAGCACTCCGCCGTTTTGGCACTCTGTTGTGCATTTTTCTAAATATTTAACCATACATTCAATATTTCCATCTAAACAATTAACATTTTTTCTTGTTTTAATCATCATTACTTTAACGCAAAAGTAAAGGAACTCAAAATTTGTACTTATTACTGATAAACCATTGGGTTTTGGACTTCTACAGCAATTGCGATCACCCTCTTTTCTTTTAAAAAGAAATGTGCATTTGTAAAAGGTTTTGAGGTGCGAATCTATTGCCATTCGATTTCGTATTCATAGAGTATCCCCCTTCTTTCGCTTTTGAAATGACTCCTTCACCTCCCTTTACCAATTCCTTTCCCTTTTTTTGACTTTTCTTCTCAAAAACCTACTCTCACTGCCTCTTGTCATTTAGAATGTAAATCCTGAAATGAGAAAGTTTAATGAGAAAAATTCGACGTAATTTCAAAGAATCACATGGCGAAATGTTCCTGAACTTTGTCACCTCCGAAATCCGATCTCACGAGTTTTTTTCTTTGCAAAAGATTCGGGAAACTTTGCTATTTTTAGCAAGAGTTTTTAGCTTTTCTAGCTTTCTAGCTTTCTAGCTTTTCTAGCTTTCTAGCTTTCTAGCTTTCTAGCTTTCTAGCTTTCTAGCTTTCTAGCTTTTATAGCTTTCCAGCTTTCTAGCTCTCTAGCTTTCTAACTTTTCTAGCTTTCTAGCTTTTCTAGCTTTCTAGCTCTCTAGCTTTCTAGCTTTCTAGCTTTTCTTCGACTTTTTCTTCTAAATGTTTTGAGTCAATAAGTCAAATCAGTGGTTTTATGCAAGCCACTTATGCAAATGACGTTATGCAATGTCCTTTTATGGCGGCTCTTTTCATTTGAGCCACTGTTTTTCTTTGTGCGGATTTGAATAATGGATTGGTAAATGCGTCTCAAAATATGGTCAAGAAAATTTCGGAATCGATTCAACATTTTCCACCTGAGAGAGAGAATAAAACGAGTTTGGAGGAAACTGATTGAGTGTAGGTCTTTGCCTATTTCAAGTCCCCGAAATTGAGTACTCTTCCCTCGTCTTCTCCTTCGTTAAATTGAATTCACCATCCATGCTGAACGCTCTGCAAGAGAGCCGTTTTTCTATGCATTTTTACTACAAAGGCTTTCCTTTGTGCGTACAATTTCTTCTAGACGACTGAACAATCATGCAAAAGTCCTTTTTACGTGAAGAAAAATTGAATCAATACTTTTGATAGACAGTCAAATGTATTCTTAAAAGGGGTAATGTGTGCCCGAGAGTCGGGGAGCTTTTGTGTGGGCTCTCATGAAGAGACCACTTGACCCTCTACCTGTGCCTCTAGATGCCCCAGTGCTGGTGCAGAAGGAGTTTTCTTTATGTCCCTCAAAATTCTCCATACATTGGGGATGACCGAAGGGGAATCGAGTAAGTGGATCTCACTGTAAATACAGCTGCCAACTCTATATTGAATGACCATTTTTGTGGAGACGTAACATGATATCGACTCAGTCAGTCACCCTCATTTGTTTGTCAAAATGGAAGCCCCTAGTCGAAAGGGGGATTTTTCAAAAATCTTTCGCATTAGTCGATAAATTAAGAGGCGTTCTTACGGCCACTCGAGCAAATTTCGCCTGGAGGCTTGGTGGCACTCGGGAGATCCCCTCGAACATCTGTCCAGAAAATCACCTCCACCCAAAATCTTGACTCTTTTCCCCTGTTTTCAATTCGTTGAAAAACCGGTGCACATCAAGCAAAGTATGAATTTCGGCCTTTTGTCCAGTGCACACTGTAAAAACCAACCGAAGACCATCTGTTCTCGAAATAAAAACCCCATCTGCCCAAAAATGGTTACTCATGGAGTTTCTTAAACATTGAATATTTTAAATGAAAAGGAAATCCTATAAAATTAAATCAGTTACTTCGAGAAAGGCGTCTCTTTATGTTCCACAAATTGGAAAGTCTTAGAAAGAGAGAAAGAAAGAGAGATTCGGGGCCCAATTACGAGTGGACAATGCAAGAGTGAGCGAGTGGGGGATATCCTTAGCTTCCTTCACTGGACCTTCTTCATCATTAGCTCACAAATGGATGGGAGTCCTTTTCTTTGAAAGAGCTTTGAAATTTGATAGAATTTCCCCGTAAATCTCCGCACACCATTTTTCGGGAAACGGGAAGAGTCGGCTGTTTTCTGTTTTCTCCGAGCGATTACCCCTTCAAAAATAAAATCACTGGGTTGCGCAAGTGAGCAATGTCTCTTTTCCTACCAATCCACCGATCATTCAACCAAAAAAAAAAGTCAGATATTTGATCAAAAACTGTATAGTATTACTATATAGTACTTGAAAAGTACATTAATAAATCTAAAAATCAAACCAGTGCAGTTGAACTTGATGTTAATGTGGCGACTGATGTGTCGTCTTGGCTGCTCGATGTCGGCGACTTTTCCAAGAATTTCAAAGCATGTATCATCCTAAAATCTTTTTTCCTTTCTTTTCTTTCCTTTCTTTTCTTTCTTTTCTTTTTTTGTCTTTTAGTTATAATTTTAAGCCTTTAGAGATCTAGGCCTTCCTTTCGCACAAATTTCAATCTACTTCATCATTCGTGCCGGACAAAGGAAAGAGATCTATTGAGGGTTACGCCAAAAGTCTCCCTTTTTCTTTTTCTATTTCTTTTCTTTTCCTTTTTCTTTTCCTTCTCCTTTTCCTTTCCGACGACCACCTATTTTAGACTCTTTGGCCTCATCATTTATGATTGATGAAGGCACGCGAAATGACTTTGCAAATTGGTGCGATTGTCACCAATTTTCAAGTACTACGTGATCCAGCAAACAGATATTTCTTCTAATAGTAGTGCACATAGAAAAATTTCCAATCCGAACCTAACTTCCACTTTCGTTTTCTTAGCCAATTGCTTTGAATTGCCAATTGCTTTGTCTACAAATAGAAATCGAAATTTTCAACTTGTAGACAAAGCAGAGCAATTGGCGAAGAAACGATTGAGAAAACGAGGATGGAATTAGGTTCGGGTTGAAATTTTCCCCATATCACCTAAACTGATCAAAATTCTAAGAACCGCTGCTCAGAACTTATTGATGTGAGTCAAAAAAATGTAGCTGAAATTCAAAACTTGTGAGTGATTAAAATGCTGCATCTTCTGCAAAAACTTGAAAATCGTAAAACAGTCACCAATTCGGCCTGATTGTGCACTAATATTAGAGAGGAAATACGACAACTATAGTCTTATAGCTAGCAATAGCAGCAATTGATTTTAAAAAAATGCAACAAAACAAAGTCCATCAACTTTATGAACTTTCGTTTTCAGTTTTCACAGTTTTTTTTGCCACTCACCGTGATGCAATTCGGGCTCAAATGCACTGTTTTGTTCGACGCTTGCCACGAGCAGTGTCTAAAACTTTTAACTTTGTTTTTTCTCTCTAACAGTCACAACGACAAACTAATACTAATACTTTAAGTTGGTCGGGGTTTAGTTGCCTCAATTAGGGTCCTCTTGCAACCAGCTGTCATGAGAAATGGGATAGGAAAAAGAGTGGTGTGGTGGTGGGGAGGTGAAAGAGACTTGGGAAAAGATGGGGGAAATTTGTGCCCCACAGATCCACCATTCACAGCCCTCCATTGTGGATCGGCTAATCGAGGAAAAACGGTGCGACATTAGAGTTGAGGTCTCGTCAAATTGCTACCCTTGTGCGCTCCCGGGGCATCTCCTCCCTCATTTGCTCCAACCATTTTGACCATTCCCCCAGCACATTAACTCTTGCCCTACACGCGTAATCTCCAGATCATATTACTTATTAGGGACTTTGTCAATGATTCGTCAAGCAGTCATTTAAAAAAACTCAAATATTCAACGAACCCAGATTGAAGGAAAGTGACCGGATCTCCATCCTCATCGCCATCCTCCCAAAAGAGACAAGTCTCCCGTTGGATTTGCTCGATTGCATTTGCCACACAGCGATTCACTTCCTCATCTAAAACACAAGCATTTGTAAAAACATATTTAGCATGAGAAAACCTTGAGAGCCTTGAGAAAACCAATTTTTTTTACCATTAGACATTGTCAGAAAACAAAAGACTCAAGAATTCAGCTAGGGTAAAATCTTGGGAAAAACTTTTCCTTTAAAGACTCATAAAAGTTTGACCCCAAAGTGAGGATTTAGAGGAACGGCCTTGGCTCGAGACACGCACCGATAGGCACTTAATAGGGGACAACCGGGTGGCTCTGTGATTGTTATTCTTCTCTCAAATGTTGCATCTTTATTCAAAAGATGGAGATTTTTGCTTGCTTTTCATCTTTTGATGATTTTGCAAGTGGTCACACTCTCTTCTCTTCTATCAAATCTGGGAGCTTGATTCGATTTGTGCTTTCCACACTCTCGCCTTTTTTTCTCTACAAAGAATGGGGATAAATTTGAGAGGCAATCGAGTTTGTTTTCACCCTTTTTCTACTCAATTTCTTTTCATTATTGTCCGATTTGGAAATTCGCTTTTTTTTGGGGGGGAAAGCGAAGGGTGTAGAAGTTGGAGGCCAAGTGAAGGAAAGGCAATCGACCCGAGTGAGTCGGAAGGGGTGACCACGGCTATTAGGCAGAAGAGCCATCCTTTAGCCAAAAAAAGGCAGCCCGCTTCTCGGTTTGATGGGTCCTCTATGGATGTCCCATGTCGTTTTTCTTCCGAGCTGCCACCCCCCGGAGCACTCTTCGTCTCACAAAATAGCCATTCCTTTTACCCATCTCCTCTCAATTTCTCTTCTTGAGCCTTGAGAAAACCAATTTTTTTTACCATCAGACATTGTCAAAAAACAAAAGACTCAAGAATTCAGCTAGTGTAAAAATTTCAGCTTTTATTTATAACTTAAAGATTAGCCCTAAGTAGCCCTAAGTAGATAAGATCTATGATCGATAGGCTAAAATTTATGGGCTATTGATCTATAAGCTATTGATCTATAAGCTATTGATCTATAAGCTATTGATCTATAGACTATTGAAAAAGAGTGAACATCAAGGGTTGAAGTGAGTCCCCAATCAGCATCAAGCATCTTGCTGTTCAATGATGTGTTGGCTATCCCAAGGGACTCTTCTTTTCCCCATCAAGCTCTGTTTTCTTTTCGTCCGAAATGCTGCACTACTATGTATATTTTAAGGATAGCCTACAATAATTTATCCTGACCAATTGCTGGGCAATAGTCTTTAAGTCTTTGTCAAGGTTTTGGTCTATTCAGAGAAAACAACTAGACAAGATTCGAACACCAATTACGGTGGGGGAAGTGAAAGAGAGAGAGAGAGATGTCGAAGGTCGGAGCTCTCGTCGTTCAGAGAGTGAAAGAAGGGGAGGTCGGCGAGGTGCAAACAGGACAACCAAACAAACTATTGCCCTTTCTTTTTGCTTTACAGTTTCTCGCCTAAGAAATCTTCCTGGGAAAACAAAAAGCTTTTCGTTTTTCTGACAAACAATAGATAGTTGTGACCCTTGAAAACAATACTTTTTGTGACAAACTTAGCTTAAACTTAATGACAGACTTAATTAGAATTCACAGACGTCACAGACTTATTCAGAGTATTCAGAGTTAACTGGAGTTTGATTTAGAATACCTTATTCAGAGTTATTCTAGATTAAACTCCAGTTAACCTTTTAAGTTCTTTAAATGTTAAACGAGCTTTTAGGAATAGAAGTTGGGATTGTCGGGGGGAAAAATGTTGAAGAGCTAGCCTGATTAGGTTGTCAAATGCAGCGTTAGAAAAAGTTTGCTTAAAGAATTTCGAGCAAGTTTAAGCCAATATAAAATCTAGAGACACTAGTTCAGAATTTTAGATCTTTTTGAATTGAGTTTTTGATAAAAAAGAGGAAAATAGAGGCATTGTTAAAGACAAACAAAATAATTAACAAAACAAAAAAAGTAAATTTACCGTTTGACTCGTGCAACTTGTAGTTAAATACGGTCGAAAGGGCTATCTAAAAGTTGATTCATATCTTTAAAGACTGATTAGCATACCGGGAATAATGTCGCAAAAAGAAGCCAGCCTCTCATTCTCAAAAGGTGTTTCCTGAAAGAATGAATAAGTGTTTTAAACTTTAGATAATTAGAAACTTTAGATATTTAAATATCAATCTTTAAAAGAATCTAGAAATAGAAAAAGTGAGTAAAGGATAGAATTGAACTGAAGGTTGTGTTGGTTCTTCTAGGGGTAGACAGGGAAAGAAGAGGAGAAGGGGCGGGGCTTTCCCTCATCCTCTTCCTCCATTCTACCACCATCTACCCTCTCTCTTTTCACGTTTGTTGATTTAAGTTTGAAATTTATGAATGTTTAAGCTTCAAAGCAATCTAGAATAATAAAAGTTCTTTTTTAAAAACAACGATGAAATAATAAATGTGATGTGAAGTCTACTGTCTACTGAAGTCTACTGTCTACTGAAGTCTACTGTCTACTGAAGTCTACTGTCTACTGAAGTCTACTGTCTACTGAAGTCTACTCAAGTCTTACTTTTTCAAGAGAAACAGGATTGGAAAAGCATTGTCAAGTATCTTTGGAACCTGCAAAGACAATAAAAAAGATAAATGGTTTGGAAAAAGAAGAGTTTATGTTTCTAGACAAATTGAACAACTAATTAAAGTTGATTTATTACGATAAACTTTACAAGGTTGTATCAGTGCAAGGTACAAAATATTTGAAGCAATGATCATTAGCGATTCGAGGAGGAGCACTGGGGCAAGCCACCTCTAAAACTGGGTTATCCAAACAGAGTCCACACGTTGGGTTTGCATTGGTTTGTCGGATCGAGCGGAGAAGAGGAAAGGAGAGGCTTTGGTTGGTAGCCGAGAGCCGAGAGCACCATTCCCTTGGCCTCTTTTCCCTGCAGGTATGTCGGGAAAATCTCTCGGACAAACCATGTTAGTTGGTCGGATTATGGGTGAGTGCAGAAGCGAGCAAAAAGGCCCCACCGACCTCTTCACGTCAACACCACAAGTACCCTCTCGCCATTGCCCTTTTTCCTAGTTCATCCCAAAACCAATAAGTTAATTTGATGCTAATTTCAATTTTTTTTTTCTTTTCAAAACTATTTTGTGAAAAGTGCTTAAAATAATGTATACTATCACTAGGTATAACCTAAAAGTGATGCAGTAAAATCTAAAGTAAATCGATGATAAGAAAAGTAAAAGTAAATCGATTAGAAGAAAGTAAAAAAGTACTTATGAAGTACTTTCAAAAAAAGTACTTATGGAGATTACTGGCCTCAATCAGATTCACCCTAAAACTACTTTTTCGCCACCTTTATAGTGTATTTGATTGCTGGCTTGGATAAGGAGAGCCCATCTAAAATCTCGGAGGAGGATTTTTCAACATGCAAAAACACTTTCTTTGGGTTAATTGAGTGTCCAGAACAGGCGTTGGAGTAGGCGGAGGCGACTTCAGGTCCCCGAAAGTCGATCAAAAGCTCCCAAACTCTCACTATGAAATACGGGAGCTACGCAAAAAAACTACCCCAGAAAAAGTGATTTTCGGGTGGATCTGACTGGGTAGTCACTATAAGTACTGTTTTACGGTAAATTAAAAGCTAAACAATGAAGATGTTGATTGGTTTTGGAAGAAAATTGAGTTTTATCGAAAATTTCTAAAGTGAATAGGTAACTCTTGGCGTTTACGGGTAACGCATGCACGTTTGAAGAGTCTTGAGAGGTATAGTATAAGTGGGAGCTTCGGCAACGATGAAATACCACTACTTTCACTGATTCCTGAAGTTTGAATCCCTCTGACAGTTTCAGTCGATCTTGCTTTAGAAATTCCGATTCACGTTTGCTAAATTTTTTTTTTGGTGATGGTGCGAGAAGTTGAGGCTACATTGTTTTTTGACTGACATTTGGAGGAGAAAGGGGGAAAGAGAGAGAAAATCTGAGAGAATCGTTGATACCCTTATCACTTGACGGGGGATTGAAGTCTCTTTGGCAACACGACTCCCTTGCTTTCTCACCGATTCCAATCAAACCTTTCCTAATTCCATTGAACTCCAAACTTTAAAGTCTCAAAAAGTCTAGTCCTCTCGTTTTCCATTTTGAAAAATTCTTCTTCTGATTCTTCTGAATTCTTCTGAATCCGTAGAATAAGATTTATTTCTAATTTCTAGGTAAAAAAAATGGCCGAGATCCAGCAATTCAACGTGCCTCAGTCGTACCGGTAATCAATCTAGATTTTTTCTTAAATCATAAAATCAGTGACACCATTTTGAAATGGAATGGCTGGGGTTACCGGGACTCTTTTTTCGCGATCAACAAGAATGGAGACGTTGAATTCACCGGCTCAAGGTGAGGAACTTTTTGTTCTTAAGTTGGACACGCCGGTCGGTGCCGGGATTCGAACCTCGCTTACTCGCTTACTCGCTTACTCGCTTACTCGCTTACTCGCTTACCAGGCGAAGGCTTTACCAATAAGCCACACCGACACGTACCTCATTGCCGTCAGGGTAAGGCTTAATTTCTCTTACGTTCAAAAAATCCAGATACGAGATGTCGGGGCAAGCGCTGCCACTGCTTCGGCCATGGTTTGAGCAAAATCTCGGGATCGATCTCGACTACAAGACGCCAAGCCAAGTGAGTGTGAGTAAACCCTAAAGAAAAAAAGGCTCTTCATCTAGCCGCAACAACAATTCAAAGTCGACCCACCAAATAACAATCAAGTGTTCATCGATTTTCTTCGTGTCCACGATATCGCCTACTCGAACGCCCCACAGCATCGTGTGATGCGCGCTCATGGGCATACGGTTTACAAAAAGTTTCTTTTTTTGTTTAATTTTAAGAATCTAGGTTCATGACATGATGCATTTACGTTACGGCAAGATACCCCGATATCCAGATTTGATCGTTTGGCCTAAAGATGAGAGTCAAGTGGAGAAAATTGTTGAAGCGGCGAATCGCTTTAATCAGGCGTTGATTCCAATCGGTGGAGGTTAGTGGAAAACGGTTTGCTTTAATATTTTAATCATTTAGGTACTTCGGTTTCAAATGCTTTGGATTGCCCACTTCCTGAGCCTCGTTCCATTGCATCGATTGATATGGCGCTTATGGATCACATTTTGTGGATCGACTCACAAAATCTCACTTGTCGTGCGGAAGTGATTTGAGAAAAGAGAAATTTCAATGATTCGAATCATTTACAGGCTGGAATCATCGGTCAAACACTTGAAAAAGAGCTGAATGCAAAAGGGTACACTTGTGGACATGAGCCGGATTCGATCGAGTTCTCCTCGCTCGGTGGCTGGGTGTCGACGCGAGCGAGTGGGATGAAGAAAAATCGGTGACATAATCATCCACCACTTTTGTTTTTCATTGCACCCATTCAGATATGGAAACATTGAAGATTTGGTGGTGCATTTGAATTTCGTCACCTCGAAAGGACTCATTCAGCGGCAATGTCAAGTTTGTCACTTTTTATTCCCATGCATTTTCCACGATAATCTACGGAGCTACCGTACACTTATAAATGATTAATTTTCTAAATGAAAGCTAAAAGAAAATTTCCCGTTTTATAGGTAATTTAAAGCTGAAAGTTCTGATGAACATTTCTATCTTTAAAAAGGCTTTTTTGAAGGATTTTTCAATTGAAAACAAGTTCAGCTAGGGGAGCGCTATGACATTTTCCCTCCAGTGCACGAAAATGCTTCTTTTGAGAGCCAGTTGGTTTTGATCAAAATGGTTTAGGCATAGAAATGCTTCTCAGAATTTCAGCTTCAAAACACTATATAATAAAATCAACTTCGATCTAGGTTTTAACTGAAAAATTCTTTTGTAAAGCTTTGAAAGTTTTTGATCACACCATGTATAGGTGCCTCGTCTTTCGTCTGGCCCTGACCTTCAGCATGTGATTCTTGGATCTGAAGGAACACTCGGAGTTGTCACTCAGGTCTTTCTTTACCTAAAAAGAAACATAATATGTCAATAATTTTAGGTTACTTTGAAGATTTTCCCGATTCCACCAGTGAAACGCTTTGGCTCTTTGGTGTTTCCAAATTTCAATGCTGGTGTCGCCTTTTTCCGTGAAGTGGCAAAACATGTAAGAATAGGGGGATTAAAAGTAAAATAAAGTGTTATTTTCGTTTTAGAGATGCCAACCAGCATCACTTCGTTTGGTTGATAATGAACAATTTATCATGGGACAAGCTATGAAGACAGAAAATAAAGGACTATGGACGGGATTGAAAGCGAGCGCCTCAAAGATGTACGTGACATGGTGGAAAGGGTTTAAGGTTTAATTTTTAAATGCATAAAGTTTTTAAAAAATAAGCTAGGTTGATGAAATGGTGGCAGCAACTTGTGTTTTTGAAGGAAGCGAAGAAGAAGTGGAACAACAAGAGCGGAGACTGTACGCACTTGCTGAACAGGTACTTTGAAATTGGGACTATGAACTGAAGAAAGTGAAATGAAAATTTCAGTTCAAAGGAGTGGTTGGCGGTGAAGAGAACGGTCGATACGGATATCGTCTCACATTTGCTATTGCATACTTGAGGGTTTAGAAAAAGTTTGATTCGAATAAACGCCTCAAATTTAGGATCTTGGCATGGAATACAGTGTGCTTGGTGAATCGTTTGAGACTTCGGTGCCTTGGGATAAGGTGTGAACAGAGTTCAATTCAATTAGTTCAAGCTTTTGATAAGAAAATCGACTGATACTCGTTTACTTGGTCTTCAGGTGCTCAACCTTTGCCGAAACGTGAAGCAATTGATTAAACGAGAAGCGAAAGCTGCTGGCGTCAAATACCCAGTGTTGGCTAGTTGTCGGTCAGTTCTGGCTAGATTTGCTTAACGGTTCTTAACGATACTTAACGGTACCTACACGACGTGGGTTCGACTCCGGTCACGATCAAGGATCGTTTTTTGCAAAGATAAAACTTTTGCATTAAATCTGAAGATTTTAGCTGCTGACGATGTTTTTTAAAGTGTTGCACTTTAACAAAGTTATACCAGTTTAACATAGTTATCAGTTCAAGACCGTTAAGAACTAGAGTGTGTTCCTTTTCGACTAACGCGTTTTCTAAAATGCACCTATTGGAGAAAACCACCGTAGTCAAACTGCCGATTTACATCCGATCAGCTCAATTTTGGTATCATTTGATGAGGAATCACAAGGCTTAGCCAATGATTTAAAAATTGGATTGATCTGATGAAAACTAACGGTTTGACTACGGTACTTTTCTCAAATAGGTGCATTTTAGAAAAAGCATTAGTCGAGGGGAACACACTCTATTAAGGACTGTTAAGGGACCGTTAAGCAAGTTTAGTTATGGCTAAACTTTAAAAAGAAAAAAAAAAAACACTTTAGAGTTACTCAAGTGTACGATGCTGGAGCATGCGTTTATTTCTATTTTGGCTTCAACTCGAGAGGCCTTGATAACTCGCTTGAAGTCTATGATCGAATTGAGGTTATCGACTAGCGTTTTGCAACAAAATGCCAATCTTTCAGACAGCAGCCAGAGATGAAATCATTGCTTGCGGTGGATCGATTTCACATCATCATGGAATCGGTGCAATACTTTTCATTTTTCATGACATTCTTTTATAGGAAAGCTTCGTAAACAATGGATGAAGGGTACTGTGGGAACGGTGGGGCTTGATCTGCTTGCTGCTATCAAGGTTTACACAAGGTTTTTCAACTTTCATAATAATGCTTTTAGCATGAACTTGATCCAAAGAACGTCTTTGCGAATGCGAACCTGATCGATTTGCCCTCTGCGAAATTGTAATTTCAAAGAAATAAACACTTTTTTTTCTGAGCTATACTACAAGATAACGGATAAAAATCAACAACAACTGATATCCACATACACTACTAAAAAAGTTCATCACTTTCGCGCGTCTGTAACTCCCTTGTCTTTACCGTATTTCTAAATATTAATATTACCATTGTGTAGCCCTTGAAAAGAGCTTTCAGGAAATGTATAACACTAATAGTTTAAACTCAAAGACAAGGGAGTTACAGACGCGCGAAAGTGACGATCGTTTTTCAAATATCATATTTCATTGTCCAGTACTGTATGTTACAATTTTTTATAATTTTTTGCATGCACTGCATATGAAAAACTCTACCTAAAAAGTTGATATATAGTCGAAAAAGTAAATCTGACAAGAAGACAAGAAGACAAGAGGTTTTCTTTGCATCAACCCTATCCAAGATCTACCCACGGAACACAGAGATTTGGGATGTAAGTCAGAAACTTTCAAAACAGTATATACAGTACTGGACAATGAAATATCATATTTGAAAAACGATCGTTACTTTCGCGCGCGCTGAAATGCGTCAAAAAACACGGTATTTCTAAATATTAATATTACCATTGTGTAGCCCTTGAAAAGAGCTTTCAGAAAATGTATAACACTAATAGTTTAAAATCAAAGACAAGGGAGTTACAGACGTGCGAACGTGATGATCGTTTTTCAAATATGATATTTCATTATCCAGTACTGCATCAGCATCAAAAGATAAACTAAAGTTCAAGCTCTAGATACTGTCAAATCAAATCAAATTTGAAAAAAACGTTGCAAAGCTCTTTGTTAGTTTGTTGTAAAATTAAAAAAACAACAAAATTTATTCGAAAACAAAGTAGCACGAATGGAACCCGTTATAGATATTTCGTTAAAGTCTTCGCTATTAGAAAACGTCTTCTAAATTTGCTTTTTAAAATTTAGATTTTAAACAAAACAAACTTTGAATACCAAATCCAAAGTAAACGCGCAAGAAGAGGCCACAAAAAGATAAAAGTCATCCATCGAAGACTCGGCCAAACCCATCGAGGCAACCATCCTTGTGATGACTCCTATTGGGTTCAGGAGTATGAAATGGCGCCGACTTTCAAAAGACCTCTCTAGAGCTCATAAAAGGCCCATATAATCTGTTGTTTGTTTAATCAAAAAGCTCTTTAGCTAAGTGATCAAAAAGTGAGCAAAAAGCTAAGTGATCTTTTTAAGGATACTACTAATGATTTGATAAAGTTTATTCCATGTTATAGAAGTTTCTTTGAAAGTCGGCGGCATTTCATACTATAGAATTCATTTGTCAACCTTTTTTCAAAAGTTTTAACAACTTTTCAACTAACCCTTTTAAAGTCAAGTATCATGCGAAGAATTTGATAGACTATTCGCAATTGTAGCCGATTTGCTGTGTCCATTTCATGCAACTAAATCTTCTGTTTAAAAAATGACGAAAGTGATGGAAATACTTGTGACGACATTGCTTGAAGTGTTTGGCTGAGTTGGAGAAGCACCGGGTACAGCTGCCATTCAACGGATGGATACTAAAGTTTGAGCTTTTGAAATCAAAACAGAACAAAACGAAATGAAACCATGTACTGCATGGGGTGTCTCGCCTCTCCACTATCCTCTCTACTACTTGTCGCACTTTTCGACTTTCTTGCTCGGCTACCATGGTAGTTTCGTCGAATCGTTGCTGCATTTTCATAAATTCACATTTTCATCAGTTAAACTTACAAGGTTGAATCTTTTCGATGCTTGAATGTTCACTGCTAGATGATGCCTGCTTGCTGTATGTCGGTATGGGAGGTGAGGCGGGCAGTTGTAGTTGAGGTTGTAGTGGCTTTGTTCTTTCTCTATAATTCTCTCTGTGTCGGTTGGAAAGCTAGTAAGCAATACATTTTGAAGGTTATAGAATCACTTCATGAAATAACTTTTTACCTATCTCGTGCTCGCGAAGAAAGAACTTTCTTTGTTTCGACACAAAGCTTCCGAAGCTCGGAATCGCTGTCGATTCTTTCATCTAATGCATCCTGAAATTACCGTTTAAAGAATAAAAATCCTTCTAAATATGCTTTAATCTTATCAATATTTGTCAAAGCAATGAACTTACTTCATACATGGACGATGTCCCAAGATCAGCACCAAGATCAGGCCAATATTCGACATCTCGATCGTCCATGAGATCAATCAAATCGCTGCAACAAATCACTAACATGTAAAAAGTGAATAAAATACCCAAGAGACTTTTCGAAATCGAGAGAACAATGAAATCAGCGAGAGAAAAAGCAAGAACTCATCGATCGATTCTCTCTAAATGAAGAAAACATGCTATATCAGCAATTATGGTCGAAGCAGAGAGTGGGCTTTCGAGAGAGAAATCAGAGAAGAACAGGTGACCGGTCCTTTTTTTGGTGCAAACAGTTACCTTATAGCTGCAATCGCTTTGAGCACTCACCTGTACACATTAAAGAAAAGATTTTTGGCAGCCGAAGGCTCATTACAGCACCAAATGCTGATTAAACCGAACTGAAACGTCACAAAGAGAACCCCTTCTTCAAAGTACAATCTGTTAACCAAATCTTCTGTTTTTATCAAATTTTATTATACTAGTTTAATTGATTTAATTGCTTCTGTTAATACAAGATCCTCTGGAATTTAAAGAGTCACAGGTTATACTTTTAATCAGCACTTTTAAAGTGGCATAAAAGTTTCGATCCATTACAACTCTTCAATTCGTTTCAATAGCATGTAAATGCTACGGATTGAGGTCTGAAATTTTAAATCAATTACCATAAATCTCTCTAATATTGGGTTGGTGAATTGAAAAATGTGACTTAACTATTGAGAAATCAAAGAAAATCTAACTATTTAGAAATCAAAAACCATTAATACATACCTAGTATTTTATACAATTAGATTTAACAGAAAAAAAAATCAAGAATAAAGCAAGAATCAGCTTTGATATCAGCCAAACCAATGATCCCACTGACAATCTTCTCTCCATGAAGTTACACAAATCCAGCACCTAAAATTTTTGCACGATAATTGGGCTAACTATTGGATTGGTGAATTGAAAACTGCCGGCTATTGTCATATGTGACAGTTTGAGCACTTTCTTCAAAAGAAACCCATTTTGGTGTCAATGGAAAAGTTGTAGAGAATCAAAAATGAAGCATATATCCAAATTTTCAGAACGATTCAAAAACTGGTTTTCAAGAAATGCCAAATTTACGAAACTTTCACAAAACTTGCATTTTAAGCGAAACTACTAAGTGTATCTTTTTAGAAATTTGGCTATGAGCCTGATTTTTGATTCTCTACAACTTTTCTATTGACACCAAAATGGGTTTCTTTTGAAGAAAGTGCTCAAACTGGGACATCTTCAGTCCTCGATTTTTGAGTCTCACACTTGTCTCACACACAAACCAAAATCCTACTACGAAAGAGGAATCCGCAAATTGCCCGTAAAATGAGCAGAAGTCGTCAATAATAATGGCAAATTATTTGGAATGAATTCATGGTTTTATGTTGAATAAATTTTAGTTCAAAGTCCGGCAGTTTTCAATTCACCAACCCAATACAATCTGTTAACCAAATCTTCTGTTTTTATCAAATTTTATTATACTAGTTTAATTGATTTGATTGATTCTGTTAATACAAGATCCTATGGAATTTAAAGAGTCACATGTTATACTTTTAATCAGCACTTTTAAATTCCATAAAAGTTCCGATCCATTACAACTCTTCAATTCGTTTCAATAGCATGTAAATGTATGATTGAGTTGAATGCTTGCCGAAAAGTTCCGCTGAAAAACGCAAAGAAGCGAGTTTGTGCTGAAGAAATGAAGAAAAAAAAGGGTTCTCTTTGGTTTGCGAAAGATTTCGAGAGGATTTTACACAGTGCCCCAATCGCAAGCTTCAATCCTCTCTTCACCAAAAAGACCCACAAAATTTTCCTCTAAAACAAAGGACTTTTGATTTCCTCAATTATTTATCAACTTTACTTTACACCAGAGCATTTACACCAAAATTTTCAATTGCTTTAATTGCTTTTCAATTGCTTCAATTTTCTTTTCAATTGCTTTAGAATGACTTCTGAGAACGAGGCTGAAAGCACAATTAAATCTTTGGAAGCGTCACTCAATCGAATTTCTCTGAAAAATCAGAATGATGTTAGTTATCTGCACTAGTTTTTTTCATTCTTTGAATTGAATAGTTTGATAAAATTTCTAGGATGAAAAATTCCTCCTTGAAGGCTTGCCAAAAGCATTGATTAGCTTGGTCATCGAACACACCACATTGCATCAAAGGTTTGTGTCTAGCAGCTACTTGCGAGTTATTGCTTTTTTTACAGGTTTACTCTATTACCCGCTTCAAAAAGTGTTCGATCTATCGTGCTCACTTCTGGAATTGTTCCAAAAAAGATCATAAATCTCTCGATTGAACAACTGGCTCTTGATGCTGTACGTTTTAAGAGAATCGATTGAACCATTTGCATTTCCAAATTCCAGATTGCTGTCACAATTGATACAAAACTCGGTGACTCGATTTGTATCGGTGTTTGCGATGAGGGATCTCTCATTCAAAATTCGCGTCGAGATTTTGAGTAAGCAATGAAAATAACATGTTTTTCAACGCAAATTCAGACCGGGCAGTTCTGGAGAAGAAACTTCATTAAACAGTGCGGAACAAGAAGTTTTCTTTGCATCAACCCTATCCAAGATCTACCCACGGAACACAGAGATTTGGGATGTAAGTCAGAAACTTTCAAAACAGTACATAAATGTACAATCGATTCTCAATATAGCGATTCTGTCGGCACCACGATTGGGAATCGTTATATCAAAAAATCGTTATATAGAAGTAAAAAAAACCAAGGTTTTTAACCCAAATCGTTATTTTGACTTACAATTACCGTATTTTTCTACAATTTTCTCTAATAGTAGTGCACCCTGAGCGTCGCCTAAATTCCTCGAAATCTCGAGAACCGCTTATCAGAACCTGTAATAGTGCCCCACCCCGCCTCGTACAGTCGCGTAGTCGCAAAAGTTTTTTAGTATTTCATTTTTTGCAAAGTACCCGTACTTTCAAAAAATGCGTCTTTGGTATCAAAAAATAGCTGAAATTCAGGGCTATTTTTTGATACCTAAACGCGCATTGTAGCATAAACCAGTGTCGAGAAAAACTCGTTCAAAGCTAGACTACGCAACACTCCGCAGCGTCATTATGGGGGTGGGGCACTATTACAGTATTTACGGTATATCAAATTGACAAACAAACGCCAAAAAAACATTTAGACAGCGATGAGAATTGTGCCCACTGGCGTGCGAATTAAATACGGTGAAAATCTCTTGATTCGTTTTATGGATTCCACTTCAATCGATCAATGTCTAAAAACAGCGGAAAAATCTGTTCCTACAAAAGTATTTAGATCTTACAATAAATACAAATACTCTTTCTTTAGCTGTACCTAAGACCAGCTCATTTCTGGGGCTCAAAAGCGTGTGATCATCGCTGTTTCGCCGTTGGTGCTGCGCTTCAAAATTACAACTTCGTAAGCATCTCTTATCTATCGATTTTAAGCTGAAAATTCAGTTATCCGATGTTTCTTCTCTTCATCTTGCCTCTCTTCATTATCCACCATTTTTCACGTCATTACCAACAAAGCACGTTTTCATCTGGAAAGCTGGAGACATTCCGATTGCCTATATTATTAAGGTTGTTGAGTTGAAATTAAAAACTAAAGCCTTTAAAAAAAACCTGCACAATGAATCTGGTTATTGAAAAATCACTCTTTCAGGAATTGATTGAAAAGAAAAGATGGGAGTATCGACCTCGTTTGATTGCTTTCCTCGACACAAAAGGAGACACAAAAATTGATGCGCTTCGCAATCTTCTACACAAATACCAATTACCAGTTTGTTTAAGTGATTGTAAGACATTTTATATGCGCCCCACTCCTTTTTCCATTAGCAATCCAACTTTAAGCTCATAATATCTTGGTGTTGGCCGGTCCAATTTATAAATTATTAATATAATTGGATGCGCCAAGTTTTTCTCTGTCGATTGGTACAAAAACTATTTAAATTGAACAGCCCAACGCCAAGAAATTTGAGCTCAAAGTTGGATTGCCAAAGGGAGCGGGCGATTAAATGTTCGATAACCTGTTTAATTAAAAGAATACAAGTTAAGAAAGAAATTAGACAGACTGTAAATGGATTTTAGGGAGGAAGTGATGGTGAATATGGTATGTTCGAGGTGCCAATGCAGGAAAAAGGTCGAAAAAGTCGTGCCTCGATCGTTTTCTGTCAACAACATGTGATTTTCACTAGACGTCATCAACCTGATGATATTAAATATGCTATTCGACAGTATTATGAGAATCGCTCTCGCTTCAATAAAGAGTGATTTTGATGAACAAGTTTTATGTCTTGTAGCCAGCAATAAAGATATTTTTTTGAAGTTGTTTAAGTAAAAAAAAGAAGACAAAAAAGAAGACAAAAAGGAAGACAATAATACAGGGTCCGAGAAAAGTATTGTCGCGTCTCTTTGAACTAACTTTTATGCGATTTAAAAGTATCCTTTTACGTTGTGTAAAACATGAATTTTGTCCAGTTTTTTTTCCTCTTTCGAATGGTGCATAGCATTCAATGTGTATTTTTAGAAATGCAAGCTTGCCCTCATCGAGAAGCGATCGCCATGCTTTTGAAAACCGGAGAGTCGAAGCGGCCATCTCGCGAAAGCTCAAAACCAACATCAGAACTGTTCAACGGCTTGCCAAACAATTGCAAGAGAAAGGACACGTCAAGGAGAAGCCGAAAAAAGGAAGACCTCGATCGGTGAACACCTGAACATCTGGAAGCTCTTCAAACAGCGAATTGATCGAAACGACGAGCGAAGCTTGGGAAAAATGGCCAAGGAGCTGAAAATCTCGGATTGGTCGGTTCGGAACCTTGTGAAAAAGGAGCTAGGACTTCGTAGTTATTGGTATTGTATACATACAAACAAATTGACGGCTTAAAGTTTTGGAAAAAGACATTAACAGCTCGAGATTTTATTTCAGAAAGTGGGTGGCTTTTCGTTTTGATGTATTAATCATCGTTTCTGAATCACAAAGAAACAGCTTATCAGTTGAGAATAAAAATGAATAAAAAAATGAAAGAAACTTGAGCAACTCTATTTTCTTTCTCAATTCAGACATGTATTCAAATATTTCTATTAATGCTACGACAAGCTGGTTGGTCAATTTATAAAGCTAGAATTCATTTCTAAGAGTTCAAGCTACATTGCTAATCTTACAGTCGTTGTGATGAGTGTGAAAAACGAGTGAATCTTCGGCAAATGTGGGTTTGTCATACTTGTGCATGGAGAACACGACGAGCACTTGGACACGACATGATTGTAAGAAAAACAAGCTGTATAGTTAAAAAATAATTTTTCAAGAAAACAATTCTCTGTCCGAAATGTGCCTTGTCTCATCGACGACATTGGATGAAACTTATCGATGTGCAAGGTGTTGACCCTTTTGAGATTGACGTCAACAAAATTGTCGAAGGCCATTGGACAGATTTTGAGCAACCGATTTCATGATTATTGGGTTGAGTACTAAATTTTTCAACAAAATTCATTTTCTAATTGAATAAGTCTCAAGCTACCAAATGAAATAAGGTTTTGTACATTAGATACCGTAAATACTGTAATAGTGCCCCACCCCCATAATGACGCTGCGGAGTGTTGCGTAGTCTAGCTTTGAACGAGTTTTTCTCGACACTGGTTTATGCTACAATGCGCGCTTAGGTATTAAAAAATAGCCCTGAATTTCAGCTATTTTTTGATACCAAAGACGCATTTTTTGAAAGTACGGGCGCTTTGAAAAAAAAGAAATACTAAAAAACTTTTGCGACTACGCGACGGTACGAGGGGGGTGGGGTACTATTACAGTATTTACGGCATGTTTTTTCTTTCCACCAGGTTCTCAAGTGATACTTCACTCCATTTCTTCCACAATAATTTCTAGAATTTTGAATTTGTTGCCAAAGCAAATCTGTGAATCCGACTCTTATACTTTGAAAAGTCTAAATTTACCGGCTAAATTTATCAGAGTTATCGCTCCCTACGCAAAAAATCCTGAATTTAGTCGGTTAGTTTGATCTCCTTTTGTTCCTAGGCATTTTATTTTATCTTATTTTCTTATAACATTATTGTTTCTTAGGAATTCACGTAAATTGATTTGAAGATCGTGCTTAAATTTAGTTTTATCATTCATTCATTTAACAAGTTTGAATTAAAATTAAAATTAAAATTTGAATTTCAACTTGAATAGAATTAATTAATACTTCAGTCTCTACAATTTTTCTTGTTTTCAATAAGTTTATTGTGTGTCATTTTGTTAATTAAACATGTTCCGTTGTCATTTTTTCATGCTTACATGAATAAAATATTGTTATAATAGATAGCCCAATCATTTCTCTTGCAAATGACTTTTGAAAGTTTCTGAAAAGTATTGTTTTGAAGGTTTTTCATTAGCAAGAAGCCGAATGTTCAAAAACGACAAGGTCCGATGATGTGATTTGGACTGTTTCTTCTAATGAAACCTATTTTGATGAACCTAATAAAAAGATAGCTCACAAAAAGTTATGTCTACAAGCAAAATTTCAGACTAATCCGTTTAGCGGTTTTCTTTATGTCTTCATTTTTCAATATTTTTAAAAATCACTTTTCGTTCTCGCATATTATTCTAAAATACTAAAAAGTGTTTTAAAATGACAAAAAGTAAACGATAAAAATTTCTAATGAAAGAATGAATGAAGAAAGAAAGAATTCTAATGAAATTGTTTGGTATTTGGTAGTTTGAAACTCGTTCATTTAGATTAGATAATGAAATGAATGGTGCATGTGGCGAATAGCCACTAAAAGTGATCTAACTCTGACAGCCTAAAAATTGGAAAAATATTGAGGAAATCGGTGCGCCTTCATTTTATTTCGCGCCCCAAATCATTTATTGTTTTGTAGCTTGTTAGCTGAGTATCTTGTGTTAAAGCCTATATAAGGCACCTGTTGTTCATTTTGTGGTTGTTATCTTTTATTTTCTTTCTGCTTTCCTCTCATTGTGTGAAAGTTGTGTCCTAATTAGGACGAAATTGTTTCTGTTTTTATCGTCACTTTTAATTCAATTGTCGATCTTGTGTGAAAGTTGCTCAGGTGAGAGCCCAAAGATTCCGAGTCAGTCGGCTATTGAATAAAGTGTTTTTAGTTCAAGTGAGATCAGATATCTCAAAACAAGAAATAACGTGTCTTGAGTGAAGAGTACCAAGCACGCAAAGAATATTTCTTTACAGTGCAAGTCTTAGTACTCAACCAAATACAAAAAAATCCTGCTATTTCATACTTTTTTGTAGTAATCAAATTTATCGTCACCAATATTATCGTCTTTGCCAAATGGAATGAGAAAAAAACAGAGAATGGTGACAAGAATCGTCGGCAAAACACAACATACTAAGAGAAATGGACACGTTTTGTGGGCAAGGCATCGACCCCTCAATGAGTTTCCATGATTGTCTGCTAAAAACAATACTTTCAAAATCTTTTAAAATAAAAACTCACATGCGTAAAGATAACATCGGCTACTTCGGCTCCACGTGATACTTTTTCTTAAGCCATTCCCTTCAGTGATCGGGATTCGCAGCGTAAATGGAGGCTCGTTTTCCCCACGAGGTAACTTCAGTGAACCTTTTGGTCTTGCAGCTAAATTTGATTTGTCTTTTTCGAATTGCTCATTGCTTCACTCTTTTCATTGTCCTCAATCGATCCACCTCTCCGCGGACTTGGTCTATCCGTTACGTTCTCCTGTAATTTTACGATACGATTCACGAACCAGCACACTTTTTTTTAGTAGACATTCTTGCAAAAATAGCTCCAAACTTTGGATCAGAGGCTAGCAATAATAGCCAGCAAAACTAACGCTAGAGATGATCAAAATCAAAATCAGAGCTACACTCTATTATACAGTTCGTTTCATATTTCGTTATCCACCACCCAAAAAGTGCTTTTGTGGAGAATGGGTGGAGATATTGAGCGATTTTCTTTTGCAATAGAAAAACCACATTGTAAAACCCTAAAAACACCGTTTTTGGGTTACTGGATTTTCTCAACAAAAAAAAAATTAAGGAAGAAGATTCTGCGACCGTTTCACATTTCTTTATCCATTCTTAGGAACTTTGAAAATCAACATTTAGTTAGCATTAACAACAAATAAAAAAGACATCAAGAATTGTGAACATAGCAACTAATAACCTGATATAGCACCGGACCGGTTAATAACTTGATAGATTCGCTTATTTATACTTTTGATAAGGCTTCCAAGCAATCCGAATTGATGCTTTTAGTTCCGAAACGGTCGTAAACTGTCTCTTATGTTTGTAAACATCCCTGACAAGGATGGCCCACATGTTTTCAATTGGGTTAAGATCCGGGGATCGTGCTGGCCAGTCTAAGATGTTGATTCCCTGCGAAGTCAACCAGGCTTTTGTATGAGCGGAGTGATGAATTGAAGCATTGTCATGCTGAAAGGTGTAGGCAGTCGCAACATTTTGCTTTTTCAGGCATCTCACTTCAGTATAATCTTGACTGTTCATTTTGCTGGAGACAAATTTCAAAGCGACCATTCCATTGGCGTAAAAGGCTGCCCAACACATCACACTTCCTCCTCCGTAGTTACATTTTCAGAATATCAGTGGATCCTGTCGCAGGTCTCTTCAGTAATGCGAAACACCGTCTGGATAAAGAAATGTGAAACGGTCGCAGAATCTTTCTTAATTTTTTTTGTTGAGAAAATCCAGTAACCCAAAAGCGGTGTTTTTAGGGTTTTACAATGTGGTCTTTCTATTGCAAAAGAAAATAGCTCGATATCTCCACCCATTCTCCATAAAACCTCTTTTTGAACGGTGGATTAAGAAATATGAAACGGACTCTACTACACATACTTGATCGATACTTGGTCTGTCCGTGATTTTTCTCGGATCGATATCAACACTCGGCGAGGAAATTTCTCTCTTTGTCTCACCACCATCGACACCTAGATCAATCATTAAACTTTCCTTTCCCCCTTTCAAAATGCACTAACATGAGCATTGAGGCTCCAAAAAGGGCAATCGTCTCTTTGGGCTTCGACTTTGACGCTGAACCGCTTTCAGCTTTTGTGACATTCAACTGAAATTTTTCTAGATAATTCTAAGCAAAGGGAACTCACCGAAATCTGTTTATGTTAATTGGTGGAGTCGATTGATAAACAGTCTGAAAGAAAACACGTCACAAAAGAAAAGAAAAGTCAAAAGTGAACGAAGGAAACCATTGGCTGAATGAAAGAAAGCAAAATATGATCAAAAAGAGAGAACGGAAAGATGAGAAAAAATTGGTGAAAAGAGATGGGGGCTAAAGAAGATATCCATTTGTGGTAGTTGAAAGTCAGATCCAAACGGATTCTCTCTATCTTTGATCACATTTTTCTTTCTCATACACTTTGCCCATTTTCTCTTTTCAAATATGGTCAAGAAAATTCCTCGGTCAAATTGCGAATTTACGACCGTTTGCTAAACGTTAGCCTGGATAATCAAATTGTCACCACTCGTTTTCTTCAAATGTTTTTTTTATCGCATGCGACCAAAAGGCAGAAATTTATGTTCAATAAATTATAGCACAATCACAGCAGCTATTACACATAAACAAAATAAAGCAGCGAAAAAAAAAATGAAAAGCGAGACCATAAGGAGGAAATAAAGCTGATAGAGTGGCTTTCTCTTCACCCAAAATATTAATAGAATACAGATTGGAAACATTAAGTACAAATTACAGTAGAGAATAGAGTGTGTTCCTTGCGAGTAAGTAATTACTCAAGGTGCTAGCGAAAGCGTCACGTTTTTTGCGCCAAAATCCTTTGCACCAATTTCATTTGCGCCAAATTTACGCTTATGAAAATCACTGTAAAAAATCCCTTTTTCTCAACTTTTAACCAACTTTTTCTTAGTTTTCTGCTTCACAATTTTAGTTCGCACTGTTTTCAATATTTGAAAACACGTTTAAATACCTATACAGACCCCAAAAACAGTCTTTTTGTGTCCCTGATTGGGCTTTTTACTCTCTATATCGATCTTATGCGACTTTCAGATTCGGTGAAGGCAGCAAAATAGCGAGCATGGTCGAAATATAAATGAGAAAAAAAGTTAAACAAAAAAATATAAATGGCCAATCAGGGTTGGTAAGAAAGTGTGTTGAAAGGGGCAAAGTTGACGCAAATGAAATCGGCGCAAATAATTTGGCGCTTTTACTAGCACCGGCGCAATTACTCGGGTAAAATTTGCATGAGTAATTTTTACTCGATTAATCGACGTTTTTTGATCGAGTAACTACGAGTGATCCCCTTGACTAACCGAGTAAATAAAAATTTCTAAATTTGAAGGCAATTCGCCGCCAATTCAATTAAACGACTGAATATCTTTTAGAGAAGGCATATATAAATCGCTCGTCATTTTTTCGCCATTTTTTGACAAAAATTTTCGAGAAAACTACGGTAATTTTTCTCAAGTGTGCGTTTTACAAAAAGCATTACTCGCGAGGAACACACTCCAGTAGAGAGAGAGAGAAGAAAATCTTAAGAAATCGCAATTTCAACGGTAGTCAAGCAGCACATTGTTACTCGTTTTGTCAGAGAGTTTGTTTTTTTTTTAGACACATAGAAGAAAAAAAACCCGCTCATTATGCACTCGTAACCCCTAAAGAGATGCTAAATGCAAATAAAATATAAAATTTTCGAGAAAATCAAAGATAAACTCTCAAAACACTCGTCATTTTTTTTTTCAAAACATATCATCACCGCTGTTGGTTCGAATGCTCTCGTCATCGTCATCCAACTAAAACGTTTTTTTTTGTTATTACTGGATTCTGTGATTTTGAACTTTGCCACTGCTTAAAGCATTCATAGCTTTAAGTATATATTATATTATTTTAGATAAACCTTCATGAAATACGTTCGCATGAGCCCCTTTCCTTTGACGTTGATCTCTCCACGACATTCGAATTCGAAGCCTCTCTTTTCGAGAATTGTCTTGATCTCTTCAGTCACCTAAAAGTGATGCTTTTCACAATTACTTTCAGGGTTTTTTTTGCTTCATTATTCTAAATCTTTTGTTTGCCCGTAATACCTGTAATCGTACTACCTGTAATCGTAATATAGGAGTCTAAGTTCACTCTCAAATAAACACACATATCTTGACACCAGTACTTTTCTTTCTGCGCGCTTAGGTATCAAATTAAAGTAGAGAAAATGGGTGATTTTTTGAGATATAACACTTATTTTTAGCGTGAACCAGTGCCTAGAAAAAATGATTGAAAAATGATGAAAAATCGACGGCTTTTTTTGCCACTTTGGTTGAGAGTAAATTTAAAATACGCGACGCTACTATTACAGATATTACGGTACCTGAATTTTCCCAGCCACTCCACTGCTGTCCATTCGACTCGCCACATTCACCGAGTTTCCCCAAATATCGTAGTGAGGCTTGCGGACACCGATAACTCCAGCCACCACTGGGCCCATATTGATCCCTAGAAGTAACGTTCATTATCTAAGTAAAAACGTCATTCTCTTTTCCCTAGAAGTATTTATACTTTGCCTTATTCATACCGATTCGCAAATTGAAATTGTTGAAGCTGTGCTCGTTAATGTGGCGAATTGTCTTCAAAAGCTTTTTCGCGAAATTTCCCACAGCGACCACGTTGCCTAAAAACAGCAATAGAGTTGGGCTTGTTTTGAAAGTTTTTAAGTTCGTAGTTTTTAATTTCAAGTTTCTAAACCAACCATCACCCTCGACTTTTCCGGTGAGCCCTGAAGCAGCCATATAAGTTGTGGAGATCGTTTTGATCTTGTCAATGCATTTGAATTCGCTCGCGTCTAGCAGCTGAAAGGTATTTTTGTGTAAATCCCACGAAACGCTTAAAAAATGTACTCTTACAAGATCAAAAAGACCCTTGTAAGAGATCAAAAAGATCTCCTGTACCTGATCGAAATCGCTAATAATCTCATTGAGCAGCCGAAGACACTCAACTCCTTCGTTGTTCCCATCCAACTCCATGTAGAACTTGTTGAACTCTAAAAGTTTGCATTTAAAACTCTTTTCTTTTCTTTATTACCTGTTATCGTGGCGAACATGATGCAGACATTTGGTAGAGCCTAAAGCCTTTTATTTATGCATTAAGATATCAAACTCAACCTCATTGTAAAGATCATTTTTTCCTTTATCGCAAAGAAATTGTTCGACGACATGCCACGGTAAAACATTCTCGAGAACTTGTCGATTCTGGGCATGTCGCTTTTTCATTTCCAATTGCTCATCCAAAGCCTATCAAAAGTTTCATTTTCGATTTTAGAAGCGACTATTTACCTGCAATTTCCAGATGAAATCATATCGAGAAATCATCTCACTTCGACGACTTTGCATCACAATCAACACCACTGTAAAGATCACCAACACAGTGAGTGGGATTCGGAAATCATCGTGAAATCTTGTTGATCTAAAAGCTTTCATTTCTAAGTCTTTATTTTCTGACATACTCGCAAAAGAGTTCCAATTTTTGGTGCAGAGTCAATGGAAAGCTGATGTTTTGAGTAGTCTAAAGGTTTGCTCAATGATTTTTCCGAAAAAAAAACATTTTACCCCAACCGCGTAGAGGTTCGCCATAGCAGCCGATTCGTTCCAAAGTTGAAATTGCCGATTTGCGAGTTGGGGAAAGCTTGAATGCGTCCACACAAACACCAACCCGACAGCACACACAATCAGCACGATAATGACCTAAAAGTGGGATTATATTTGCAAAATCTGGAATGAAGCTGAAAATTCTATTAAATTAGAGAAGATTTCTTACTTTTGTTGGGGTAAGCAACGCCAAAAAGACACATGTCGAGATTAGGAGCAATAGGTTTGTGTCGAAAATGAGCTGAATTTCAATTGCTCTTATTTTTCCAGAAAACTTCAAGTCTTCATGGATTTTACTTTGATCATACCTCGGTGTGAACCCTTGGCGGTGTCCCGTGACAGTTTGAGCTCAACGTTGAACCATTTGAGTTACACGAAAACGAGCAATTCTCATTGAAAGTCGGCTAAATGTACAGTCGATTAGACTTGCTTATTGATATTATCGTCATGCTCATGTTTAACCATTCAGATCTCAGTTTCTAGAACAGCTATCAATCTGAAAATTGTTTCATTGGAAAGCCAAGAATGTCAGCTTTTGATTGCTATCTCACACATAGCAAATTCTCATAGGTGAGTGCCTTAAAAAGCTTATCAACACTTATCGATAATCTATACTTTCGATATCGATAAGTAGTGATAAGGTTTATAAGGTGCTTACTCATTAAAAGTGTATAAAATAGCAATCAAAAGCTGACATTCTTGGCTTTCCAATGAAACAATTTTCAGATTGATAGCTGTTCTAGAAACTGAGATCTGAGTGGTTAAAAATGAGCTTGGCGTTTGTATCGATAAGCAAGTCTACTCGATGCCACGATTTTGAAATTCTAAAACACGATTTTGGTTTCTGCTTAGCTGCCCAGCCAAACGTAAGGGCCGTTCAGAGCTAGAAATTTGGGCTGCAAGCTGCAAGAAATTTGGGGCACGTTTTAGAATCGTTAAATCGAAACTTTTGGTCCCGAACGAATCGTTAAATCGACGATTGTGCGGGGAAATTCGAAAGCTTCGTCCTTTTAAAAAAAAACTTTCGCCGCAGCTAGGAAAACGTTATGCAAAGAAAAGCCCCTGACCTAGTTCCGTGCCTGTTTTTTAGAGAGAAAATTTATAAATGATGGGCTGAATGATAACTTGATTACCTTTGATAATTTGAAAACTAAAGGGAAAAAGAACAATACCTTTAGTTCGAAATGGTGTTCGTCAGGTTTAAAATTAAAGAGAATTTAAAAAAAGGACAGAACTTTCGCTTAAAACGGATCGATATAAATCACTTACCGTTATGATGTAGATTAAAAAGAAATGCGCTGTGAGAATGAGAAAATAGATTAGAAAAATGCGAACACAATACGCAACATCTCGCTTTTTGTGCTTTATAGCCGATTTTCTGTTGCGATTGCGAAATTCCTGAAAGTTTTGTAGATTCAAGTTTACAAAACTTTTCTTTCTACCGCAATTGTGGTGGCCGCTGAATAGAGAATGAGAATGAAAAGAGCTCCACCAGCAACGGCAATCGTTCCGAAAAGAAGCAAAGAGCTGAAATGCTTGTAAATACAGCAATCGTTTCCCCCAGTATACCCCATATTTCCGATGACAAAAACGGTGGCACAGAGCACAAAGATCAGGAGATAACATCCAACTTGTACAACAATTGATGACTCTTTTTGTTGTGAGAACTGAAAATTCCACTTTAAGGCTTTCTTTTTTAAAAAAAACTTACTTTATTTTCAACAATATCTTGTCGAAAACGAAGAGTGAGTCCTTTACAGTACTGCTTTCGCCACGTTGCTTTGTTGATCGCCTGGATTCCTTGCATCAAATAGTTTTCGACAACTTTATCCAAAGGTTCGGCCTCCATTCCTCGTCTAGACATTTCTTTAGAGAACGAAATCAGCTTTTCCTTTCATTACTTAATACTTTGCACTCTCTTGAGTCCACTTCCTCCAGTACTGACACCCATCGTTCTTAGTCCTTTATCTTCTTTCTGTCGTACTCCTTGTTGATGAGGGATCACCTAAAATCTCAATTTCTTCCGTTTTCTTTCCATTTCAACCTCCTGACTATCATTTTCCACAATCAGATATGTATCCACATTGTGCTCAGCCAAGTATTTACTTCGTTCTCGACCATTTCCCGGTTCTACTTGAAAAGCGCCATTCAAAGCGTCCAGAGTAGCCTTCGTGATGTGAACTCGGCTAAAGATTTGATATGACGTTTTTTTCATTAGTTGGAACTAGGGCAAATCAAAAATTTGATTTGATTGATCTCGCACTTGCTCTCCCTTACTCCTAGAGAGAGTTAACTCATTGACCAACCCGGGACTCGAACCCGCGACCTTTTGCTCACCGGGCAACTGTGCTAATCTCTATACCACAACGCACTTGATCTCCCTTACTCCTGAGAGAGTTAACTCATTGACCAACCCAGGCAATCCGCCACTTTCCATGTGATTTGCAAGCGTTACATCATCGCTCCACACATCGAATTGCCATTTCTTCAGCCCTAACACACCGCAGTGAGCCTGAAAGGTTTTTTAAAAAAATACATTGATTCACAAGAATAATATGGTACAAACAATACAAAAGCACAATCCCTAAGCCCTAAATGTAAGAAAAAACATCCCATATATATGAGAAAAAAAAAACATCAATAATCTAGCCGGGATTGAACGCTTGACCTCTCGACTAAGATAAAAGACTCTTAGCCAGTCGGCCATTTATGAAAACTCCTTGATTACTGTATTATTGATTACTTGGTTACCTTTCCAGAATGAATGCCCACTCGCATGTTCACATTTGTACTGGTCACATCTCTCACTAGTCTAAATTGTGGAAATCGTTGATTGTCTTGCATTGAACATTAAATGTACATTTTTTAGATTTTAGATTTTAGATTTTAGATAGAACTCACTTGATCGCCTCAATCATTTCGATACCCATTTGCACGGCACAAACTGCGTGATCGGATCTGTACTCTGGAAGACCGGAAACGCAATAATAACAATCGCCAAGAATCTATAAATATCAAGTTAGCAAAAAAAAACTTCAAGTGTACACTTTATCACCTTGATTCGCATACAATGATTGTGAAAAGCGAGCCGATCAAATCGAGCAAAGAGCTCATTCAGCAACTTCACAAGATCCTCCGCCGAACACTCAGAGGCCAAATTGGTAAAGCCGCAAATATCCGCGAAAAGAATACTGAAAATTACAAGTAAACAAAAAAAGAATATTGTAATTGTAAAAGTAATGCTCTTGATGATAAACCTGATATGCTCGTGCTTTCTGATATAAATCTTGTGAAACATTCGATCTTCATCCCCCTGACCATCCATATCTTTTTTCACCTATAATAATTTGATGACATCAATCTCGACAATTCTCCTTCACCTCATAAGCGATGTGTTTCGGCAAAACGGAAAGCAGAACTTGCTCTTGTTTATTGTATTCTCGGCACAAAAGCATTCGCATTTCCACACATTTCCTTAAAATCGTTTTCATTGGTCATTTTTTAGGCGATTTAAAATACCTGGTCTCTCGAAACGTTTTCCTTTGCAATAATTCTGTTGGATAGTATGCAAAGAAACCGACGACATTACAACCAAGAAAAAGTAATGCATCAGCAACAAACTAAAGATAGCCTGGATAATTCTTTCAACTTTGTGTTTGTCAATTAGAATTGGGTTTGAATTTGAACCGATTCTCACTGGAGTTGTCTTGAATCTACAGCTGTTTTTGGTTTAACGAGATATGAAATTTGTGGAAGAATAAAGTCTAATTTGGGGAGAGAATTGGCCCATGATGACGCCCCAACAGCGAAAACGGCTCAGTCGCTTGCCATCCCTTTCCTTTCCGGGGGATTCCAAAAGGAAAGACCTATCTATCGGCGGCGAGTGTCAGATGGCGAGCGATTACCTGGCCACACAAAGAACGTATCGCCAGTCATTTACGGGTTTTTCTTTTGCTTTGTAAATGGAAGATATTCAGCTGTAAATTTGTAACTGGGGGTTTTTAGGGTCGGGTAATCGATTGGAGTTATTGATTTTATTCGTTTTAGTGAGAATCGGTCTTAATTCGAAACTCTCCTTTAAAACTTACATCATTAACTGCATTGAAGGCGAAAAAATGAATGGCGAGACCCGTTAAAGAAACAAAAAGTGCCGCTCCTAACTGAAGAAAAGATATTTTTATTTTAATTTTCAGGGGTAGGCTAGTTTCCGCAACTTGCACTCATTGAGATCTATAAAATGACACCAAAATCATAAAGATTGGCCGACTTAGAAGAAAGTTATGGCGAGTTGCGGAAACTAAAATGGCGGAAACTAGCCTACCGCAATTTTCAAAATCAACTGATTGTCTAATACATAATAATGCTTTTTTTTAATCATAAAATCAAACCTACCGTTGGAAACAGCGGTAAAGGCAGCAGTGTATAGGTGAGAAAGATCACTAAAATTGTCACCGACGAATGGAGATGAGTCGGCGCACAAAAAACAAATACCTGAAAGAATCGTTGAAAAGAATATTATTTAGAGTTTAATACCGCTGAACAGACGATAAGAATGCCTGAGAGAAATTGTGGATTTCCTTCATAACCCAACGCGGTCCCAACGAGTGCAAAACAAACGAGAATAAGCACAGAAAATAATGCCCACGATGCGTTTAATGCATGTAGAGCCGATTCACACAAACATAATGCTCCAAGAAAGAAAATTGCAAACTAAATAAGAGTTTCGATCGATTCAACTGATAGACTAATATTCTTTAGATTTAGCTGCTACCGTAAATACTGTAGTAGTACCCCACCGCCATAGTGCGGAGTGCTGTGTAGTCTAGCTTTGGACGCGTTTTTCTCGATACTGGTTTATGCTACAATAGCAATACAATTATCAAAAAATAGCCCTGAATTTCAGCTATTTTTTGATACCTAAGCGCGCATTGTAGCATAAACCAGTGTCGAGAAAAACTCGTTCAAAGCTAGACGACGCAACGCTCCACTTTCACGAGTTTTTCTCGACACTGGTTTATGCTACAATGCGCGTTTAGGTATCAAAAAATAGCTGAAATTCAGGGCTATTTTTTGATACCAAAGACGCATTTTTTGAAAGTGCGGGCGCTTTGAAAAAAATGAAATACTAAAAAACTTTTGCGACTACGCGACTGCACGAGGTGGGTGGGGTACTATTACAGTATTTACGGTATGTGTTTCAGTGCTCTTTCACTAACCTGTAATCTACCAGCGTTGATATGATCAAAATAAACTTTATATAATGAATCCGTTCTGCAAGCCTAGAAGATTTGATCGTCGTCTTCATTTTTTTAAAATCAAAAAACCTCTCTTGTAAAAGAAACTTCTCGTGTTTCCTCATCATTGCTATCATCAAGCGCCTCGAGCAATTGAGCGCTGAATTGGGGATTTCGATCCCATGCATCTGAATTGAGGTTTTTAAGGAAAATCGATTTTCTTTTACAAACCTTTAAGTGGCTCGAGAGCCGCATCGCGGCCGAGCACCATTTCAACACTCTAAAATTTCATATTGAATTCGTTTATGCATTTTTTTATAGGCTCACTCACGCCGCAACGAGAAAGTGATGAGGAATTCATTGGAATCAAGATTTTGCAATTGGTCATATTCAAAGTAATCTATTTTGTATTGTGAAAAAAAAAACCGGGTTTGTTTCGAGATGTGGTAGGGAGAGGCAAAGGGGAAAAGGGATTGACTGAAAAAGGTTTACGAACCTCACGCACAACTCATCCTCTCATTTATGACTTTCGGACGTGCCTTTTCGTAAAAATATCCCAATTAAAGTTGTGTTAAATATATACTATTCTTTTTCTTTTTTTGCTTTTAATTCTTGGCAATCATTAAAGAAAATGACTTATTTAGTTTTGAATTTTGAAGTTTTGAAGTTACGGTTTTGAAATTCGAAAAAAAGCAACAGTGTAAGAGGTTTTATGGATATAGATTTACTGTTTTAGAGATGTTTTATCGATTTAATTTTACTAGAAAATAGATATAGATGTAGATTTACTAGAAATAAAATCAAAAATGATTGCAAAAAGATGAGTAAGAATGGAGGATTGATGATTTGAAAAAGGGCACAATTTTCCATGAGAGTCCGACGTTTTCTCTCGATCATTTCTCTGAATTCGAAGACAATTTTTGTTGCTTTTTAGACTCAAAGCTAAGTTCACTTTTCAAAGGATCATTTCCGGGCGTTCACTTGCATTGTTTTCTGTCGCTTTCCCCCCTTTCCACCAGCAATTCAGTGATAGTTCAATGAGCCCTTATCGCATGGGATTCGTCCCCTTGTTTTAGGGCCTCTCATCTCATATATTCCAAAAATTGATGCAAAAATAACTCGAAATTAATGTATTTTCTCAACTGGTTATGTAGTTTGATTGAACCCAAAGGAAAGGCAAAAAAAAAATACAGAAAAGAAACTCAAAAAAGTATTAAGGTACTTAAGCTTTAAATAAGAGGATTGAAGTGGAATTTAAGACGGTCTTCTAACGATTTTCCCTTCGCTTTTTTCTCTTTCTTTTCCCTTTGATGTACAATTCTCTTTTTTCTCTTCTTCTGCTTATCGTTTCGATTTTTGGAACAAGAAGACGGAATGTAGAACGATCGAATGTTGGGATGCTTTTCCAAGAATGAATACGAGAATATGAAAATTCCATTTTCCGTTTGAAAAGACTGTGAAGACGTGAAATTTGAAAACAAGAGATCTTACCAGATATTTTTCTTTCCTTATCCTTTTGTACGCGTTTTGGCTTTAATCTCAAAAATCTCTCTCGTTCCAAACTTGCCACTACTTACCTCCAATTGCTTATGAAAGTCAGTTATTGAAACATTAAGCAATTTGTTTCTCTCATTTATTTTAAGAAAAGAGAATAGACAAAATGATCGGCAGGAATTTGCTTTCATTACCCCAGATATTGAAATTCATTTTCGATTTTAGAAAACGGAAAAAAATTTGCTTAAAGAATATCAAAAAGGTTTCGCTTGTCATGTGAAAGACAATCGCAATGGTTTCCCGGGAGTGGGACAAATGCGACCTTTTTTTTGCGCACCCGGACATTTGCGCACCTTTTTTTCCGCACCTTGCCCATTAGCGCACCTTTTTTCGCGTTTTAAAAAAGCTCTAAAAAGCTCATATTAACCAATTTCTATTCCAAAAGTTGTTTTTCTAGGTAATTTTAGGGTGTCGAATTCAAATTTTGACATAACAGAGCTTGTGAAGCCAATTTGAAAGACAAAACGGCTAGATCAAATTACAGAAAATGTTGATTTGTTGATTTTTCTCTTTGTATAACTCTGTTCGTTCGCTTCCACAAGCTCTGATATGTCAAAATTTCGATTCGACGCCCTAAAATTACCTAGAAAAACAACTTTTGGAATAGAAATTGGTTAATATTAGCTTTTAGACCTTTTTTAAAACGCGAAAAAAGGTGCGCTAATGGGCAAGGTGCGGAAAAAAAGGTGCGCAAATGTCCGGGTGCGCAAAAAAAAAGGTCGCATTTGTCCCACTCCCGGTTTCCCTGATAACTCACCATATTCAAGAAAAACGAATCGTTTGATGTTGAATAAAGGACATGTGCAAAATGATTTGTGAATAAAATACGGGAAAAGAGAGGAAAGCCTCGTTTTGCAAGAGTCGGCTCCACTCCAGTGTCACAAGAAGTGAGAAGAGACGGGTGACGAGCCTGGCCGATCAACTACGGCAATTTTCTCCCCGTCTAAGCCCAAAAATAGAGGCAAGGTAAGCCAAAAATAGCAACAAAAAAGTCTCGGTTTGAATTTTTTGCGCCTCAAGGAGTGGAAAAGGAGAGGGAAAGGGTAAACGATAAGACATGCTCGCAGACATGCACACAAAAGACCCCCTAACTCTCATTTTATGGGCTTTGCTTTTCGTCCGAGATTGAAATATTTCCCCCCTTCTCTTCCTTGCCTTCTTTTCTTTCTTTTCTTTCTTTTCTATGGCTTGGTTAGGATAATGATTGGATTTTTTTTAGGAAAAGTTATCCATTTTTGCTTTATTGACATCATGTTTGGTTAGGGTAATTTTCAGAATTGAAATCCACTTCCATATTAAAATCAGAATTCCCTGAGGGTTGTGGGAGTTGAAAAAGGAGTTGTTGCCGATACAACAACGACATATTGGGTCAATGCATATAAAATAGCTAATACCGTATTCTCTCTAATAGTAGTGCACTCTTTAATAGTAGTTCACTCTCTAATAGTTATTGCGGTCCAGGAGGGGGTTGAAAAAATAGTAGTGCACCCTCGAAAATTTGAATTTATAGCGCTTCTTTTTCATCTAAACCTTTTTGACTTTATGTTTATGTGACATTCTAAAGCTATTCGATTTCTACAGCAAACAAACGCGAGGCTTTTTTTTATTCATTTATTAACTATTCTTCACATGAAAAAGTTAGCAAAAAATCTAAAATTGTTGTGCAAAGTGCTAAAACATCTTTTTGTTGTTTGTCAAGACACAAATTGTCAACTCGCCGGCCCACAACTGTATGTCAAAAGGAACCAAAGGTGTACGTGAAAGAATTGCAAGAATTTTTGAAACAAATCTTATATCTGTCTTACTTTGGTAAATGATAAAACTCTTTAATAGTAATGCGGTCCAGGAGGGGGTTGAAAAAATAGTAGTGCGCACTTACTATTAGAGAGAATACGGTATTTCCAGATTTTCTCAACTAGATTTCAAAAGTTTCTTTTATGATTTATTGCTAATGAAAAGTTATTCAATATAATCAACTTTTTGATCAAAGATTCCTGTAGAAAAAAACTATTTCAAATCATAATTCAATAAAAAAACTAATTCATTAAGAAATTCCAGGCTTTAACGCTTCAAATTATTTCTAAACTTAAAAATTATTGATAGAAATTCACTGAAATCTTTGAATAGAACAATGTTGATTAAAAAAATATCGAGCTAATAGAACTTTTGGTTTAAAAGTTGAGTCAAATTTGAGTTGACTCGATCTAATGATCGAAAAAGAAAAGGAGAAAAGTTTCTCCATCATTTTATGTGAAAATGAAAAAGTTTCCAGTTGTTATTAGCATAAGATTATAACTTTTCAGGGGGTGGGACAAATGCGACCTTTTTTTGCGCACCTGGACATTTGCGCACCTTTTTTTTGCTGGAAAAGGCCTTAGGAAAGGTCGTAGAGCTTCGAAAATGTTTTCATAGAAGGGAATCGTATGCGTAGATTCCGAATTTCGACAAATCAGACCTCGCTGACACGTCAAATTTGGGCTAAAAGGCAAAAACTACGCAACTTAACGCTTTTCCGCAGTTTTTGCCTTTTAGCCCAAATTTGACGTGTCAGCGAGGTCTGATTTGTCGAAATTCGGAATCTAAGCATACGATTCCCTTCTATGAATACATTTTTGAAGCTCTACGACCTTTCCTAAGGCCTTTTCCAGCAAAAAAAGGTGCGCAAATGTCCAGGTGCGCAAAAAAAGGTCGCATTTGTCCCACCTCCACTTTTCATGCTAACCGAACATAAATTAGTTGAAGGTTGAGGTGCTTTGGTGGAGGAATTGACATTGATTACCCATTTCATATGCATTCACCCAATAACATTGAGTTAAAGCTTTACTTAAACGATACTTTCAAATTTTGTCAATAAGATCTTGATTAAAAAGAAAGGTAAGTTGAGTGGTTGAGACTTGACTTTGGTACTCGTGCATCTTTGCCTCGCCAACTGAACAGCATAAACAACTAAACAGCATAAACAACTAAACAACTAAATCTAAATTTACCCCAGTATGTCTCTGTATTTTGGGTAAAAATAAGGGCAAAATATTATAAATGATTTTATTATGTTTTTATTATTCATTAATGCTTAAATCATTCACTAGCTTAAATCTATTAAATCTTAAATCTTAAATCTTAAATTATTCACTAGCTTAAATCTATTCAAAATCCATATAAAAACTAGAATAAAACATGGAAAAATTGAATGAAATAAAATGTCAAAGATCAATTTGCATATTAACTTGTTTATGGGGAAAAGATGCAGAAGTACCCTTGACTTTAATCTTATTAAAATTTTAAAATGAGAATAACCAAAAGCTCAACAATAGAGTTTAAAAAAAGTTGTGAAGGAATAAATTTGAATGAGCAAAAACGCGAATTCGATAGAGACCACTTCCCTATCAAACTCAGAATTTCCCCAAAAAAGAGTTGAGGGAGTTGGAAGAGGAACCAAAAAAAAAGAAAAAAAAGAAGCAGAGCCTTCGAACAAATGTCTCCTTGTTCTGAGAGTTTATATTGCGCCATTTGCGGGCGTCTTGGGGAAACGTTTCCAAAATTCCCCTTCCCCCTTCACTTCCACAACAACTCTCTCCATCATTCATCCACTCACCTATTTTTTTATGTCTCTCTTTTCCTTTGAAACTTATATTCTTTAAATGGTTATAAAGAATCCTTGGTTATAAAGAAGATTTCTTAAATCATTGCACTGATTTTATGATTTACTTTAAAGAAAATAAAGAAAAGGCTCAAATAAATGCTGAGATGAGAAAAAATTCGATTCAGAAGCATCATTCCTTTTTGCTTAGAAAAAAAAAATCTAAAATAAAAAGCTTGTGTGCTCGAAAAATTAGC